AGGAAAAACTAACTTTTGAAAAAAATATTTTTCCATGCTGAAGACATTTTTCATTAATAGGTTTAGTGTCAAAAATAAACATAGAAACAGATGTAGGTTTAATGTCTGTAATTCTCACAAAGCCCCGTGTTTGGGAGAAAGCCATATTAAAGCCCTATTGATCAGACAGGAGTCCAAGGAGAAAGAGAGGTCTCGGCAGAGGCATGGGAAGATCCATGATGATGAGGAGCAGATGAGATGCCTTCACCTCATCTGCTCCTGGTGAATTTACACCAGCAATTATGCAAAAAGATGTGTGTTTGAATAAAGAAATGCCAGGAAGGTTAAACCTTTTGTGTACGATTCGAGGAAAAAAAAAAAAACACACACATGGACATTCAGCATAAATGTGATGAGTGTTTTCTGCCATGTTGTTTTTAAAAATACTCAATTTATAAAAAGACTGCCTTGAACTAAATATGGAAATATGGATTTATATTGGAAACTGGATTAAAGGATGAACAGCCACAGATGTCTGGAGAAAAACCCAGGGCTTCGCTTTGATGGAGGAACAAGTTGTTCTGCAAAAAACAACTGAAGGGAATAAATATTCTGAGAGGAGCGGAGCTACCAAAGAAAGGACTGAGAAAAGATCCTGCAGCCTAGCCAACAGTTCAACTCTAGTACTTGTCTGCACTCTCTAGTACTTACAAATTAAATTAAATTTGAAATAAAACACACATCAGTAGTATTTGTTTCTCATTATGTCTCTTTATCTGTAGCCTTTTGAGTTCATTTGTAACGTCAACCTTTTTTCACAGGCTAACAACAACAACAAAAAAAACAAAATGTATGTGCTATATTATAGCACATACACTGCTAATACTGCAAATCCTGCCAGTATATACTGGTTATATACTAGGGGGGCAACTGTAAAACACATTTGATATGATCTCGTGGGCCAAATATAATTACACTGTGGGCCAGATTTGGCCCCACGAGCCTGAGATTGACACGTGTGGTCTAAAAAATGGGATTTTAACTAAAATTAACTGCTGTGATGTCAGAGTAAAATAAAAAAAACATAATCAACATTTGATAAAACTACACCAAACCAGTATCAGGTCAGTGACCCAAAGTATTATTATTGTACTCTTCCATGAACCAACAAGCAGTGTTAGAGTGTGAGTCTAAAGAAAAGCAGTGTGACTATCCTTCACCCTAACTTCACTCGTATCAGATCTAAGCTGTGGTCTGGGATTGGAGTCAGATTAGATGAGTCATTTTGATGTGAGGTTCTGCAGCACGGCTCTGGATTACAGCTGTTCACATCCCTTTTCCTCCTTAGGCTCAGTTTGTGTGAAATACACATTCTAAATTAAAGTCTTAAGTGATATTTATAGGTTTTTGTCATTGTTGGAAGATGAAGGGAGATCTATCCGGTTAAAGACTGCCACCGTTGAACACAAAATGTCAGCTTTTCAGGGAATTGTGGGACAAAGAGTGGAGGGATCGATTTTGAAAAAGCGGGTTAATCTTCTTTGGCTCAGACTAAAAATAAAAAAGCATTACTGTGCTATAACCTCATCCTTTTACACACATTGATCATCTGTGTCTGAGACGCATCAGACGCTGACAGTGAGAATTAGTTTTTGTTTTGTTTTTTTTCCTCTTTTCAGCTCAAAGAGAACTTCATCTGGACAGCACTGTGTTTTCTTTCCAAATCGGACCAAGTAATAAGAAAAGTAATCGTGTTTGGATGGACTCACCCCGGATCAAAAGTCAGCAGATTTATCTTTAAATGTATATAAATAGCTCCGTGAGACGTCGAAGACCGAGGATGACAGGCCGCCGATGTTAGCTGCTAACTAGCGGATCATTAAATTGGGTGATTTTCAAAGATCTACGTCACGGAGGACCTTATAGCCTCCTCGCCACGACAGGGACTTTGGGCCACTAATTACGCATTTCCCTCTCACATTTCCAAACACAGCATCACTTGTGACCTTATCTCTGTGCAGTGTGGTGATGAATGTAATTACGGCAGCCCAAAATAATAACACCACTGTCTTTGAGCCTGCAGCTCTCAGTCAGTCATAAAAGGACAGCAGCCCTGTGCCTCCTCTCACCTCCTCTCACCAAAGCCTCCTTCAAATTAGTGCAGATGAGGACCAAAATAGACCCACTAAACTCCTGGATCTCCTGCATACACGTACACGGAAAACATCACGGAAGTAAAAAGTGAGTGAGGTGTATTAATACTTAACTGGAATTTAGCGTTCCAGAAGACTTTTATTTTCAGTTGCCAAAATGTCTAGGAGAGATGTGTCCAACATGGGGGGCATGTCGCTCTTCAGGATCACTAAGCTATTGCAGCTGGTTGCATCAATGGAAAACTTTGGTGAAAAGATGGTTGTTTTTTAATTTGTCCCACTGTCTTTTTAAGAAAAAATAATTTCAGAATAGTCCTATCTACAGAAGGGGGCGCTGCTGAAAAAGTCAGACAACCACTGGTCTCAAAGACTTAAAAGAAAATAATGACCACAATAATAGAAAGAGATCATTTTTGTTGGTTTTTGACACAGCATCCAATGACTTTTTGTTCACGCAGTTTTTCGTACAAAAGTCACTGAGTCGTTTTATACACATGCGGAAAAAAAACCCAACAATTATTATTAGGTTTAATGAGGTTCAAACTTACAGTAAGTCGGCAAACAGGCGTCCTTATCCCACAGTGTCTCTGTTCCGCTCGTTGTCCTCATTGTTGGTCAGTCTCTTGCTGTGGTTGAACTCTAAATAAACAAGACAATATATCAATGTTCAAATAAGAAAATGGGTCACTTGGGTCACACAGAGACAGAAATAAGAAAATGGGTCACTTGGGTCACATATAAAAACCTATTAATGGCCCATATATGGCATAAAGACAGCGAGTGCTGGTCCAGACATATTTAGCTCAAAGTTGTCCCTCTGCTGGTCTTATGTTTGGACTCTTTTGGTTTGTCTCTGGGTCAAGTGAACTAGTTTTTGTGGCAATTTATTTCAAAATCCTATTTTATTTATATTTATATATTTATTTCTTTAGTTTTTGATTATTATTATTATTATTAATCTGAACCAGTTTTGTAGCCGACAGGGTTATTACTGTTACCCTGCAGAAATTGTGTGCACAATGAAGGGCTGCAAATCACATCTCCAATCACACACCTGTGTGCAGCCAGACTGGGGGGCAAATTTACTAAACAAACAACGCTCCAGAAATAAACAGTGTTTATTGACAGACTGAGGTGAAGTCAGGAAAGTGCCGAAAGCAAGTGGGCAGATAAGAATAGACCGAGAATTCACACCAACAATTTACAACAAATCAAAAACTGTTCTCAAACACTCATTTGTCCTAAAAGCAGGGGTGTAAAGACACACGCTGCTCCGAGGGCCAGCGGATGTGTTTAATCACCAGGGGCCAGAATATATTTTTGACTAATATTTCACCAAAATTTGTAGGAAAACTTTGGCTTTAAAAATCAAAGGGATGTAAATATGAACACAACATAAACAAAACGTGTCATAATTTAAGGGTGGGCGAATTTTAACAAGCCATTACACTTAAATGTTTTTACTACTGGAAAGGTAATAAATAATAAACATATTATCATTTTTATTAAACTTGTAAAACCTTGAGTAGCCTATTTATGCTTTTCCTGTTTTTGGCATTTTAAATGTTAAAATCTTATAAATAACTTGGGACAATATGACACCAAAAAGTGATTAACATGGGCAGGTACATTCTCATTTATTAATTTTTTTAATTAAGTAGAACTTTTATTCACAAAAACCGCTCGTGAATAATAAGACACCAAAAAGTGATTAACATGGGCAGGTACATTCTCATTTATTAATTTTTTTAATTAAGTAGAACTTTTATTCACAAAAACTGCTCGTGAATAATAACATCTAGATACCTAGAGTATATATCTGCTGTACTCCCCTCCACCAGTTACAACTGAAGAAGCCTCTTGGATGAGAGGTGTAACGTCTTCTTTTAGAAAATTCACGTCCAGTTGCCTAACTTTCAAACTCAATAACATGAAGAGCTATTTAAAAGCCAGACGCCACACAGATTAGTATAAAAATGTCCCCTAAATATCCCAAGTTTAACCTATTAGTTTACAAACCTGTCTGCTCAATATTTTGAGTCAAAATATTAGCATCATTGTCTGCATTTAAAAGAGATTGGGTTTGACTTTATTGATCCCAGTCACTTGTTACAGCAGCAGAAAGGTCAGAGGTAGACAAGTGACAAGTACAAGACTGGAATAAACAATAACGTCAGGATCAAGGGAGAATATAAAAATCCAACATTACGCTACGGAATGACGATCATGTGACATCAAAGGGGTTGTATAGGTGTGTATATGTTGCACTTTTATGACATTCATATTATTTACTAGTTTTAATTGTACTGCTGTAAAGGTCAAGAAGTGATGCAGCACGGCAAATAGTTTCAATTAAGATATTTTCATTATTTGCGTCACAATAAAGAAATTGCAACAAAAAAAAAGAAAAATTGGCGCAATAACTGTGAATGTGTCGACGTGGGAGGTTGGAGAGGGATTTGCAATCGTACTATCTGCAAAACCGGGAAGAAGGTTGGGGGGTGACAAACCAGACAAACAAAATTCAGACAGAAGCAGGAAAGGAAAGCCTGAGGATGATATGGTGTAACACTGAAGGAGGTGAAAAACAAGGAGAGAGGTTATGGGTAAGGTTATGTTTCACAGTTCAATTGATAAATACTGTTGTTTTTGGGAAATGTTGCCATAAATAGGCGAGAGTTACAAAACCAGTGAGTAAATGGGTGAATATCTGAGTGTGTTACTGGTGAATGAAGTGTGAGATAACGAGAGTGAACGAATGAATGAAAAACTGAGAGATTCAAAAAATCACAATACAAACAGGCTGAAAAACAGGACGTTGTCGCCCTCTTGTGGCCACATCCAGAGATACATCTAGTCTCGCTACGACCCGGAAGGACTTAGTGTGTGTTTTTCTGTTCGACACAAACACGTGGGGGGAAGTTATCGTGTGACACAGTTCACCAACATGGCTGAGTGCAATGTGGACGAGCTGTTAGCCAAAGCGCAACAGGACGAGGCGGAGAAGCTGCGGAGTATTACCGTCCACAAGGAGCTGGATCTGGAGTTCGACGTCGGGAACCTACTGGCTATCGACAACAACCGCATCGAAACGCGTGACTTTAAGGGGCAGAATAAGGAGGAGTTCCTACGGTCGTTAGCTCGAGACAACACACAACTCCTGATCAACGAGATCTGGAAGCTCCCCACGGAGAGAGTAGAGGAGGTGATCGTGGCCAAACTACCGGAGCCGACGACACTGCTGCCCAGAGAGAAACGTCCACCTAAGGCCAAACCTGCGACCAAATGGGAGCAATTCGCCAAACTGAAGGGTATCCAGAAGAAGAAGAAGACAAACCTGGTGTGGGATGAAAATGCCAAGGAATGGAGGAGGCGCTGGGGGTACAAGAGAGTAAAGGATGACACCAAAGAGTGGCTGATCGAAGTACCGGAGAACGCCGATCCAAACGAGGACCAGTTCGCCAAACGCGTCACAGCCAAGAAGGAGAGAGTGGCCAAGAATGAGCTGAACCGGCTGAGGAACATCGCCAGGTCGCAGAAGGGCAAAGTTCCTGGTGTGGGTCTGACCCCCACAGCTCAGCAGTCCAAAGACGACCTGGGCAGAGCCGTGACTGTGGCCAAGACCTCCACGGCCTCCATGGGGAGGTTCCAGGACCGGCTGCCTAAGGAGAAACCAGCTAAGAACATGGGCAAGAAGAGGAAGTTCGAGCCCCTCATCGGTGACTTCTCCAACGAGAGGCAGAAGCAGCTGGAGCTCCTGAAAGTCCTGGGCAACAAAACGCCCAAACTGGACATCACCAAGGCTGTGAACAAACAGATGAGGGAGGAGGACAGGGAGGAGGCAGCCGCCAAATACAGGAAAGGAGCAGGGAAGAAAGGACGCAAGGGCAACAATATGTCAGGGAAGGGCAAAGGGAAGGGTGGGAAAGGTAAAGGAGTTAAGGGCAAAGGTGGTAAACCAGGAGGAGGAGGAGGAGGAGGGGGAGGAGGAAAGAAGAGGTCAAAAGCTGGGAAGCACTAAGGACTTTGTTGAACTCTGGTTAAAATTTCACCATATAATAAAAACACAGATTCACCCTTTTGATAATGTCATCAGCATCGTTGTTCAGAATGTTGTCGTGTCAATTACCTATATTATGGACTTCTGATCAATATAATAATAATCTGTGTGTGGTTCCATATCACTAGGACAGATTTAAAGTTGTATTGTGAGTTATTTTTACATTAAAATGTCTCAGCAACACGGGCCTGTCGTCAGAGCCGTTTCTCAAACCAGACCTTTATGACCTTGGCTCAGAACTGTGAAAAAGTTAATTTAAAAAAAAAAAAACAGTTACAGTCCTGTTACTACAAATCAAACTCAGGTTATCATGTTTATCCTAAAACTTTTTGATCCACCAATAAATCTATAGTTTTTTTTGATAAACTTTAAACTTTCCTGTCTTTTTACTCCACTGGACGACAAACACTGCAGTCAGTCATTTGTCAGACGTTATTGATGACGATGTTATTTCTGTTCCGTCCAGTCAATGACGTGATTCTGTGACGGCAGGTAGGTAACAAAAAAAGAAAGAAAGAAAACACGGCTGTAAATGATTGATGTTGATTCGTTTCTTGCTGGCAGTCTGATTATGTAAGCACATGATAAAAAATAACAAAAGTTAGCCAAATTAAAGCTACATTCCTATAGAAACAAAAGCTTTTTGTTTATAACTTATGGCAGTTAGTACTCAGTAGTCAATTTGGAAAAACAGATCTGATGAAAATGTCTTAAAATACAGAAACTCAAATATTGACTGATGCCACAGAAATGTGAGAGAGAAGGTTGTTGAAAAGTATTACACTGATTTTCCTCAGGGTTGTTTCTATCTGTACAGAACATTTTGCAGCAGAGAAAACAGTGTTTTCTTTTTTTGTTTGCCTCAGGGTTGTTTCTATCTGTACAGAATATTTTGCAGCAGAGAAAACAGACAGTGTTTTCTTTTTTTGTTTTTTTCCAGCGGGTCAGTTTTGTTAGCAGCTTATCTGTGGGTGTTGTCGGTTATGTAAAGCTCTCTGCTCCGGCCTGGCTGTCCAGACTAACTGAATCACACTGACTCACAGACGGTGAGAACTCTCAGAGAAGGTTTGTCTAAGTAAGAATGTTGTACTTTTCAGTACAATCTCTTGGCATTTAAGCCCAGGATAAAATAGAACAACAGTTTTTTTTTTAAATTCTGTTTAACACCAGGCCGTCAGCAGGTTTACTTTGTCAGCTTGTACTTGTACTTACAGTCCAAACAGGCTGAAGGCCATAAGAATACGACCGGGTTCATACACTTTTACAATATCATCGCAGGTTTGAAAATAAATGTAACTGCTGCCTTATGCTATTTAGCTTGAGTTGATCTGCTGATGTAAGTGAAATAAAAACGTAAGAATGTATTAATAAGTTCATTTTAAACATTTGAATTAAGTAGGTTGGTAGTAGAGTTGATCTATTTTTTATTTTTTGTTATTTTTGAAGCTACTTTTTAATGATTTGTTAATCACAGACCTTCCGTCTGTGATTGCAGCAGATCCACAGACGTCACGTGCTCAGATACGATCACACGGCTCACTGGTCTCTCCTGTTACTGATGGATGCGTTTTAATTGCTGACACAAGTCACAGCCACAGCTATCGCACCGGGACGGGTGGTGGAGGTGGAGACCAGGGGCTTCAATCACCATCTGTTGCCATCCTGTCATCCCAATCTCATTCATCTTTGTCCCTGCTCAGCCAGGCCTACGTAAACTGGGACACAGTCGATACCTCTGAATCACTCAGACACAGTTGACGAGGTAAAACTATGAGGCCAAATCAAAGTCTCCTACAAATATGTTGCACACGGCAAGATATTGTTCTGACAAAAAGCAGTGGCGTCATTTAAAATTAATTAATTTTAAAAAATACATTTTTTTCCATGACAACACACAAATCACACACATTTCTGCTAATAAATTTCCTGTCCCCCCCTTTTTGTGCTGTTTTGTGATGGGATGTGCTGCGGCTTGTGTCCAGCTCCAGCAGTGCTGCAGTGGATTAGTCAGCTGCATTTACTTAAAGGTGCTGCAGAGAGACGCAGAGAGATAGAAAGAAAGAGAGAGGAAGGAAGAGAGAGAGAGAACACAGGAGCCTTTGGAGTCAGTGAGCAAGTTTCTGATCTTCAAGATGCAGCACATCTACATGCACAGCCACGAGCACTTTGAAGTCTTCACCACTGTCCTTGCCCCACAAGGTGAGTGGAATCATGTGGAGCAGTGTGGTGTTATTTAGATGCTGGCACGCCACAGTCAGAGTGATGAATAAATAATTTCCATTTATGAGATGTTTTCTGGGTTTTACAGCCTCTCATTTCCTGGAGGATGTGGCTGCACTGACTCACATCCTAGTGTATTAATCTGAAGACAGTCAGACCCATGTGCATCTGCAGTTACTGTCTCTTAATTGATTAAACAAAGATGTTTTGTTTTTGTTTTGTTTTTTTGTGATGATTCACAGGGAGATATCGATTCAGAGCAGAAGCTGAAAAGGCAAGTTAATCTTATTTAATCTTCTTCTCACATTACTATAAAGGTGGGTCTGTGCTCCACAGCAAAAATGAATAACCTTCACACCCTTGTCTAACTAGTGTGTTATCTGTGACCATTATGATTTTTTGGAAAGTCTGTTACTTATTTAATTCCTCCTGGATTACGCACCAAATATAGCTGGGACAGATGATGATGATGATCGAACCCAGATTTAGGGTTTCTCTTTCACTGCACAGCAGTTAATCTCTCCATTCTTTACACATAATCCTCTCAGTCACCTGGCTTAACCCCTAGATCAGACAACTCTTAGACACAGACCACCTTATCACGGGCAGAGCCACAAACCAAACTTCATCAGACAGATGCCCTGAGAAGTGCATTTCTCCCATCTTCTCCAAGTACTAATTGCACGAGTTAAACGCAGCTGCTGTTCATATTTTGTCCACTAGATGGTGGTAGTGCACAGCTACAGGCCTCACTGGCCTGACGAGCTGGCGTTGGCTGCAGGTGACGTCATCCTGGTGCTGTCCAAACATGAGGAGGAGCGGTGGTTTGGGCGGAGGCAGGACGGCCAGCAGGGCTACTTCCCCGCCTCCTGTGTGATGGAGCTGAGCCAGGTGCGTTTCTCTGCCCGACTGTGTTCAGCAATGCAGCAAAAACCAGAGCAGTGGACACTGCTGGGCTCTGACTATGATCCGTTTTCTCCAGCTTCTCTAAACTACTGTACGGTTTCAACCTTCCACAGACTCTGTGGAGTCCAGTATTTATATGACTGACCTGTGTTGTGGCCCAGAACTTTGAACCCACACGGCTTCCACTTAGACCCCAATATAAAAGCCTCATTGTGGGTACAGAGTCATTGTTAATTACACACAGTCTCAATTTGCTCCATTCAACTAATGCCCAAATTTCTGGATGTGAAACTCACTCCAGCTGTGGCTCCTCAGTGATAAACACAAGCTGTTTTTGGAAGGAAGTCAAGACACGATTGCTGTGTGTTTTTTGAAAAGTCTCTGAACCCTATTGCAGTGGTTCCCAAAGGATGGGGCGGACCCCCAGGTAGCATGGAGCTACTGCACAAGGAGGCGCAGCATGCAAAGTATATTTATATTTTGATATTTTCTCCAATTGTTTGTCACTGAATATCACCGTGTCTGCCCTCTAGTGATGTTTCAGTGCAGTACACAGACTAGTGACTGTTATTATCTTAATCCTGCATGGAGCCATGTTAGTCTCTGAATCTGCATGTTGATAAATTCCTACCTAAAGATAAACCAGCCTGAAGGTTACTTCAGTGAACAAATCCAGGTTCAAACAAACTTCTGGTTTGACTTGCAGACTAGTCTTTCCCCTAAACTCCTGCACAGGACTGTGAGAAGCTCAGTGTGGGACAACGACTCAGGTGTACACACTCGATACAGAAAGTAAGTCAAAACCACACAGCTATAAGGAATGCACAAAAATGTATGCATGGACATTATACACACACTCACACTCACACACACACACAGAGCAGCTGTTCCACACATCCCCCATCTTCCAGTTCCATCCCTCTGTTCTCCACCCAGCGGCCCTGAACAGGTGGCCCCTCTCGGCCCTCATTAGACAACAAAGCACACTGATTACTATCCCTCAAAACACACACACACACACACACACACACATACAGAGACCAGTCAATCCCCCTCTCACTGTGTTGCATCTCATTAATGGAAGCGGGAGAAAGAGAAGACTTTGTAGTTTGTCATCTGAGAACGACAGGCAAATGAATGATGGAAGTGATGACAGGACAATAAAATCATCAGGGGAATAATGTAAATACTGTCCACCATTAAATAATTAAAAAATATATGCATTTTTAATGTAGCTTATTTATTCGACCTTATCTAGCTTTTTGGTGAGGTAAAATATCTCTGTAGTTTGTGTGAGCGTAGGTGATGTTTACGTTTGAGAGCCTGCAACTAATCTCCAATTGCAAACACAAACACACACACTACATAGAGCCCTCTGTGCAGCTCCGTGCCCGTCTTGTCCACTGACTGTGGAATTTGGGTCATGAGGAATAAACAGGGCCTTTGTGTTTGTCATTTCCTCTTTGTCCCCAGTGGACACATTCTGCAGGGGCTCAGCAGGGGGAGCAGAGGAGGACCTGCAGGAGAAGGAGGAAGAGGTGGATTACCAGTGGCTGGACTCCGTGGTGACAGGGATCGTTTCCCGGTCCACGGGCTCCACATCCCTGTGCCTCAGACTGTGGTCTCCCCGCCTCAGACCCACAGATCCCCCAGTCTGCTCCACAGGATTTTGTCCAAGTGCCGCAGAAAGAGTGAATGCCAGGGAGCCACCAATGGGGCCTTTGAGGGCGACTAGGAGGCCTCCCGTTTTGTTTTCAGAGGCTAAGCCGAGTTCTGTGTGGAGGGGCTTCTGCAGAGGATTCTCTGTAAAATCCTGGGTCTGACAAAGCCTTCATTGCCTACCAGCTATTTTTCAGATTTCTGGAAAATAAAAGGTTTAAAGGAAACCAAACAGTAATAGCACTGTTCTCACCTGAATTAATAATGCAGAGGCTAATATGACACTTCCATCCAATGCACAGTGTCTGCTGTGACATCAGCGACTGAGCTGCGACCTGAGGTGAAACCTGACAGTTGAATGTAGAGCAGCACACTTCTCTCTTTTTTCAGCATGAAAATATTAAATTAAAATACTTAAAAAATAAATACAAATCACCTGTTGTTTTGAATGTAGTGAATGAAATGTTTTTTTAAATCTGCATGTGTCCATCATTACATACTTGAAACAAAGCTACTGGATACTAGGAGCTACTGCTACTGAATATGTTGTCATAGCAGTCTATAATAAACAAAAAAATATATACTTTTTTTGTCTGTAGTTGATAAAACAAATTCTATTTCCTTATGACTAAGAACAAATGTTAATGATCATTTAAAACTGGAGTGAGACGATGCAGTCAGTGACGACCTGAGACTTCTGCACAGTGCACTGTAATAAGACTATAAATGTCTTTTTCTACAGTGGAAACATGACCTCACACATACTGAGCTCACTGGGCCTCCTTCCTATTTATCTATGCAGGAGATGGAGGAGTAGGAGGGGGAAAAGAGGGAGAGATGGAGAGAGAGGGAGAGGACTTTCTCTGGCTCTGAGGAAATGTAATAGAGGTTGGCAGAAAAAAAACCCTAACCAAGGGCCCAGGAACTGTGCCAGTTGCCCTGGCAACAAGAAAGCATCTCTGTGGTGTCAGGTCCACTTCTGAGTGAGTCACTTCCTGAGCCCTCACCACATCTCTACAGCAGTGTCTGTAAAGCAGAGTTGTCCAACCTTTACAAATAGGAGGGGTCCAGTATTTGTTAATGTAAAGCCCTGGGTTCTTCAACAGTATAAAATGCATACAAACAAAGTACAGGAATTTAGATATTCTTTGACTAAACATCACCTCTCTGTAGAGCATAAACACAAAACCTTCATCTCAGCTTGGACTTGAACTCTGTGAGGGAAACACACCCCTCCTCACCCTCACCCCCCACCTTTCTCCTCTACATCCTCCCCCACTGTTTGATTTAATCCTTTGTAATATTAAAGACTGAGGGAGGCAGTCGCTCTGGGGCCAGTGTTTGTGTGTAAGGCATGTCCTGCGAGGGGAGGGGGGTAAATTATAGATTAAAAAAAAATTGCGTTTTCACCGCAGGGACTAGAGACGGTGCCAGTAGGCTGCGTTCAATTTGTCTAATGACCTGGCAAATGGTTACAGAAAATTACATCACAACTTGTCTTAAGTGACAAGTGCCAAAGTCAGAAAACAAGTCCCCCCCCCACCCCCCGTGATAGCATCACAGCGCTAGTTAGCTTATTTAGAGTAACACAGACTAAAAGTGTAGGATTCACAGGTGACAGTCAGTTATTAGAATGAGTACATTTTGTTTAGAGAAAGACTCAAAAACACTCACAATCACTGAAAAAAAACAGTTGAATCTCAGCTTTGACCTACAGGTGTTATAACGAGCAGCCATCTTTGTTGTGAACTCAGATTCCTCCATGTTCTATGTTCTTTTGTTCTCAAACCTTATGTTCCATTTGTTCTTTAAATATGCAAAATGACCCAAAGCAATTACACAATACAAATAAAAAAGTATAACCACAACTCAAAATGAACTGGATGACAACTATTAGGTCAGAAGAACCAAGATGGACGCCTGTGAGGTCACACTTGCTCTTGGAGCAAAGCCAGCTACAACTAAGTCATCTACAGGCAGCAGTCAGGTACTGCAGCCTATAAAAGTCATCAATAAGAATCAGAACTGACAAAACTGTTTAAAAACTAAGCTTTACTTACAGTTGATATATGTTTGGCATCCATCTTGTTTGTAAACAGGAAGTGCAGGAACTATGTATCCATCTTGTTTGTAAACAGGAAGTGCCCACTATGGGGGCGGGGCTTGCAGCAAGAATGTTTCTTATTAGTCAGAAAACGTGATTGGTGATTGATGGACACTGGCCCTAAGACAAATACAATTGGCAGACCAATATATATATTATAATTGTTAGACAAAGATATAGTTGCAGGGGTAAATTCATTACATTTGTTCCTCTTGTACTTTAACTTAGGTCAACTTTAATTCAAAAGGAATTATCCAGGAATATTCAGCATAAACAGGATTACACAGAGTCTAACCATTTTCCTTTAATAACGTACCATATGTGCACTGGGCCGATGGAGTGAAAATAGACTGATCACTGATCTGACGGCTGCTGGCATCTTTTTTTTCTTCAGGATTAACACTTACTTACATATGCTTGAATGTCATTTATTCATATTCAGATAAGGCCACACACTGATGCTGATGCTGCTGCTGAGCTTAACCAGCTCTCAACCACAGGAAGGCCTGACTTACAGTCACATCACATGGTGCTGACACACTCAAGTGGAAACAGTGACCTATATTGGCCGGAAAGTCCAGAGTCCAATATTAACACACACACACACACACACACACACACACACAAGATCCTGGTGTTGTGGACACTCCCGCCCAAAAGTGTCCTGCCCTGCTGTTTTGTGCAGGGTGTCTTTGGAGGCAACGGGGGGAGGCAGAGGAGAAGGGGGAGGAAGAGGAGGTGGGGTAACAGGGTGCCTGCCAGATGACTGTTCTGTCAGCCTTATAATGGGCCGCCATCTGCTGTCTAGCATACACAAACAGTGTGTGTGTGTGTGTGTGTGTGGTGTTTGGGTGTGTGCGCTCAATTAGAGGAAGTTGGAAGAGGAGATTTGGATGGACATTTATGGACTGTTTCATGTCCTCAGTGCACAAACACAAACACTCACATACACAACTTAATGAGTCAATTCAACAGGTGATAATTACAGGGACAGAACGTCAGGTTTTACAGCGTGTTCTGGTCTTTGGTCGACACTGGTTTTTAATGTTCTTCTCAGAAAAAGGCACAAAACATGAACTCACTTTGACCTTTAAGGTCATTCTTTTAATAATATATAAAAAATAAAACACTGCACCACCTTAGTCCCGTACCTACAGCTGAGGTGGTGTTTCCTAAATAACATGGACTTAAATACAGCTCCAAACCATGACAGAGCCTTTCCCATTCCCCTCCCATTTTGACTCTTTTTTTCATCAATCTCTGGGCAAGTCTATGGAAAATGAATCATATTTTAGCCCATTTATATTTCTAAAACCATAAAACGCCATAAAAAGATTTAAACATTTTCTGACAAGACTTTGGTGAACAGTCGCTGGTCACAGGTTTATGTTTTCACCAAATCCACATTGAGCTGCTGTCGATCAAATTTTAACTTTCTTTTCACATTGTTGCCGATCTCACCCAGGAAACAAGTAGCCATTTTTTTCCTAAGTTAGAGACTGATCCCTGTGCCTCAGTTACTTGACTTCATATCAATAAGTCACTATTAGGGAAGAATTGTTCCTCCTAAAAATGAAGCATAAGGTGGGGAGGCTGTAGTCAATAACCAATTACAGGGCACAGGGTCCTGACACCTCTCAGCTCTCAGTGTGGGTCATATAAGAACAAAAGACCCTCTTGTAGCAGAACGAGCGGGCAGGGAGGGCAGATTGATTAAGAGGACACGGCGTGCATGTGGCGCCCGTGTGTTTCCGTGCACATTGTTTATGTGCATGTGCACTGCTGCTCCTTCAGCATAAGGCAAGTCATCACGCTCTTTGCCCCCCCACCCTATGCCCCGCTCCTCCATTTGCGGGGCAATTGAGCGAGTGGGCCGTAAAAAAGCAACAGCCCCAAGGACAAAGGAGCCCAGGGGCATTAAGTCATGGGTGAGTGGGCCCCTTTAGGGCCAGCAGCTGACCTTGTGGAGAGGCCTCTTGTTCTGATGGAGGGGGCTCGTGTCCCGAGACCCCTGGCCAAGTCAACAACATCTCGACATATACAAGCAGGCATGGGGTGGGGGTGGGGGCGTCTCAAGCCTCTCTATCAACAGTTAACCTGGCTGAATGTCAACTTCACCTGAAAATGACATAACACAATAAAAAAAAAAGGATTTCTAATCTGACATTATTTGCCAGACAAAGTTCAAGGACCTTCAAAGAAGTCCTTTAACTGTTTGTGTTAACTTTTAGCTTGTTCCTAACTACATTCTAGTCACAGTTATCCATTACTATGCTAACTTTAAGTTGACATAACACAATATATTTTAAAGTAGCATATTTTAAAGTAACCTTTGTAGTAACCTTTGCCATTGCTACTGTATGCTTTGAGTTAGCTAGCTTGTTGAGATACATTATTTCTTAATAAGCGGTTTGATTTTTTTGTTCTACATTTGTGGCTATAAAGCTAAGGTAGCTTTGAGGGTAATTTTCATCTACGTTTGGGAAAATTACTTTCCCAATTTTTGTAGCTTTTAGCCAAACAATGAATTTTAAGGACGTTGAAAGATAACAAGCACCTGGAAAAACAAGAAACAAAATCTTAATAGCAAAAAGTCATGCAACAAAAGCATTTATTTAAACAAATTAAGTACATGGTTACAGAGATAGATGTGTGGAGTTCTATGTTTTTGTTCATGGGTTATGACTTCAACTGTAAAATCCTATACAAACATAGTAGATGAAAGCAAAGTCCAGCAACTACAGTAGGAAATGACAGAGGCTATTACCTTGTCTAGGTGCTTAAAAACCTCCAAATCTATGATGTTACATGAGTCTTGACAAACAGAACATATTAGTTTGGGACACATGAAATGCACAAACACAAGTCAAAGGAACAAACAGATCAAATCACACGAGTATGTACAGATCAGACACAGGCGACTGTGTCCGGTGTTGATGTTTGATTGGGAACGGTGGCTCCTGCCATCTTAAATTTTCCTCTTGACCTCCTTGATGTGATTCCCTTCTTGTTCTCACTCCTATACTTAATGCAGGATAATCCAGATTAGTGCTAATTCCTGTTCAAGTGATGCCTTTAATACAAAGAACACTGATGTTAGCTGACGCTTTTACTGTCTCGGCCACGCTCTTAATGTCTAAATTGATGAAATGTCACTTAAAATGAATCAGTTTTTATGATGATAGTGACAGAATTGGTAAAATCTATTTCTCATTCATCAAATTAAGGTAGTTTGTTAATGCTTGGAACACAACAAGAATCACTCATTTGAAAATGAAATGTTCTAAAATACCATTTTTAAATAGAAAAAGTAATTATTAAGAGATTAAATTACAAATGATCCAATCTGCGATCATTTTTTTTCTTTTTTATAACAAGGTCAGAGCATGTCAAAATGTATCCTAAAAATATGATAAATTCATGTTATTTTTTACAGAACAGTACTTCCAGCTTTGGCTATTAACACCAGTTATTTTCAAACAAAGACGTGACCTACAATTTTACTGTATATAAATCAAATTTGAATCACATTGTCATTCAGGACAATCATATTTACATTTTTTTCCCTCAAAACTGTCCATTTCTAGTATATTTAAACACCTCTCTGCAGCAGAACACGAGAATCAAACCTGGCAAGAAAATGCAACTTGACCTTCATTTCAGTATCCAATAGAAAAGCTGTGGACCTCCGTCTAAGACACACATATGCACAAATACAGGACAGTGCTACTGTACATCAGGTCAGAATGAACAAACAAGTATAAAGACTACAAGGGTAAAAAGTGCAATTTGTCTATGATTAGAGGTCAGAGGTGGAGCCCTGCTACCTAACAGTCAAGAGAACAAAGTACTGGAAAAAAAAAACAACAAAAAAACAGAAAACACACATCACCGTCACATGAGCGGCAGTGCACCTCGGAGAAAGGGTGAAACCAAACGGTAGCTCAATCCTGATTTCGACAATAAAGTTTCTTCAATAGTTTCTCTTAAAATGTCATTTTTTTAAAGAAATAAATAAATTAGTAAACATTAAATAAATAAAAACTTCAGCCTTCATTTTAATATGTAAATCTGTATTCGACCAGATGTGAAACACTGACTGTGTGAAAACTGACCAATGGCCAGAACAATGGAGAACCTTCATTTTCTATTACAGGGAGAGATTTTGCTTTGAGAGCAAATTGAGTTTTTTTAGGCTGTTGTGAGAGCAAAGTTAAACTTCTTTAAGAAAACAAAACTCACTGAATGTGATTTATATTAATAATCTAAGCTTCAGAGCTGTCAGACAATAAATAAAACAAAGGAAAAAAAAACATAAGCGTACCCTTCCATCCTTGAGGTTCTTACTCGTGTACATACATTGCAGTGAAATTACATTCAATCCATGTCTCTGCGGACAATATGGCCTCAGAAAGGAAGTGTGTTGTTATTTTAAAAAAACAAAACAAAAAAAAGAACCAAAAAAAAAAAAAATACCATCAGAAGTGCTATCCAGTTTGTCCTTTAAACATTACTCCTGTCTCAGCAGTAAAATCAACTCAGTAGTGCAATACTGACAACTTACTTTTTTTTTTCATCCTCCAGAAACTCTACACCAGTATGATGAACATTCAGCTTCATTACTGCTGCTCCTATACTTCTAGCTAAATTAGTGTGTATGTGATTTAAAGTCTTATATTCTTGAGTGTGTTTGAAAACCCATGCCGTGATTTCTGTCGATTAATAAAAAAAGCTACATGAGAAACAACAATGGGCAAGTTTAGCAAAAGAATACGAGTTATAAAATGTATATTCTTGTTATTCAGTCAATATATTAACAATATAAAACTTGGAAGCAGCTGCTGCTAAAAGAATACACTATGTCTACAGACTACAGTACTGTCTGTGCAGGTAGTTTCAACATCACTAACTAGTGCAGAAAACATGATCTAGCCTCGTTAATTTATATACAATGATGCTTATGAAGTCAGTTCAAGTTAGAAATGTGGTAAAAAAAAAGTACTGGAGGTCGGGAGGGGGGGCAGTGATGGAGAAGTGTTGTTGGCAGTGAATGTCTTTGTTGGAAGAATAACAACTTCATTTGTCTGGACTAGATTGTCTCTTACAGGATGTAGTTTGTCGGATGGGTGGAGTAGTGTGGACGGCTTTCAAAGCACAAGAGCCCTGGAGGTGGAGCCAGACGACGTGTAAGGGTTCAGGTACTGACGCGCCTGCTCTGTCATAATCAGCTGGTCCTCCGTCTTCCCATAAACCACTGCTTCCCAATCACTCACCTGGTAGAAACAGAGATCCAGACACTGCTTCCCAATCACTCACCTGGTAGGAACAGAGATCCAGAGTCACTCAGTGTTAGACAAGTCAACCATAAAACAACATTTACAGTTTGATTAGAAACATACCTGGAGAGTGGAGTGTTTTGGTGCCTTCTGCGGTGGAAGGGGTTTCTTTACCCGTGGACTGGTGAAGTGACAGGGAGGAACAGAGGCCAGGGATGACTCCTCTCTGGCAGAGGTCAAAGGGCGGCTGCACTTGTCCTGGTCAGGGGTCTGTGTCACCAGGGAGGAGCTGGAGAGTAAACGTTCCTCTGGTTTCTACAATGAAAAAAGGTATATAAACCTAAAAGTCCTCCAGTGCAGCGTTTAAATGTAAACTGAGAGTTAAATTAAAGAAATAAAGCTTGATAGGTGATAGGTGATAATGTCATTATCTATTATCTATTTTGTATATTTTCAACTTTTTCTATGCTTCGTTAAGGCATCTTTTACTAATCAACCTCCAACAGAAAATAATCAAACTAAGAAACACCATACGAGTTGTAGTTATTTCTATAGAATCTGGAGGGATGTTCTTTATCACTTACTGCTACATTGTTGAGTTGCTCTTGAAACAGCTGGACATTGAGGTCGTCTTTAGCCCAAGGGTCCAGCACAAGGGACTTGCGGACTTTCTTAGCTGGACCGTCGACCTGAAGTCAAATAACAGAAGTCTAAATCTCCCTGGATTTTAGAGATTGTGCACAAGTGTATATTTTAATAACTTTAGTGTAATTCATTGAGGCAGACTGCTGTGGACATTGCCGTACATTATGTTTCCATTCTCGGTAGTCGGGCTGGATGTCAGCTTTGTTAAAGATGTCTGCTCCGGTCTCTTGCTTCAGAACTTCTCGGATGTCTTCTTCTAAAAGTGCCAAAGGCTGAGGCTGGAAAACAGACATGTGAGTGTAAACAGGGAGCAACAGAGTAGAACTGTGTTCATGGGGAGATAAGCACCAGGTAGAGCAAACTGCAGACATCTGAGATCTAACCTCCATCTTCAGGGGTCCGTGCATTTTCTCCTGGGCAGCCAAAGCATTTTTGAAAGGCGTTGGTGTCCTTGGAGTAGGAATCATGATGGTTTTACGGAATTTGGGAGTACGTGGCCTGAAGACGTGACAAAGAACATGGACATCACTCCTATTTCTTCTATTCTGAGCAAATTAAGATTAAAGCTAAAGCTGCTGGTGTGATTAAATTACTTACCCATCATTCTCTTTCTGGTGTTTTGGAGTCGTTTCTTTTTGCAGCGGCGTGTAGAACAGACACCTTTGGCCACAGACAGGAGTGGAGGTGAGGGATGGGTTCTCCAAACTCAGATGTTCTGCACCTGATATGTTGCAGAACTAATGGAAACAGAGCAGCTAGGTCACATTATATGTACAGTCACAAATAAAGTCATCAGACCAAAAGAAAGAATGGCAAATTTAATTTACCCGTGATGGTGTAAAGGGCAGTGACTTTGTAGGTGTTTTCTTTGGAGAGTTTACAGTATTTTCTGAGAAAGAAGAACAGGTCCTGTTACACAAAGGGGAGGTTTCTCCTCTTTCTCTCCTCCTCCTCCTGCCAGTGGGTGCAGTTGAGTATTTGGATGAGTTGATGGGAGTCAGTGGGGCAGTTGTGGTCAGGCCAAATGGAGTGCAGTTTTTATCTTGGCCTGAAATGGGAGCTGAGTTGTTGAATGTGTAGCCCATGGAGTTGTCCAGGGTCCTGTCTTGCAGCAGAGTGTTGAAGCCGGCCAGGTCATGCCTGGGTGGTGTCGCTGCCTTTGAAAGGTCAAAGCTGGTCATGTTGCTCCATGCAACAGGGTCCTGTAGAGCGAGACACATCTACAAGAGTTCTTTAATAAATTCTTTCAGTATCTTTCAAAAGATTTCACACCTCCTGTTGCTTACCGAGTCGATGAGCTCCATGGTTTCTGCAAACTCTGGTATGGTCTGCAGGGAGGAGAGCACTGTGCTGGCCTCCACGGCCAGGAACTTACTTGGGGAGACAGGAAGTTGTGTCAGGGGACCCTGTGGAATCTCAGGGCCCCTCCAGGGCTCTCTGTCTCCCTGCTCCTCCAGGCTGCTGCTGCTCGTGGCTAATGTATCACTTGAAACACCGTCTGACCAAGCTGAGTATGGCTCCATGCTCTGGAGAAGAAGAAAGAAAAAAAACTGTGGTGAGATGTTAGTCTGCAGCAGCAGTAAATGCTGGTAAAAGGGTTGTTACATAGAATATTGCAGTTTTGCGTCGGACTGAAATGGTGTAAATGGACAGAGAGTGCATAAATCAAGCAGATGTCGATTTATAAATGTATTAAATGTGAGCAGAGTGAAGGAGTCGACAAAAAGGAAAGAATTTAAGAAAACAGTGCTTGGGTCAAAACCAAACCCTGAACTCTAATTGTTGAAATGAGCACTGAAGGAGATGAGGGAGCAAGACTGCAGTGGGAACAATGGTATTATGGGATGTGGGTGGCTCCAGAGCATAGCAATAAGCCAGTCTGAGTGAGTAGCAAAATGGGGGGGAAAAACAGTTACTCTAAGAACTACAGCATGTCACACTACAGGCACGCAAAACATGTGCACTATTTATGGGTTCACACAACATACACTGCAAAAAGTTCATCACTTTGGCTTTTCTTTAAGGCAGCATTGAGCCATTATTAATATAAATGTGAATTTTCCAGAATCAAGTATGGTACTGACGCTGATAAAAATGTGCATATCCAATCAAATTTGTAAAATTTAAATGAACTTTTTACAGTGTATTTCAGCTACAGACACAGGTGGGCTATACTGCCTAAGTACACTAACACACATTGGAAGTGTGTTCTTACACAGGGACCTCTGCACTGCACTTGTTGGTGGACTTCATTCTCTGCTGACATAAGCAGCAGCTCAAGCTCCTTAATTCTTTGTTCTCTGTCAGGATCATCCAGGCAGGATGGCTGGAATAAAGACACGTCAGGGAGGAGAGGACGAGAGGACGAGAGGAAAGGAAAGAGTTAAGAAAAGTAGACAAAAAAAAAGAAACAAACAAACACCGATTCTTATAGAAAAAGTAATCACACACCCATTTTTAACTACCCTCGTTATTAAATGTTAGATGACAATAAACAGGACATTCAAGTAATGGACTTGAAGTCCAGAGTTAGCAAATCACAAAGATATCTACGGAAAGTCCAGAAATTTAAGGACGTGACAAGTTTTTCCAACGGCATGCAGAGGAAAAATACAATAACAGGAGCAATAAGACTCACTGATATAAAGCCTGGATTTTCTGGAAGACTGTCCAATATGTGTTCACTGTGAGGATCGTACTGGAACCCTCCCACCTTAAAAAAAGAGGGTTAACTGGGGTGAGTAAAACATTGTGAGGACCAGAACAATTCAATTGAAGATTCAAATAATAACCTGGCCTGGTCCTGGTACTGGAAGGGGACTGTGTTCTGAGTTCTGAGTTTGTGTGGGCGTTAGGGGACACAGCCGGTGGTGACGTCTCTTAGCTCCAGTCTGAGTGGATGTCATTGCCTTGCTGTCATCTTGTAGGTAGCCCTCATGCTCAACTTTTCTCCTCATGGTGGAGTTCCAGTGGTTCTTAATGGAGTTGTCCGTCCTGTTGCAGAGAAATGGTAAATTAGATTAACTCTTTGGTCACCGAGAGTGGCCGTAGATCTGAGATTGCAGTTATATTACCGTCCAGGAAGAAGCTTTGAGATCTCTGCCCATCGGTTTCCAAGACGTTTGTGGGCCTCGTAGATGATTCGATCTTCTTCCTGTGTCCAGGAAGACTTTTTGACCTCTGGGTTGAGGTGATTGTGCCACCGTTCACGGCACTGCTTCCCTATCCTCCCCTGGAGGTGCTTTGCAATAACAGACCAACGTTTGGGGCCATACTTGTGTACCAGGTCAATAACCTGTATAAACACAACCATACATAAAGATCATTATCATCTGCATAAAACTGCACTAAGTCTTAAAAAAATGACACTATATTTTTAAGGAGCAAATAAAAGTTCTTATTTAGTTTTATACAATAATCTTATACAAAGACTGAAATAGTGTATTACTAATTTCCACAGTGACTGTATGTGTTAAAAAAATCTTGAGTGTTTGAGCTGAAAATGTGAGGTTATTGTTGGCAGCCTGAGTTATTGGTACTAGTCCTGTATTCCTGTTATGCTGCCAAGATTACAAGGGAACACTTTCTGAAGCCGTGATTCATTTAGGGACACAATGCACCTCTTAGTGTAAGGTTTCACGCTGTTAAAATTAATCTGTGTTGTATTAGGGGGGTGACGTAATCAGGAATAAATCAGAAGCCAAATTACATTTTTGGCGGGAAGCAACTGTGCACAGCCCTTATGGTCCGAGGGTAGAAGATGGATCGCACATTGTGACATCTTGTGTTGTGTTCCTCGACTTGGACTAAGCCACTGATACTCCCCACAGCTTCCTTCTGTCCCACCTATCACTTACCTGTTTTATCATCCCTCATTCTGTTCACAGCTGAAACTACCAGCTCATCTTACCTTCTGATCCTCCTCCTTTGTCCACGGTCCTTTCACCAGCTCTGGGTTGAGCACCTTCTGCCAGCGGTGCTGACACTGGCCATCTGTCCTCCCCTGTGACAGGGACGCACAAAGCACAACACCTCATTATGGCCTGTCATCTGACTGTAAATTTTTTTCCTACAGGCGGAGGGGAATTCTTTATTTCAGCAAATGGACCAAGGCATCACATCAAAACTGTCTTTGCTCACACAAACCAATTACTGTCTCAGCACTGGGTTTGATTGATTGTTATAAAATAAATTTGCTGTTCAGCCCAATAGTCTACCAATCTAAATGTCACAATTTAATTTTTTTTATTTTTGGTTTAGCCACATAAAAACAGAGATACATTTTTAACAATACCTCAGTTAAGGATACACAATGACAATCAGTGAAACTGCTTCTGTTTCACTGTTCTACTTACTTGAAAAACTGAGGCTATTAATTTCCAGGAGTCAGTTCCATGTTGTTCGACAAGTTTTTTCAGCTTTTCATCCTAAACACAATGACAAAAATAAAAAACAGGTGAAAGTGAAGATACTGCCAGATGCACCCTGAAGTGTTTTCATGGTCATGAACAACAGCTAAACCATCCTGGGATGTACAGGAGCTTCATCACGTACCTCATCTCTGGACCACTTCACTTTGCACAGCGACTTTTTGTCTTTGCTCTTCTCTTTACTCTCGGGATCTGTGGAAAGTAGCTCTTCATCCTCGTCGTTACTAAAACTGCACCGGACAAATGAAGGAAAACAAACCAATATCTTAATCGATATCTTTTACTATCTGAGAAAAGGAGAACATCATCCACTGTTTGTTGGTTTAATATTAATGTATTAATGTAAGCTTAAAGCATTAACAACCTCAGGTGTGTCTACTGAGTATTTAGTACTTTTACAAAGTGGTTTGACCATGTAGGCTCTTGAATGTGTTTAAAAATCAACCTCCCAATATCACAACAACACAACAGTGTTTCCAACCATTCCTAGGGGCTGAAAGTGACTCCCAGGTTATTAGTAAGAAAACCAGTTTGTGATCACAATAAAACTGGTTTTATGTTGCTTGTTCATAAATACCCTGCCAAAGAGAGCAGAAAGAGAAACCAGGAATTCATGTACTGTATGACTATAAAAACATCAAATTCTTCTTTCCTGACACAAGACGTTGGCCTGGAGCACTGGACGTCTGGTTCTTTTGTAGCTGCTTAGTAACACTTTCTGGGCTGAGAAATGGTTATTTTCCCCTAGAGACATACAAATGTAGCCGTCACACTCTGACTTAAGATAAAACACATGGATTTTCTGAGATCAGACTTTGGATGAAAGGTTGTCCTCAAGAAGGCGCCCAAACATGGCAATTGAATTTTCGGTGTGGCCTGATTCCCTCTCCTTTTAGAGCAAAGAGACATGAACAGGAAAAGAGTCTGGACTGTACAGGGAGGGGGAAGGACGGGCAGTAAGAGACTAAAGTAAAGGGGCAATAACACATGAACAGGCTCTTTCACCTTCAGAGGTGAGTGAGAGAGTGAGTGAGTTTGAAAGTGTGTGTGTGTGTACCAGTTATAGAGGAGGAGTGTGGTCTGGGCATGGGCTAAACACTAACGGTCCAGTTATTCAAAAAGTGTAAAAAAAAAAAAAAAAGAAAAAGCGTAACCTCTTAATGTGTTGTTTAAACTTGACTCGCTTCAAAATTATTGGATAATAAATCAGATGGAAATCCATTTCATTATTGAACACAGTTACTAGTTAAGGAGATACTGTAATATAATACAAGTGTGAAGAAAGAAGTCGACCTTGTGTCTCCTGATATGAAAACACTAGTGGAGGTTTCTTGGTGCCATAGTGATGACATAAACAACCGTACATCACTTTTTGTCCGTTGGTTAAATGTTGGGCACATTTGTCACGTATGACTGGATCAAAATCAATCACTGTCATTATGTATTATGATTGTGCATAAATATTAACTACTTACTTTAAACATAAACAACAATTTGCAACACAAAATACAAAAAATGTCAGTCAGTGAGACAAGAATAACTGTTTATACCAAATTTCATTGAGACATTAAGTCATTGATCCAATTGTGAATAAAGTATTTGATTAAGAAGACTAGTAGTTTGAATATCAGTATTATTCTTGTTATTACAACTAATTAGTTTTGTTTTGAACAGTTATATTTTAATACAGCAACTCTTAAAAAAATCGTATTTACACTTGTTTATAGTGTGACAACGTTTTCAAAAGACAATATTAAAATTCATAAAGAAACACCATTGTATTCTCTTGTTTCTAAAGCCTGTTAATTAGTGTTTATTTCATTACACCAGGGCTAACTGTTAGACTGTTAGACTTGTCAGGTTATTTGCTGTCAGTGATGCTGCTGCTGCTGTTACATAACTGATGTTTGACAAAGGGCTGCGCGCCTCCCGTGCAAAGCACAACTGTAATGATTTACAAGCAATAATTTGCCAAATTAAATACATTTAACACCAGTTTTAACTATTCCCACTTCATCCGGATACAATGATCAGTTTATATACTGCTATTTATCTACTTTTGTCAATAATCTCATAAGTTTATACCCTCATGGTGCAACTGTGCAGGTGCACATGTCTGAGAACATGCAAGGTGTTGAGTCTCGACATTAGCATTTTTATCTAAACCTGTCACGTTCACTACCGTTGTACTGAAACTAGTAACGTCTGTTAAAAAAAAAGAAGGCTCAATACTGGAGAATGACGTATTTAAAAATATTAGTCTGCACCCACCTGCGTGACTTCACGTTGTCCATGACAGTTTGCAGAATGCTGGAAGCTGGAATGACAGTTCTCCTAAACACCACGTCAATAGATGTTCATCCATAGAAGCCGCTGTCAGTCATTTCTGGTTTCTTCTGAGACGCAATTATTTCCACTTAGCCTTAACAGGCTAACGAGCCAACTCACTGTGTAGTCCCAAATATTATACTCCTGCGGTACGAGCCGTTTTCATTGTCGAAGATTTTTTCCCATAAAAAACGCTGCTGGGTGTCTTTTTGTCCCTGTTTTTATATTATTAATATTAACTAACTTTAGCACTGAAATGTAAAATCGCCTGGACTAACAGTTCTCATATATCCTCTATTCATGTCTCTTGTGTTTTAATGTGCTCTTGTGTTCAGCTGCTGATTTTTGTCCATCCCGCCGATTCTCGCGCCCAGCCCTCCTGCACAGGCGGCCTCGTCTTTGATTGGTCAAAAATAGGGCAGTGAATGGAGGAGTTAAAAACTCGAAACTGATAGGCCGAGAGTGAGGAGAGACTCGCGTATGATTGGTAAAAAAAGTTAGAAGAGCTTTACCTGTATTGGCTACATATTTTGGGAAGGGCGCACATTAAGTTGCACGAGTCCACTGTCAAATTCTGAAGGAACAGAAGTAGAATGGTTCTTTTCATATGCACCGCCGGTGCAAATATGGGGTGCGGTAACATACGAGCTTATGGAGAAAGTACTAAGGTTGTCAGGACTCCACTGTAAATAAAAAAATAATAATACAGGGAAAATAGAGAAGAGTTATTTTGCTTCTGAAACATTTATTATCAATCCAACTGCATTGTTGATAAGGGTTTTCATGTTGTTTCTAACAATTTATTATTATCCTTTCATTCTCTTGATAAATAAAAATGTATGTCTTTGTATTTCTGTGCAATAGTTTACTTCAATTGTATTATTATTATTATTATTACGACATTTAGTATTTCATCAGAAATCAGTTGTATTAGTATCATCCTGAATGTCTGATACTTATTCTCTGCTGACACCTACTGGACAAATTAAATATCGTTTTCATCGTGTCTATACATTAGTCCTATCGGAAAAGTTCACATATTCCTGCTAAATGATATGGTAGATCACAATGATGAATACTGATTTTGTGATTTTGTGATTTATATACCACACGCTTGTTATTTGTTAGTATAAATTCAATTTTTGCATCTTGATCTGTTCTTAGGATTAGTGTTGTCTTTGAAATTATGGTTAACTGGTTTGATTAATTTAGATAATATTTTGTCGATCTGAAAGCATAAACATAAGCCTAGAAAAAGGGAAGATATGAGTCACTTTTGCGTATGAGACATACAGCCGTTCTTCCTATAGATGGCACTGTTTCACAATTTACATCCGAAAGTTGTCATTTCTTAGTGGCCTAGTCACCTTACAACGACGACAAAATGTGCCTTCAAAATAAAAGTATTTTCATCTGAACGCTATAATATTGACTTAATTTAAAAAAGAGAGATTTTAAAGTTAATCTTTTTTCAAATGACACAGGAAAAGTGACGTTCTGTTGAGAAAAAAAGTCTAATGTCAGTAAAAGGAAATAGTTTAATATCTTTTGAATATATTTAATTTTGGATCTTATTCCTGTTCGATAACATTAATGTAGCCCTTCGAGTAGTATCATAAAAATTCAAACACATGTTGACGATTTGTTATTATCATTATTAATACAAATTCTGAACTCTGAAGGGCAGAAACGGGATGTGTTTTGTACACTTAATGTAACTTGACGTCAGTTTTGACTGTGTGAGGTCCCGTGATGAATTTCATTGGAACTTCCAACAGCCAGGAAAGACTGATGTTTCCTGCTTCTCTTGCTTGACAGAACGACAGGGTCTGACGGTTACATATTAGACTTTCACTTTCTCCGGTTCTCTACCTGGAAGTCTTTTTTATCATCTTCACAAACAGGACTAATGTCACGTCATTCTGCGACGCTGTAGAACGGAACATCCTCTGTTGGGAAAATAAATGAGTGCAAAAGTACTGTAAGGTACGTGATGTTCATGTAAACAGTGCCGTCTTCTCGCAAGAGCAGCTCAGCGTTGGTTTAGTCAAGTGGAATGTTTACCCACCTGTGTTTACGTTTTGTATATGATAGACTTAGAAGTTTTCGTGACAGTCACAATGAAGCCAAACGATACTTTTCGTCTTCAGAAAAGGACAGAATCTTCGAAGAAACGTAGTAATAACGAAGTGAGGTTCACTACTTTGCTATGTACAGTTCTCATTCTGTGTGTGTAATTATGGTCTCTTGAAGTATTGTTGGTAGTTAGTAGTACACGAGGAGCCAGTTTGAACATGTTTAAACCTCTCATTTGTTGTGTGTTGGTGTTTTATTTGTCTTTCCAGCTCCTCCTTAGGTTCGTTTTTAATGACACTTCTCTGTCAGGCAAGTTTGTTTCCTTCTGTAATTCACGTGACTTCAGCTTGCATTTGAAAGCTTATACGGGTGTATTAACACAGAGATGTATTAACACGTGTCTAATCAGTACGTGTCATTACTCCTGATTCATACATATATTTTCAGAGAAAGGGGGGCGATCGAAAACTAAAGGTAACTTTTTTCAATGTTACTACAATTTGTTTCTGCAATGATATATATTGCAATGGCTCTTGCATATATTGCAAAGGCTCTTGCTTCATTGTTTGTAATAATCATGATCCTAATAAGAGCTTAAGACTATGCCAAAAATAAACTTTTTTAAAGATGTCTACCAAGTACCTAGTAAGGCCAAAAGTAACTCACAAGTTTAAGTTGTACTTGCTAAAAGTGTTTTAAAAATCAGAATATACTGTACATGCAGAACTTATTTTGAATATGAGACATAGATCAAATTAGGACACAAAGGCAACAAAGACAGCCAAAGTTTTCACCAGAAACATATACAGAGAAGCAGCATAGTATCTTAAGAAACAGCTCAACATTTTCAAGGGTAGGTACTCAGTTAGAAATAGGAAAAACTTGGTTAGTAACAGATATATTTCATAACAAAATTATGGAAAGGTTAGCCAAGATAACTACTTTGAAAAAGCTAAAGCTTCATTTAATTTAATATAGAATAACTACAAATACTACCAATAGATCAAATACCACCAATAGATCCCACTAATAGATCACCTAAAAGTGTTCTTTTTAAATAAAAAAGAACCCTCTGAAAAAACAAATTTTGTAGACTTCTTCATTGTAGGAAAGATGATAGTCACTTGGATGTCTATCCAAGTTCTATGACTGATTCCCAGGTTGGACTTTAGACACACCTTCTTAGCTTTGTTCAATTCTAGAAATACGCCTCCACATAGTTTCACACAAATAACAGTGATGTGTCACACCTCATTGTCCTAGGTTAAGATCTTCTTAATTTTTCCTGGAATTGTTGGACAAACTGAAATTACTACTGTACTACTACTTGTCTGTCCCTAGGAGTAACGTTTACCTGTTAAGTTCACATTATAGAACTTGGCGCTCCTTTTACTGTATGTAATAACTCTAGTATTGGAGCAGAAAGATGTCAAATTTCACATGGGCTTTCGAATTTCTTATATGTATGCCACTGTGAATACTGAGACTTGTTAAGAGTAAGTTGAGAACTCAGATAAACACAAAAATGTCAGTTACCTGTCTGGACATTTAGATTGTGGTAGACTATGGTCCAGATGCTAAGGTTGGTTATTTCCCAGGTTAACTTATGGTCAGTCACTTTAAGCTTCTTTAGTTGCATGTACACAGCTACAGATCTGACTCTTTTGCATCGTAATAAGATGTTATTAAACCAGAACAAACTAATGATGTTAATGTTAGTCTGAAATGTTGTGGAAAAATGTCCTTCTCACTGCTGAAATACTATGGTGATCACGAATCTGTGTTTGTCAAAACACTCATGCCAGACTGAGGTTTCTCGTTCCTTTTGCGACTGTGGCCAGACTTCTGCTTTTTATACTTGCTTAAAGTGCTTGAAATGCATGACACACTGCCACACACAGAAAAATACATGTGCAACATCCTCATAGGATACCCACAGACGAGCATGTGTGCTGGGGTCCTACAGGAAGTTGTCTATTTTAGATCCTAAGTAGTAGCCCTGCATATTTGGACCTGTCGCTACAAGTTCTTTCATGATACGACATGAACACAAAGGTTGCTGGCTGTAAGAAATGGATATGGACAACAGAAATCCTACACCATTTTATAAATGTTATAGCTTTATTTTAATTGTTTGCACCGCACTTGATAGTGTCTCTGTGGGTGTGGTAGGCAGCAGCATTCCACTTGAAGGAGTAGCAGTATCAGCTAAAAAAATGTACGTCAGGCCACTCAGTTATAGGTTATTTCCCCATTGAAGAAAAAAAATCCCTGGAATGTTAAAACATGAGACCTACCCTGTGACGTGACCAGGCAGTAAACCATGAAAACAGGCCCAGATGTGAGGCAGACCATGGAAGTATGTAGGCATTCTTATGTGAATGCCCAATAACTCCCTTGGTCTACCAGACACAGTTGGGGGATTTAAGGTAAAGACCCTGTAGCCTGTACTGGTGTTGATTTTAAATAATCTCGTTCCTTCTCATCTTGTGTTCTGCAGTACAGCAGTAAACACGGAGGAAAGTAAAGAAAATGTCAAAATGTAAAATGTGAACATCCACAAAAGAAATGACTGGAGCTGGTTATAAACAGACCAGGAAGGTCTCTCTGACTGCACTCCTGCATTTTAAACAGCAATGCTCTTCTTACGGTTTCCTGACTCCACGTGAACTGAATGACATCCACTTATGGATGCAGTCACTGCCAGTGGGCTGCTGGGTAAAGTGTACAAGAAGCAGGTTCTCCGTGGTTTGTGAGTAAATAGAGAGTAAGATTATGAATGGTTGTAGTGAAAGGTTGAAAAAAAAATACTGGACAAACAGAGCTGATCTCACCAACATCAAACAATGGACAAGACCCAGCAGCAGACAATGGGCTTTGTTAAAGAAACCAGACATTACATAACCATTGTTAAATTAAACAAACCAACAAGAAAAAAGCATTTCAGTTCCGGACTATGAAAAAAGGGACAATATTTATTTAAACCAATGAGGTATTCTTTTTATGAGGTGATAAATGCTTGTTCAACAGCTGGGTATCTTCTCAGCGATGAGCTCTGTTTCAGTGTTAAAATGTCAGGAAAGAGGTCTGTGGTGTTTCTGCCCTGACCTGTGGTGTAAATCCAGCTTCAAAGACCTCTGAAGGGTATTTTAAAATACCTTTCCTCTGACCGGAACAGGAGAGAATGTCACAGAAACAGCATGGGTCGGTGCATGTATGAAAGGGTTTGCACTTTTCACACGTTAGATAGACGCAAATGTGGATTCTGTTTCTCACAGAGGTGATGGATGGTCAAAAAATGGACCAGATAAAAGTAGAACTGATTTTACACAGTGGCTAATGATATCTGCAGAGGAAGGAGTGAGTTAACTGGTCACAGAGAAGGGGGGAGGGGCTGCCTGCTGTCATGGTGCTGCTCACTCACTGACTGGCTGACCTTCTTGTTTGACTGCCTGTTAAAACAGTTTTCACTCTTGTAGCACAGTGACCTCCTGACGACATAACAACAACATAAAAGACAAAAGACAAAATATGATAATTTTGATAAAACTTTAGTCGGCTGGTGGCCAAAAAAAACACAGACAATCATCAATTTAAACACTATAGAATTCAGTATTTAGTATGACACACACAGTGACGTGAAGTCATCATTGCTAACATTGAACATGCCTGAAGTTGTTTTGCTATTAGCAAGTAAGCAGACGATTTAGTGTGAAACTGATTTAGTCATGGTTTATTTTTTATGTTTTAAATATTACAACCACTTCCCATCAGCTATCTACTAAAATGCCTGGTTTGATAGATCACTGTCATGATTATTTTCAGTACAGTCAGGCTTAATTTGGGCCACTGCAAGGCAACAACAGAGCCACATGTGGCTCAGGAGCCACAGGTTGTAAACCCATAGTCTAAACATAGAGAAACTTGCATGTTCATGTGCACAGCAGACAAACACAGCTCCAAATAAAAGACCACGTGTGACCCCTGAATGACGAGCAGCAGAAAAGGGAGACAGACTGATGGGGGCTTTAATGTGGTTTCCTGCTGGTTCACAGTCGCTGTTTATTTATGGCTCAGCTTCAAAGACAGGTCTTTATGAAACATTTCAAGCAGAATTTACAGTTGGGGAACTGATTAAATGAGCATGCACCACATTAGGTGTTTGTGTAGAGAGCAGTTCAGTTCAATTTCACTTCCCCAATAACACACTGTTCTCTGTTCTCTTCTCTTTCTGCAGCGACCCAGAGTGGACATGGAGCAGTTGTGGACTTGATGTCTCACCCTGGAGGACACATTACTTGACAACCTTCCACCCCTGAATGCCAGCAGTTCCAAACATGGAGGAGCAGGCCAGCCTCCCCAACGTCAGCATCCCCTGCCATAACGAGCAGCGGGACAAGAAGAAGCGCTACACTGTGAGTTCAAATCCTACGGTCATATGTTGAAGACTGAGGCTAATGACAATGATGACCTACCTTGTGAGGCAACTTTAGCTACTTTTAGCTGCTTTTCTACCATAATAACATACCTATATCCACTTTTTATGTTTTTTGTTTTTACTATTTTTACTGTTTAACTAATGTATTTATTCTTTACATTATCTAACACTGTTTTGTGGTATGTAATTTGTAAAATTGATATATTTTAATTATTTAATGAAACAAAAATAAAACAAAAATAAAATTACACAACTTCACATCTACAGGTGTACAAAGTGATGGTCTCTGTTGGACGACAGGAGTGGTTTGTCTTCAGGAGATACGCTGAATTTGACAAACTCTACAACACAGTGAGTGGCTGCACATACTGCTATTATATAATTTAAAGCAGACTGGGTCTCTTTATTGTGTCGGTAAATGTGTGTGTCTGGATGTTTTTGACTTTCCATTAACTCTAAAATGGAGAATTATTTGTAAGAACGCGACCGTAGTAGCTTGCCACTCTTTGTTGTACCGCTGAAAATGTCTCAATGCATATTTTCATTTGTTGCAGTTGAGAAAACAGTTTCCATCCATGAACCTGAAAATTCCAGCCAAGAGAATTTTTGGGGATAATTTTGACCCTGGTAAGAGGAGGATTTATGCTGGGATTTTACATATATGACATTCTTACACTACATGCACACGCCAACGTCCAGCCAGAAGCCCAGCTCCAGATGTTAAAAACATAATAATGGCCACGTCTGAGTTTCAAAATACAATATACAGGATTTCCATCTATTCAACAGAGTTCATCAAGCAAAGAAGAGCAGGGCTTCATGAGTTCATCAAGAGAATTGTTTCACATCCCCAGCTTTCTAACCAGTGAGTGTATGATTTCATGTTATTGTTTGTCAACATGAGTGTAATGAACAGGTTTGGCTTTGTGACATGTCTGGTTTCTAATATTTTGGATTTTCTTTCAGTCCAGATGTGAGGGGATTCCTGCAGATGGATAAAATGCAAAGTCTTTCCGACGCCTCTGAGGACGAAGATGACAAAGTACATTTTTTATATATTTTAACGTATTTTTTTTTTCTGTGAATGTATATGCTTTAGGTTGAAACACTCTCTTCTGCTGTCTGTAATATGCTATAAGGTTCTGTGTTGTATCTTAGGCTGTAATGTTTGCTCAGTACCATCAGACAGACACTCAATTAAACAATATTGCTTTTTCTTTTGTTTCATAGAACAACTCTACCTCCAGAAATATTAATCTTGGACCTTCTGGTAATCCACAGTATGTTGGTTTTTTTACTTCTTATTTTAATGTGAAACAGGTGATCATAGTTTGGTTTCTGTTTCACAAAACATCAACTGGGTTTCTTTATGACATTTTACTTTTAATTTCAATAAAAAAAGTGTGCTTTCTATTTCAGTGCTAAGCCTTCAGACTTTGACTTTTTAAAGGTCATAGGGAAGGGCAGTTTTGGAAAGGTAAGCGATTATACTACAACAAAAGTACTACTATACAGAAGTATAAATAATATTATATGTTCACATAGGTAACGATGCCATCATCTTTCATTATGATCATCACATGAAAGTATGTTAAGTAATAATATATTGTTGAATCATGTTGATTCATGGCTCACATGATTTGGAACCATTTTTTAAAATGACATGAATTGACTGACGCAGCAGCAGGTTTTGGTTCTGCATGGGTTGATTCATCAGTGAAGGAAGTGAGAGTTGAAAAGGGATTTTCTTTGGTTCGTCTATCTTCCTTGTGGTTCAGGTTTTTCTGGCCAAGAGAAGACATGATGAAAAGTATTACGCAGTCAAGGTCCTACAGAAAAAAGTCATTCTCAACAAAAAAGAGGTAACGTCCCCATCACATATGAAGTCGTTGTTTCCATCCAAAAGACTTTTACTCTAGCAATGATCCTACATTTTCTTTTTTTTATTCATCAGCAAAAACACATCATGGCAGAGCGTAACGTGCTGCTGAAGAACGTCAAACACCCTTTTCTGGTGGGCCTTCATTATTCCTTCCAAACAGCAGACAAATTGTACTTTGTCTTGGATTTCATCAATGGAGGAGAAGTGAGTAATTTCAGTTTTGGGTAATAATTTCTCTTACCCAAAAAAGAGTTATGTGGTCAAAATTAATTCATCTTGACCACATAAATAGTCGTATATACAGTATAATTGTATTTGTTGAATTCTGCAGAGTTTAACACAAACTAGCTACTGAGAACTTACATAATTATCCACTGTAACTTTTTGTCACAGCTTTTCTTCCATCTTCAAAAAGAAAGGACCTTTCCAGAACCCAGGGCCAAATTCTACATTGCTGAAATGGCAAGTGCCCTGGGATATTTGCACTCTCTCAACATAGTTTACAGGTAAAAAAAAATCCATTCCTGTTCTACTGTGTCACCGAATAAACACAAAGCCTCCTCAAATATCTGTCAAGGTTCCAGACATTTTTCTATTGTCAAAAAAATGTAAGGATATTTGGATATTACCAGAATATTCAACCAAAATTTCAGTGTCATCGACTTCCTCAAAATTGAATGTTCCACATCCTAAGCTGTGACCATCACTGGCAGAAACTAAAACTGTGTGTGTTCGTTTGATAGAGACTTAAAGCCAGAAAACATCCTCCTTGACCAAGAAGTGAGTATTCCTGTTTTTCTAACTGAAAACTGTTTGACCTGAGACTTATATTTGTCAATATTTATGAATAAATACACAGGTAAGCCCCATGGGAAAATTTGCTTTATCTATTTTAGCCACTAGAGGGTGTATTGTTTTGTAGGGAGAGGTCATCTTTGTCCTAGATGATGATAAATCTGTAAATATGAATTATATAATAAAAATATACAAATAATCTCTTTTAAAAGAGTCAAATTTTTGACATTAGAGCAATCGTATTTTAACATTTTTAGTTTTCACAGCTGTGTTGGAACAGTGCAGTAGTCAAACTCTGGCTTCACCTCTACTACATAATATCATTATATTCAGTTTGCGGACCAAATTGAATTATTCCACAGGCTTAACTGTAGCACTAATGGACACCAGTGCATATCCAGTTTCTGCTGAACAGCCTGAGTGTGATTAGATTAGGACGCAGTAATGATTTCCCAGCCTGGACCTGCTGAGCTTACAGAGAAAGTGAATGGAGCCGACTGAGCTGCGCTGTGGCAAACATTCCTGACAAACAATAGATTCCCCAGTCCCTGTTCATAATGAGCCGCTTGTGCGGTACATGTCGTCTAAAAATGTCCCTGTTTTCTCTCTTTAAAGGGGCATATCATATTGACAGACTTTGGCTTGTGCAAGGAAGGCATTTCCCTGACAGACACCACTACTACATTTTGTGGAACACCTGAGGTACGGACAACATTTCTATGAACTGTCTACTAAGTAACAGAGCAGAACATATTTCCCTCACCTTCAGTTTCAGAAAGACAATCATTAACAGACTGTTTTAAATAAAGTGTAGTGAATGATTTTACCAAAGTAGACACATACATTTTTTGCTGTGATAAAATTGTACTTTTAAGGAGTAAAATGTTTTGTTTTGTTTTGTTTTTTCAAATTTTAACATGACCTCATTAATTGTTTATTGTTAACAGTATTTGGCTCCAGAGGTTCTAAGGAAGAAGCCATATGATAACACAGTAGACTGGTGGTGTTTGGGTTCAGTTCTCTATGAAATGCTCTTTGGTCTGGTAAGTTTTTTTCGTTTCTTATTTCCCCCTGAACCTCAATGTCAACTGTTCGCAAAGTGCAATACACTAAATCATTTATATTTAGCATTTAACACTGTTGTCCCTGTTTCTCATAGCCACCCTTTTACAGCAGGGACACACATGAGATGTATGACAACATCCTCCACAAGGAGCTTATGATGCGTCCAGGAGCTTCAACCGCAGCTTGGTCTTTGCTCTGGGGTCTGCTGGAAAAAGATGGCACACAAAGACTAGGGTCCAGGGATGACTTTGTAAGTGGAAAAGACAATTATTTATCCAAAACATACGTGAGGCACAGTGTGTAAAACTTTATTTTTTGTAGTCATTTTCAATTTCTTATCTCACTATTCCCGTTTAACATGTATTAGAGCATATTGTAGCCGTTGGTTACCATGAAAACACAAAAGGTATTTATTTGTCGACTCTGGGCTCCCTCTGCTGGCCAATTTGGGTAATCCATTCTACTTAAATATGTTGGTGGTATTTTTCAGAATGAGATCAAAGCACACGACTTTTTCTCCTCCATCAACTGGAACGACCTTGAACAAAAGAAGATTCCTCCTCCGTTCATACCTAAAGTGGTAAATGCTTTGGTTTTTGTTCACAATTCTCTCACGACCCTAACTGTCTTTGTCAAAAGTCACAGTTATGAATTCAGGAAGTCCTCCTGGCAGCATAAAAACACAGCCCTATTGACTTGTACAGTGCCTGAATATAATGATCCAATCAGAAACAAGAAACAATTTCAGCAGTGATACATATATTCAATTATAATAAGATCCTAATCAAATCCAGCTCTAGATTTTCTTTTTTTCTTTTCTTTTTTTTTTTGCTTTCCTCAGAAAAAAAAGGAATTCACAAAAATATTCTGACTAATATTTTTTCACAGAGCTCTTACAGTGACATCTCAAACTTCGACCCAGAGTTTACTGATGAGATGGTCTCCAGCTCCATCTATTGGACCCAAGAACATTCCATTGTCAACGCTAGCGTGATGGAGGCTGATGATGCCTTTGTGGGCTTTTCCTACGCGCCACCTTCTGATGACGCTTTCCAATAAAAACATTCCCAGTGAAGTCTTCAAATTCCTTAACATTGATAACAATATCTTTTAAAGAAAGGGATAAAAAAAATTGAATGCACGCATGGATGCAATCAATTTATCAAACCAAAGCCTGGAGTAAAGTAGAAACAGCACTTAAGCATATTTCAATTTGAGTAAAAGAGGCCTTTATTTTTTACTGATACATATTTATATAAATAAATATATGTTTATATATAACATATGTTTTGACAAAATACAAATGACCATTTGTAGAGGTGTCAGAAATGAGCCTTCATAATACCGTAACATGTCCCTAAAAAACTTGAACAATTCACTGGACTTAAAATAACGTAATCCGACTCATCACTCTAGGGTTTTCTATATCTTTGTATTTACTATAAAAAATGTATTCACATTATCTAAATTTTCTAAATTGTGAGTACTTGAAAACCACCCTTAATATGCATTTTAGTTGACAGCTTACATTTTAGAAAGCAACTACATGCTTTTTCATGTACTTTTTAGTACAGAACAAAAGCCTCTTGGTTAGAATTCAGTCTTATCATAATATTTTGAAAAATGTGAGAATACAAGTATTAAAGTCAGTATTCTGACTTCTTGGAATTTAAAACAATAAAACTTTAAAATTAGAATTGTAACTTTAGGTAAAAATATGTATTTTATATTTCCACAAAAATGAAGAAAAACATTTTTTGAACATATAAAGTGACCTAAATCTTCTTGCTGTAAATTCTGTCAATGTTATTTTGGCCTTGCCATTGAAGTGTACTTGTACATTTGAAATATATAACTTGCCTTGTACTTAAGAGGTCAAACAAACAATAAAATTTAAACAAGTGAAAAAAAATAAGAGAAATATTTTTTGTATATAATAAAAACTTTTCTTCAATCTGTAACTCCGTTCATATGACACGTCAATGGTAATGCTGTGATTTACATGTAATTTTAGTAGATAGCAGTGTTACTTTTTTTCTAAGAATGTCTGACAGTTTGTCGTTGAAAGAGTCAGCTGTAGTTTACTTGGACAGAAGTGGTGGGCTGGAAAAACTGACCAAAGACTGCCAACAATACAACGGTGAGGTTTTTGTACGGAGATTTGGAGAATAATTAATGCTAAAACTGCTAATGTTAAAGCTATGTACACTGAGCTAACTCGGGATTTAACGTTACAGACCCTGCACATACCGAGGCAGTTTACCGGTTTTCAGTAACAGTTAATCCCACTGATGTTATAGAGGTGAACCCAGCGCTGGGTGACTGTGTTCTACACGACCATCTGAAGGCAACAGCAGTGTTTCAGTCTGTAAGTGCGAATAAAAGTGCTAATAAAATGAGTTTACGATATATTACAGACTAAGTCCACATTATCTCCATCAGGTTTGCTTTCTGGCCATTAAGACTCTTTCTCTCGTCGAAAAGATACACACATTGAGTCAGGTATGTTAAAAAACAAACGTGAAAGAAAAAAAGTAAAACTAAATATGTCTAAAACCGTTTATTTATTATGGTTACAGCCCTACCATTTTATCCTTATAGTTGAGAACAAAGTTATTAGCCCCCCATATAGGAAATGTAAATAACTGAAGTCATTTTAATACAAAATAGAGAATGTTGGAAAAAAGTTTCTTCATCAAATTATGTTGTAATTAATTAAGTCTATTCTCCCCATATGAACCTCTGAAGCTTCTACAGTAACAGTTGTCTGGTACAAATCCTGGTTTAGTTTTTACTATTATTTTTCATAAAATGTATGTCTGAAGCAACGGAAGGTTCGTTACCACTTTTTAAGTACATTTGCTTTTGTGTTGTCCAATAAAATTGTGGGCAGTGTAACTGTTGTTGTAGGGCTGAATTATCAAGCAAGTCCCCTAACAGAGTGCTGTGCTTTTCTTTTGGAGGTTAATGTAATTCTAAGGTTGACACATCTGCCTCCATTTCCTGAGTATAAGTTGGACCTTTGCAGTTTTCCTCGGGGATACGGCCCCCTGAGACCTGTTTCCATGGAGGGACTGGTCATTGCCATGACGAGGGTCACCAAATACACCCAAGGGGCCAGGTTCCTTTGTGTCAACGAGGACTGCCCCAGTGCTACAGGTACTGCAGTTCTGTCTCAGCCTATAAGGACAGGACACAGTTAAACTGGTTTATGTCATCAGGGGATTGGTGTGATGACTCCAGATGGATTTTCTTCTGGTTACATTTAAGTGTAAAATATTTCTAGGGTTCCACCATATCAGAGTCCATGCACCCGGAGCCACAGAGTCAGCAACAGTGAGAAACAACTTTAGCTGCATGATCTGTGAATCCCCGCTGAAAGAAGATGTGAAGTTCAGAGTTTTGGGAGGTGACACTGGCAACCACAAATATGACCACAAATATTGACTAAGAGGAAGTCGTAAAATGCTCATGTTCTCAATTTAATTACTTGTTTTTGTGGAGACAGACAAACAACTGGTGGAGCTGATAGATGTCAAAGCACTGGATGTTCTTAATGGCCAGCAGCAAAACTCATTCAAATACCAGTCTGTTACCCTGTTTCTCAGAGGTAGGTTTAACTTTCTTCGGTCCGCATTTGACTTAAATTCTATATTTTGTGATCAAAACAATATGGCAACTGCATCATATGAATACATACCAAATGAAACAAAACACAGCTTGTACATAAAGACTAATGTAGCACTAAGGAAGCAGGAATCTTCACCAAAAAAAACAACAACAAAAAAACAATTCTTCTATACGTAATTAGGTTAGCCTTGACTTCTTTTTGACTTGTATACAACTACAGAGCAGCTATGGGCCCAGTGGCAGAGCAGATCAACTTCCAACTATAATGTTAGAGCTGTACTGAAGATTAATATCCTCAGAGTTTTAAAGGATATTATTTGTTTGTAAAACTTAAATTCCCATCTGTTATATTCCCTCCCGTTCCTGAATAATGTGGTTATAGTAGCCAGTATTTACACACAGTCAAATGTATTGCAGTTTGTCATTAATTTCCAGCCTGCCTAAATTAGACTAATTTCAGAACACAAACCTAGCGGGGGAGAGTTCAAATAAACAGAATTCTCTGCAGCCAGCCGCACACAGTGTCTCCAGGAGGGATATTAAGTGTTTCTGTCCCCTCTAATAACATTGTCCAGGCAGGACCTCTGAGAGCTTAGCAAATCATTGGACCAGGATTAACATATTCTGTTGACCCAGACCTGTGGAGGAATTCAATCCACTGAGCTCCCGTTACTAAACATATATGCTAATAAGTGCAAGGAACACTCATTAACTGGCTGTGCAACTCTGTCACAGAGAAATCTTTGTTCCTCCCTATGTTTCTTTTGGCACCGGTTTGTGATGGCATCAATTTTTCTTCAATAATCATCAGGCAGCAGAGAGAGCCCCCACCCCGTCAATCTTGTTATTATTGGTTTGTTTCTATCGTTCACACAGATGATCTGTGTAACTCCATGAGAATTGGCCAGCTCTATCAGGTGATAGGCATCCCTGCACAGGTCCACCAGTGGCCCAGCATCTCCTGGATTGTAGAAGCAAACAATATCCAGCCTTGGCAACCAACATGTAAGGAAATATAACTTTGACTTCTCATCAATCCAAACCATTAAGATGGTTTGATTTAGATTTGCTGCCATAACATTTTTCACAAACTGATACAAATATTTTCATTTGTGCAAATATCAAGTACCAATACTGATACTTCTGTAGGTTTGGTTTCAATAAAGGATAGCAGATTTTGTCTCATTAACAGGTTTCATCAAGACAACAGAAATGGTTCTGTATCAAACAAAAACATCTTCAAACTAGTATAGTAGTTCAGTATAGAAAGTCTTTGTCCCTGATGTTAAAATATGTCCAAACTGCAGACAATGTTGACCTACCGAAATAAACTACCATCACGGCAATAAGACACTAAGCTGGAGGAGAAAAAAAAGAAGCGTGCTTAATGTTAAACCCTTATGTGAATTGTCACAGTATTAAACCTCAACATTCCCACCCACAGATCCCTCCAACATCAGTGCCAATTTCAACAGTCTGCTGAAGGCCACAGCCTCCTCTCCTTGGAGATTCCCTGCCGTTGTAGCTCACTGCTTTGGTTTGGATTTAGCTCCTCCAGGTTTGCACAACACACTAAAGCTTGGTTTGTTGCTTAGCTTGGTGCAGACCAGAGCAGATACTGAAGAAACTCATCACAACTTGGATGTCCTAGTTGTTGCCTGTGATACTCTCATTATAGACAGGTAAAGAAAGTTAAATTGTTGCTCCATTATTGCCTTAATGACAGATTCAGTGCCAAGTTACTCTATGTTTCCCTCCAGACTAATAACGTACAGCTTGAGTTTGGCTAATCGTGGTGTCAGACACCAGGTCTCTGGGGAGATGTTTGTATCACTGTCTAAAGACGAACATGGAGCTGGTACTGTCAACATTCATGCTGGTTATGCTCTGTTAGCCACCGGGGGCATATGTATGCTGGGAGATCTGGGCTGTTATAAAAAGGAGAAGTTGGACTCTATTCAGTCAGGTAAAGAACAAAAGGGAGTGGGAAAAAAATAACAAAATAAGTGTGCCTCTGCAACAAGGTATTACAAGGTAATTTTCTTTTTTCAGTCCTGGAGAACCACACAGTGTCAGTGTTTGTCCCAGGGAAGAAATACGGTGAGGATGCTGATAAGCAGCTGTCTTTCCCCGTCCAGTGCAGCTTCTGGGCCTTAACAGATCCTTCTCAGAGAAGTGGGAGGACAGACTGTAACATATTGGGAACAGTGGTGAGTCTGTGTACAGATGGGTGCGCTACTTTTAAAAGCATACTCCGAATTAAATCAAAATGATTGTAGTGTATTTGTTCTTTTTCAAATATATGTATTCAAAATGATTTTATTGGCGTTTGAAGAACACACTTCATTCAGCCTGGACATTGTTTGCAGATTGCACAGGCAAAACAGGAAATTGAGACAATTTTCGTCAAGGAAGTGCCCTGCCTAGAAAACATTACTTCACAGCAGATCCCTTGAGAATAATCAGTGCTTCAGTTGTTTTTTGTTTTTCTTTAACAGGGACGAGGTAGACCATAAAATCTATAACCAAGTTTCTCAGGTTAATCTGTGCCTTACAGCATTCAATTTCATAACATCAGCAGTATATCATTCTTTTTTTAACAGGAAATGGGTCCAATACCAGCACCGTTGGCAGACGCATTTGGGCTAGTGGTACAGTGTAAGGACAAAGTACGAGAGCAGGTACTTCTTGCTGAAACTGTCCACACCCTTCAGAAGGCAGTAGAGCCTGGAAAACCCCTTTACCCATCCTGCTGGGAGTTTTCTACACAAGACTACAAAGAGGTGAACAACCAAGGCTTCACACCACTGCATTTATTCTAAGTAGTATTCTTTTTTTTTAAGGTAATTTTAAAACACTGTGTTTCCGATTTCTCAGCTAATAACCCATGCTCAGAATCTACAAGTGGAACTCAGCCCTGGGGCAGAGAAGATGATCCATGGATACTATATGGCCAGTCGTAGAGTCCGAGCACAGAGTCAAGCAGTGAAGATGTCTGTAGCTTCTGTCAAACTATTGTGAGTTTTGGCCTGTGAAGACAGTTGAAATGATATTCTCAAAATTGTTAAACATTATTTGGTTGATGTTTTTTGTTGCACACTTATTGTTTACTCACAGGTACATATATTCATACACGCACATATACAGTGCACCGCATTAAATCGGTTTACTGCAACGCTAATATTGCCCACTAGATGGAGCTCACTTTCAGACGTTACACTTTTACAGGACAACTCTTCTACCACAGAATCTAGTGTCCCTATAGCGATGTTTAATGAAATAAGGACTAAAAAAATAGTTTTACTCAGATATTGTTTCATTTGGTGTAGATATAGATTAATTATATTCAAAATTGTACGAATCTAACCAATTCTTATCCTTCAACAAAACTCCTTCTGGCTTTACCTGAAGGATCTCACTGGCTGAAGCCCACTGCAAGTTATGTCTCAGAACATGTGTACTGGAGGAAGATGCCGTCATTGCTGTGCTCCTGTGTGAAAACTCAGTAACTCTAAAACATGGTAACACTCTTCCCATCATCCCTCACACACCAAATACAGTAATGAATATTTACATAGACTTGTATTATATTAACTGTATACTTTTTTTAATTGCTCTAATTTAAGACATTCAAACCAGCTCTTGTTCTTATTTACAGGGGCCTCTGCTCTTATAATTCCACCTGATGCTGTGTTCCCCTGTGAACTTGGAAGTGTAGACGGTCTACACATGAGAGACACGGTCCTAGATAAACTCCAGCAGGACATTCTACGCTTTATTTACGCCTACGCACCAGGGGCGGACCAATACATAACAGAAGAATAAAAAGAAAAAAAGGTAAGCCACACAACACTGCTTTAGGTTTTTCATTTGTTTATTCACTTTAAGCAACCACAGATAAACAAATTTACAATAGAAATTCAAGACTAACTGGGGGAATACACCCAGAGTGAAGATGAACAAATGCTAATTTTGCCAACCTACTCAGTAAATGACATCTTTATTTTCACTTACCTTAAATAAAATGTGTTCTTCTAGCACTTGGTTAAAAAAAAAAAAAAAACACCTTGAAAGAAAGAAATGAAAGATAGAATTTAGTAGAAGCCAAACCTTGTGTGGTTTCACATACTGTATTTTCATTTGGTTCAGTTAGTCACATTCTCAACAACCCAATTTGGTCTGATGGGTAAACGGCAAAAATGTAAAATCATCATTACTTTGATACAAAGAAATTTATTGAATTCAAGTAACATCACACAACACTTACCAGAGTCACAACGAGACCCCACACCTTTCTGCTCTGTTGCAATTACTGGTAGCCTGTAAATAATGATAAATTAAAAAAAATAAATTAAAATTAAGTCCTGCTAAACACCTTAGTCTATTCAAAATACATTATTGGAACAACATGATAAAAATATAATTTCTGGTTATTCAGTTATCACGGCGTCACCACTGCAATGTCTGATGGGTAAACGGCGAAAAGTGCGAACTCATCACTATACCAGCAAAAAAAGGTGTTGCCATTTAATTCTGTAACAAAGTAACATACTGTTAACTCACCGCAGTATCAGCACAGGACGCAATGGTTTTAAAATCAGCCGTATCTATCCTTCGCACTGATTTCTGAAGGAAAAAAAACAAAACAAACCATGACATGATTAACACTGAATTCATTAACATCACCAAACAACTTTAGGCACTGATTTCTGAAGGAAAAAAAAAAAAACATGATTAACACTGAATTCATTAACATCACCAAACAACTTTAGGAGCATCTTAATGTTGCTGTTATTTCAGTAGTCACAGATTCACCATGTTATTGTCTGATGGGTAAACGGCAAAAAGTGCGAACTCATCACTATACCAGCAATAAAAGGTGTTGCCATTTAATACTGACAGAAAAGAAACATGTTCTCCTCTTCAACGAAGTAACACTGTTGACTCACCACAGTATCAGCACAGGACGCAATGGTTTTAAATCAGCCGTGTCTATCCTTCGCACTGCTTTCTGAATGAAAAAAAAAAAGACGCGATTAACACTAGATTTAATAATTTTTATCAAAAATCCAGAAGCATCTTAATGTTGCTGTTATTTCAGTAGTCACAGATTCACCATGTTATTGTCTGATGGGTAAACGGCAAAAAGTTTGAACTCATCACAATTCAGCAAATGATTCAGAATTTTAAAAAAAATAATCCAAAAAAATAAAAACGTACCCAATGGCACTCGAAGACCAGACTGACATTTGGCCTTGTTGGCGCTCATGGTCTGAGACCTGCAATAAAAACAAATGAGAGTACATGATCTGGACTACATGTATTTCACCTAAAGGTTAGAATTTTATAGTAAACATAATTGACGGAGTTATTTCTATAATTCACAATCTATAAAATGTGTAGTAGTGCAACACAATACACAACCAAAAATAAATGGTCAATGTTATGTTGTAGATTTTTGCAATCATAGTAACATCCATCTTCTTCTGCACCACTAAATAGACAGAAGTCAAATATTAATGCTAATACACTCTGTATGATGTAATGATCTTTTAAAGAGTCACATTGTCAGCCCAGAGCCCCATCACAGTAACTTCATACCTCCTAACTAATTGCTCTCAGGAGTGCTGTATTGATTTCTAGCTAGCACGAATAACTTGTACTGAAGGAATAGCCAATATGCTGAGTGGACTAGTGACTGATCACCAGAAGGTCAAAGGGTACAATGGTACGCAGCTTGGGAGCAGAGTTAACACTGCAGGTCTGGGGACGGGTTCAACAACAGGTCACGACCTCTGCCATGACCTAGGGTCCTCAGAAGACATCATGATGAGAGTATCCACAGTGAAATAATGGTAGGGAGCAAATCCCTGACCGACTGACCTCTGGACAAAAGTAAGACCTGGACAGTGCAGTAGGAAGCCGAGTGACACGAGGGCGTTCTCCCCATTGAACTGTCTGAAATAATGATTTATTACATTTTAGGCCCTTAGACTACGAGGACGAGCTGACGTGTCATACCGCTGGAGCGTTAACGTCCGATCACTATTTTGGTGTATTTGTACAAAATTTTTAAAAGAAATATTACCATATAATCTGAATTACAGATAGCATTATTCGCGTTATAGTACACGTACATTGTACGTGTTGTATCTATAATAGACTAATCGAATCATTTTATTTATTAATATTGGGTTCACATTTCGCATCTTAATTTCCACCGTCATTTAAATAAAAGCGAATATTTATATTTGTATTTTAAATTAATGGAAAACGCCACGGAGTAAACGTAACACGCGCTCATTTCACCCACGTGGCGCAGATGCTAATTAGCTTCACGGTAACGATAATGAACTCCGATGTTATCATGAAAGCAGATTAAATACACGCACAATTTGTTGTTACAATACTGCATTACACCATGTACCCATTACCTACCTGTACTGGAAAAATCTATGCAAAAAGATTTGGACTGCGAGGCAAGGACAAACACAACCGCTTCTCAGCTTTGCTGCAGGACGAGAGGGAGCTTCCGGTTTCCGAGTTCCCATCAGACACCGCGCCTGGCAGCTTTATCACTGACGTCAGCGACAACCGCCTCGAACTAAAATAACAGTTTATATTAAATTAATCACACGTATTAAAAAGTGTTACAAAAAGCGTTTGATAAATGAGAAACGCATGGAGGAAAAGGTTGCCGTCAACCCACGACTCAATTCAAATATATTATAACATTGTTAATATGTCTTTACCTAAATGTCTTCTAGATTTTATTTATGTTTGTATATATATATAATAGTTTGCCATTTGCCTCTTGACGAACAGAAAACAAATTTATACTTTGAATCCGTCAAATTGTGTTTTTTTAGCTGTCTAATTTGTGAGATGAAGTTTGGATAATTGTTTAGAATATTTGATAAATATCATAACTATCTGCTTATTTATTTAAACGCAAATGGCAACAGCTTCACCTTAAATTACAACTGAGGCTTTATTTTATATATAAAATTAGTACTTTCCTATCCTTTTTATTTTTACTTTAACAATAGTAACACTAAAAATAATAATTGAATATTAACAATAAACCAATTACAAATAGATTATAAATAAAATTAATTATACATAACAGATACACAGAGATGCCACTTATGATCGTACGGTAACAATGCTGAAATCAAATTGCTAGAAAATTGATGGAATAAAATTATTACAAAGATCTAATTTTAGTTCCACAAATGTTGAAATGTTCTTTTAATTTCTATTTACTTAATACCTCTAGTCGGTGTTAAAACAAACCTTTTAACCTCTTGCTTTTTATTCAGTGTTTCACTAAACGACTCGCCTTAGTGCTCGTCATTCGATCATAACAATAATTATTAAATACAACTTAATTAAAATTGTTATATTTTATTTTTTCTTACATCACAATTTCCCTCCTCTCGCCATCGTGAACATTTCCCGAGACTCGTCTGTTTTCACCAGAGCCATTTATTCACAAACACATTGTACAGCCATGCAGGTAAAAACGAACGGAGGAACATGAGGTGAAGGACGGAACACTTCACATGACAGATGTTTGACTTATTCACACATGCATTTTAGTGCAAATGCTTCAACTGAAAGTGCACATCTCAAGCATGACGGGCTCAGTGTCGGCCCGTGGAATTCTCTGCACATTCTGACAGGGAGGTTGGGGGGGGGGACGTGTAGGGGACTGCACACAGCAGGGACACACAGTACAGCAAAAGCCGAAACAACAACAAGAGAGAAAAGATTGAGTTCTCCGTAAAATCTATACAATAAAAATCAGGTATAATATATTAATTTACAACTCAGTCGGAGCGCGGGGACTTTAAATCCAGGAATCAGGTGTGAAGACCGTTTTTGTTCTATACACAGATCATTACAAGGCGACGTGAACTCATGCGCACGTGACATAGTTTCGTTACAAACGTTTTTTAAGCCCGTTACTGACGGGAGGTGGACGAGGACGGGCCCTGGTTCTCTGACTCTGAAGAGTTGGAAGTGTTGAGGAACTGTCCGCTTGCACCGACGTACAGCCTGGATCGCATGGGCCATTTCTGAAAAAATAAAACAAATAAAATAAAATAAATGTTGATTTAATGTAAGTAAATATTGATGAGCATCAAAAAGCCGAAGTCAATTATTTTAAATGTATTTTACCCTCTAGTCGGTGTTGATATGAACGATGAACATATGAACGATGTTAGTCTGCGGTGCAAATATAGCTAGTAGAATAAAATCGGTTTATTCCCGATACTATTATTATTATTATTATTATCATCATCATTGTTGGTCCACTGACCTTGACTGGGTGCAGGTATCCTTCCCCCTTCAGAGAGTGTAACGCCTCTGTCTGCTTCGTGCTCTCTCCATCCTCAGCTCCTTCCTCCTGTAGTGTTCGGGTCAAGTGGGCTATGTAGGTGGTGGCCAGAATCAAGACGTCTAGTTTGGACAGCTTGGTGTCCGGCGGCACCGAAGGCAAAGTCCTCTGTAGCTCCAGGAAGGCGTTCCTCAGGGTCTGTACCCGGCTCCTCTCCCGGGCAGCGTTGGCTGCGGCGGGGCGTCCTCTGCCGCCGAGGCCGCCGCTCTGCAGCACCCTGCTCCGCTGCAGCTCCCGCCGGCGACCGTCCGGACTGGGGCTGGAGCTGGGACTGGATGCGGGACTGTCGTCCACCACCAACCCGGAGGAGGTGCCGCTGTCCATTCGGAGCGTCTGTCGTCCAACCATCAGAGAGAACTCACTGACCTGAAGATTTGTTGAAGAAACTCGTTCGTTTAGAGACAGTTTGAAATGTCTAACATTTTCATATAGTTTTACATGTTTAAAACAGACTGCGTCAATGTCTATTTATATTTATCCACCTACACTCAAAGTTCTTGTTTATACATTTCAAGTGTTGTCAGCTCTTTACCAACTGTGTTTTAAATAAAAACTAAAATAGAAAAATGACAGAGGAGACATCTGTCCTCCTCCAAAGACAACTGTCTTAACTCTGATCGTCAGGGACATGTCAGATGATCTTGTGTCCAATTTAAAATGAAATAAATCTCTAATATTTCAGTGTCCAGTGTGTTGATGTTTTACCTCAAAGCCGATGTCTTAAAAAGCGACATGAAGGCGATCAGATGAGGGTTTGTTCTCCAGAGCAGAGAATTCACTCCAAAGTGCCGAATAGTTCCGAGTCCAAACGTCGGCGGAGAAGCTGCCTCCGAACTGCAGCGGCCGCGTCTTTTACGCGCATCCAACACTTCACCTGTGCGCGTAAAAGTCTCAGGAGTCCTTCATTTATTAGCGAACACAAAGCAGCGCTCATGTATTTGACTTGAGTGTAATTAATCACTCGCCCTCAGTGTGGAGAACCCACTCACTCTTTTCCCTTTCCTCACTTATTTCAGTGAGGGCGGCAGAGGCTCGTTTTCAACGCCAGAGGCAGAACTGCGCTGCTCCTTCAACACTGATATGCGGCCGCTGGGCTACATCCTCCTCTAATTGGCTGCGAACCCGACACTGTATTTTTGTAAGCCTATCAAAAAGTGGCAACGGGAAAGAAATGGAGTCAAAACTACGTCCAAAACGCGCTCGTCACGGTCAGCGGACAGAGGCCACAGTCCATCAAAACGTTATTTGCAATAGAGCATGAAGAGAGGCTGACAAGTGTAAGGTGATATGCAAAACATCTGACGGATTGCCAGTGTGTTCTATGCTGCGAGCTCATTGGAACAGCCAATAAATAAAGTGCAGCGCCGCAATCAACAGGCAGGCATTGAGGAAATTCTTTTGAGACTCATAAATTAATCACTCTGATTTCCAGGGCTCCAAACGGAGATGTCGGCGAATTAATGAAAGGAATTATTCATATTATGTAGCTATATCCTCCGACTGTTTTTGTAAGGCGGCTGAACCGCTTTCTCCTGCCGGCCACTAATTATAAGGTGAGGGTAAGGAAGGTTAAACAAGCTTGTTTCCATAATGACCACGCATCTTTTTGTGGACTTACGCACACGCGTAACTGTTCAAAGAATGACCGAATCGTTAATCGCGGTTGTTTGAGTATATAAGCATTTGCGTTTGGATAACTAGAAACAGAAGGACGCAGTGATCAGTCAGGATGTGCCACCCTCCATAGCTGCATCACTCATTTACTGGAGGAAAAAGTCCCCGCTCCATAATCAGGAAGTCACAGTGTGTTCAACAGTTTACTTACAGTTTGTCATCAGAGACAAAAATGTAATTAGAAATACACCAGCTGCAGCAGTTAGCAGTATAAATTATTTTATTGCGTTTTTTTTATCTCACTGACAACAGTACAAGTTTGTGAATAAACAGAAATAATTTACAAAGAAACTGATTAGACGAATATTTTGTAAATGCAGCATCAAATCTAAATATATCAGGAGTTCCACTGCTGTGTGGAGGTGGATGTGAGACTTTGAGCCATGTGCAAGGCATCTGCAAATACAAACATAATCAGACAATAATGAATGCATCAAAATACAATTCAAAGTAAAAGAAACACACACACACACACATTGTCAAATAGAGGTTTTTAACAAAGAACATCCTCCTGGCCTTTGTATTTTTTTGAATATTTCCCTGCCTTTTATTCTTTTTATATTTCTAAGGATAAAAGAGCAAATAAAGATTATCAAATGTATTTATTAATTTTGAACCCCACAAAGAAATCTCCTGCGACCACAACAGGGGTCCAGACCCTATGTTTAGGGGGATAAAAGAGCAAATAAAGATTATCAAGATTATCAAAGATTATCAGATTATCACAGGGGTCCATACCCTATGTTTAGGTTCAGCTGCCACAATGTAATTTTGCATCTTAACAATACTAAGATCATCAGATGTAATTATTCTTCACACTTTTGCTTAGAATTAAAAAAATAGCTTAGAATTGCTTAGAATTAAAAAAACAAACAAACTGAAAATACATGCATTTATGTATTTAATCTATCATACAGGACTCACTTGTTCAAGTGTGGGGCATCAGTGGACCAGTCAGCATCCGTATGTTGCTTCTTCTCATCTTGGCTTCTTTGGATGCTTTCCAGTTGATCAGGAACTGTCTGGTCAACTCATTAATTTCCCTCCCATCCAGAATCTCTGCAGGAATTCCATACGTTTATTGATTTATCAAAAATGAAAACTGAAAAGTGGGTGGTTTTGTTTGTACTAAATGAATATAAACAAATACGTGTGTTCCCAGGTGACGGTGCCACTGAGCAGGAGAGTGAGGAATGTTTTACCCAGGCTTCTGCAGGCAGTGATCAGTCGGTCTCTGTACTTGGACAGTTTACACACAGGATTCCCTCTCAGATCCATCTGGAGCAGCTGAGGCCAGTGACTTAACACGTCTTCCAACTCCTGGAAATATATAGAGACGAGAAAATGCTTTTCACAGTATCTGTGCCTTCGGTGGAACTTCAGTGTTATGATATGATAACTAATCACAGACAAACTGAATGGTAATGTGCAGCACAAGGGCCAGTGGAAAGTGCATAAACACCACTTCAGTCTGTTTTAATAAACACTGTCGCCGGTGTCATGTAACTACAAGTTTTCTCCTGGGGCGGCGTGAGGCTGACTCTTCCAGCCCGTTGCCTGCAGTTGTATGTTTATCTAAAGGCACATTAATCCAAGCCTGGAAATATGAATACTCTCTGGACACGCTCTGATTGTTCATTGCCTTCCTGTCTTGGCCAAAGCGCTTCCACTTTTCCAGCTCGTGCTGCAATCAGTTCAGAGGGGACCCCTGAGCACCGCGCTCCCAGGCTTTGATAAATGATCGTGTCAGGGCCGTCACTCACAGAGCCCTCACCAAAGAGCAGCCCAGCCCCAAATTGCCCCCCACGCGGGGGCTGCGGATAGCAGCAGAGGCTGAGTCCGCAGCACCGGGCTGACTCTCTCTGCTGGACTAATGATGGGCCAGTTATGAACCTGCATTTGACCAGGGCTTTTGATTCCTCCGTCCCCTCCGCCCTGCACACAGCTAACGGCCTCTGAAGATGCTCCTCATTTGTCACCCCGGCTGACTGCCTGTCATAATCTATTTTAAAAAATCCATATCTTCTCCTCTGGATTCTGACCAAATGGTTCAGGAGCAGACACTGATCCTTCGGAGTGCTGTCTGTGCTGAATCAATAGCGGCAGATGGGCCGTATAAATCATAGGAGATTTGTGCTAAAAATGACACGTGTACAACAATTACCTGCATCAACATGAGAGGAGATCATCTGTGCTGAGGAAGTGGACCTGGAAAAGTAGTCAATTATAAATGTGTGTCGTCAAGGTGTTAGATTCCAGTAAAAAAAAAAATGGAAATGAAAAATGAATCCCATTCAAATGAAGTCATCGAGCATTTGAGTTAATACATCTACCACACAGAGAGTCAGCCTTCAACAACAAGCAGGCCGTTTTTCAAAGAAGCCACTGGGCATTAATCATATCTCTGATGAACCTCCTATAACGTGAACTGCTGCTGGTGTAGAGTATCACACACTGATCCTAAGGCAGGGAGGAAAAACGCAGCCTCCCCAGGAAAAGGGAGAAACTTGTGCTTGTTTAAAGCTGTCAGCGGGAGACGTCCCGGGGGAGCGGCGGGTTGATTTGTTGAATAATTCTGACCCTGTGCGAGTCATGTAGACTGGGAACCCGGGGCAGGATTTGCAGGATTTGCTCCTTTAGAACCCGGCTCTACATATCATTTCACGCGCGGTTGCAAAAAACAGCGCAACAGTATTAATGATGAATTGATCAGTTAATATGTGGAATGCAGACTTTAATGCTCTGTGTCGTCCACAGTTGCTCAGATGTGGTGCTGAGCCAGAGTCAACATCAGTCACACGGAGGACACATTCTTGAACAGTACGCAGCAGAAACAGCCATATTTACCTCAGGGCTCTGCAACCTATTGTCGGTGGCGATAAAAAGACGCAGCTCCTTCAACGCCGCCAGGTCTCGGATGTAATCAATGTTGTTCCTGTTGATATTCAGGACACACAGAGATTTCTGTGCAAAAAACAAAACAAAAAGAAAAACACATCACGCAGTCAAGATGAGGGCTGCCAAAAAAAAAAACACATCACGCAGTCAAGACGAGGGCTGTGGAACATGGAAATACTTTCTACACACTTCTAGTGATACTTTGTTTACTTTCAAACAGGAGACGGTGTTTTTCAAAGCTCTGCTCACTGAACTGACCCCAGCAGTCGTTCGGGTGAGGCTGAAGTCCATCAGAGGGCCACGTATGAAGACCAACAACCATCCACACTCACATTCACACCTATGGTCAATTAAGAGTGAATAATTGAACTATGTTTCTGGACTGAGGGAGGAGTTACTGGACAAAACAATCACACAGAGGACATGAAAACCCAATGCAGAAAGACAAGGGATTGAAAAACAATCACACAGAGGACATGAAAACTTAAGGATTGAACCGGTGGCCTTCTCACTGTAAGGCAAGCATGTTAACCACTTCTTCTACCTTATTTCCAAAGTAAAATCTTTAAAGAAATAGTAGTCAGTAATTATAACACGTTGACTGTAGATTCATCTCGCTCTTATATCTGAGTCCCAAGGACAGTGTCCAAATCTTCAGTCCGTGTTAGTGTGAACGCTCTGTGAAGGCACATTTACCAAGTGGAACTCTTTTCATTTGCTCAGCAATTTCTTCAATTATCCAAACAAACAAGAAGCCGAGACTTCTGCCGTGTTTATCCCTGGACCGGTCGTCAAAAACGAAGACCTCACGATTTGTCAGAGCGGACGCCGAGGAACAGAGGGTCTCATTGACATCATCAAACTCCTGTCACGATCATCTAACATCTGCATTTGATAACCTACTGGGTTGATGCACCACACACCTTTCTGTTTATGTACAAGCCTGCGTTCAGGAATTTATGTAATATTTACAGGGATGTGTCAAAGAAAGACATGAAAAGGCAGCGACTGAAGTTCCAGCAAAGCCTTAAAAAAACAGTCGAGGTAAACCAAATGTTCAGGTCTACAGGAGACAGGCCTACGTCCTGCAACGACCTGTGAGCCAGTAGCAGCTTCTTTTGGGTCAAAGGCAGGTCGGACCTTCCACGGTCAGAATAAGATTATTTAAGAAAGGCCTCTGTGGAGGAGCAGCCGCCAAGGAACCTTTTTTGGTGAAAAGACAGAAATATGCCTGGACTGAAACAAACGGAATCAGTGGGAAGAAATGTGACGAGTGAAAGTGTGAATCATCGGCGTCCAATCACATTTAAATATTATAATGCATGCAGAAAAAAGCAACAACTGAACGCAGAAAAATGGACGACAGTTCCACGAAACACCAGTGTAGGTCAAAAAGTTCTAAGACAGATGTTATACTTTTAAAGCTCAAAATGCCTCAACACATTCAGACATCACCTGATGTTGATATGTTTTTTTAACCCCAAGTCCAACTTTCTTTTCAAAGTGGACCTTATTTATAGATATTTTTTTCTTAAACTATATTTGTACTGAACAGAGTAAAAATAGGTCATACAGCAAGAGCGAGGAGGGTCGAGGGGTCAAAGAGCAACTTCTCCCCCGGTGCCAGCCTCTGATTCTCCAGATGAAGCTCCTTCAGCTCAGTGAGCTGCTCCAGACCCTCCACCACTGTGATCCTGTTTCCACCCAGATACCTGCAAAAAACCCACACCTTTACACACTCACACCAACAGAGCCATACACGTGTCAGCATGTGGGGAACCACAGCAGAACCTACAGTTTGGAGAGCATCTGCAGACTGGAGAGGTTTTCCATTCGAGTGATGTCGTTGTTCTGCATGTACAGATGAGTCAGGTTGAAGGCGAAGCCCAGGTTGCAAATCTTTGTGATTTGATTGTCGTACAAGTAGAGAACAGTGAGGTTTCTGCACAAGGAGATGTCGCCCTGGAACAAGGAGGGAAAAGAGAAATAAGAAATAAATGTCTGATTTATTATTGATGATAAATAAGAGCTGTTAATACACTGTCCTGCCATAATCTCATTTGACTCTGCAGCATTCTGGTCAATATTTATCCCATAATTTGATTTAATCTGTGCAATATTGGAGTTGATGCCTTCACTTTGAAATTCACTTTGAAGAAAGCTGTAATGCCAACAATTCCCACCAGAAACCCATACTTTTTTCAGATTCCATTTTTTTATTTTATTTTATTTTACAAATGTGAATCATGAGATGGAGATGCTTACGATGTCTTGGATGTTCTTGTTGGAGAAGTGCAGGTGAGTGATGGTCTTCAGGTACTCTGGATGGGAGAGGCCCCTCTTCTTTTTGAAGCGACTAATGGACTTGGCGATCAGGTCTGCGGTCAGAAGCACCATGGCGGCAGCGCTGAGACACAAACGCTGCTGCTGAGACGGGATCCTTTTCAGCTCCAGTCAGGCATCCAGTCCACTAATGCCAACAATTCCCACCAGAAACCCATACTTTTTTCAGATTCCATTTTTTTATTTTATTTTATTTTACAAATGTGAATCATGAGATGGAGATGCTTACGATGTCTTGGATGTTCTTGTTGGAGAAGTGCAGGTGAGTGATGGTCTTCAGGTACTCTGGATGGGAGAGGCCCCTCTTCTTTTTGAAGCGACTAATGGACTTGGCGATCAGGTCTGCGGTCAGAAGCACCATGGCGGCAGCGCTGAGACACAAACGCTGCTGCTGAGACGGGATCCTTTTCAGCTCCAGTCAGGCATCCAGTCCACAGCAGAGGCTTGAACTGTCTGTGTGTGTGTGGGGGGGTGTAGAAAAAAAAGACGTGAGCAAAGAGAGCAGCTTTAAACCACATGTGACTCTGATTAACCTTGCGTGCAACATTCAGTGGACAAACACATGCGTGTCAGTCCAAATTATGGAGGGTGATTGATAAAGAGACATCACTGCTCTACAGGAAAGCTGCTAAGAGGCCAGGAGATGAGTGACCACTCAATTTGTGTTGTGAAGGGAGCGAGCAATTCCCTGAGCAGTCGCAGAGCAGATCCCACCACTTCCTTTTTATCCAGTGAATACGTTAGCTTGACCTGACTTTTGAGGTGAGACATTTTGCATCATAATCAAGATTATACACATTATGAACAGCATCAGTGCTGCTATGAGGACAATTGTTTTTTAAGTTTACAGTTTTCACACTGGATTTGGAGTCACGAAGGTGGAGGTGAAGGAGACAAGAATCACTGATCAATGAAGTATTGGCTGACTGAACTCTTAGGTCCCCACAGCTCTACCCTCTGGAGGTTTGTGAGAAGTACTACATCATCGTCAAACTAAGTATGACCCACAGTCACGTGTTAAATATGGATACAAGGGTGTACAAATGAAGGCAGCCTTCTGTTGACAAATCACTTTCACTGTAGTAGGTTGTCTTTTAGATTCATTTTTAGATTCATTTTTAATACAACTATATATATATATAAGCAGTGTTCAGCCAGGCTGTTTAAGTTTACTGTTTAAACTGACTTTTATAAAGCAGGTTAGGTTTAAAAGACCCATTAGCCGCTCTTTGTTTCATTCATTAGAACAGCTTTTAAAAACATTTTCAATAGAACACCATGGGTGCATTTTGTTGCCAGATATTGTGTGTTTTAATACATGAAAAAAAAAACCCAAAACGCTTTAGCAGAATTAGCATGGAAATTAAACAACGAAACTCACCAACAGTTAGTCATGGCAGCTGACGTCTCCAGGTAGGCAGTCCTCCACATGTATATCATATAAAATCAAGTTGCCCTTCAATGTCGTTGTATAGAAGAACAATACATCATGTTTTGAGCGTAAGCCTATGGATTAAAACAGAGATAAAACTGAAGCATTAAGGTTAGACTACCGGTAATTGGGTCGCGCACAAATGAGCATTTATACTAAGCCAATTTTGTCATGAACGTCAATTATTTTACTTATTCGCATAATATTGGCTAAACTTTCTTACCTCATGGAATTTCGGGAATGTAGAAAAAACAAAATGTCAAGTGAACGCCGTTAGTTTGAAACGGTTTTGTTTGAAAAAAATCGACGCCGTTGCTACGGAAACTACGGAAGCCGTGCGGTGGTTACAGAATATAATGGGTCACGACGGTGACTGTATTTGCTGAATTTTGTATGTTCTTTATTTTTAATATTATTTATTAAAACAAAGTTTTTACTCTGTTGACTAATAAAAAAAACTACCAAAAGAAATAAATTCGCCAACACAGACACAGTTTTACAGTGACAGTATCCACAATTATAATAAAATCAGAAAATAACAGTGACGTTGAATTAATTTTTTTCCTAAAATTAGAAATGTAAGTGCATTATATAAATTATATTTATATATGTAATATTTTTTAGTATTTTAAGTATTTACAGTAATCTTTTTTAAAATATATGCTTATCAAGTATTTATATTTTTTGGAAACCACTGTATTTGCTTTTTCTTTTTAAAAAAAATTATAAATAGTTTAAGGTTCAACTGTATTCTGACATTTGTAGACATGCGTTTGCATTTTATAGCTCAAATACAATTAAAAAAACACAAACTAAAATGTGGAATATTTAACGAAGGCTGTCATTAAACATTACAAACCCTGCGTTCAATTTCACTGTTCACATTTGTCTTAACTGGTATTTGTCCAGGCTTTTGCGTGTCTCCCCAACATGTCAGGACCACAGCCCTCGTCTCCCACTGACCCCTTTCTAGTTAATCTACATCATGCCCTGACCTGAGCTTCCTGTGAGGCAGTGACTCGCTGCCACTTATGCAGGACCACATGGCTAAGAGGAAGTGTGGTCCTGTTTCTCTTACTCCACATAGACACCACCATCGCGGGTCTAACTGGGAACCAGCCCTCAGTGGAGGCCACGGGCTTTGAAATACTGCAGAATGATAGGATTTCATTAACCTGCAGCTCTCATATGAACACCACTCATAATCACATTATACAATTTTGTGGACAGCACAGAATACTCCATCACTCTGTGCTACTTTGTTATTCCAAAACTACTAAATATAACAAGAAATAAAAAGTAATACAGAGGTTATGCTTTCTTTTGGCTGCCCACAATTTGACTTGATTGAAATTTACATAAAATTCCACATTCCATCTTAAGTCATGCATACAAATGTCCATCTGGTGAACACAATATTTACATGTCCAATGAGTTCAACATGTTGGACAGGGTCTTAAAATCACCACAAATGACCAAACACTAGATGAAACTATACGTGCATACTTCGAATACTTCCACAGTACTGTAACAGTCACCAATGTCATACATTTAAATATCTGGCAAAAGAAAAGGAAATTAATTTGAATAAGAGTATTCAGAACCAGAAAAAGATTTTAGTTTTCCAAATCATTTATATTTCTTTAGCACTGTATTGAAAACCCTTTATTTTAAAACATAATGTTGCAAGAAAATCATTATAAGAATTGGTGCCAAAGCCAATGCATGTGAGAAAACGCAGACACCTCCTGAACTCCGCTGGGATTCTCTCCTTTGCAACACATGACATTAAAAATATACATTTAAGCATGACAATACCATAGAAAAGACATGACACGAACCCCAGCCAACGCAGCTGTCTGAGAGAAAGGTAGACGTGCTGAGCGTCTGATGGCTGGGATGGAGAGCAGACACTGTGGCTGAATAGACTCCAGTGTGCACGGCTTCTGTTTCTGCACTGCATCACTGCCACGGCGCGACCTGACGAGCCCACCACTCGGCCCACACTCGTACCAGCGAGAGCCAAACGGTGCGGGGAGTGACTCCGCAGAGACGTCCCCCACATGGCCGCCGTGTCCATCTGAGCTTAGACAGAGAACTGGAATTTGTTGTTCCATTATGTAAAAGCCATGATGGGCTGCACATGAGTGACTGACTGGTCTGAGGTTTGGCTGTAGGTTAAATGTAACCGTAGTCTGCGTGTGTGTGTGTGTGTACTGGGAAGAATGGAAACAATAACGCAGAGCTTAAGTAAATATGTGCAGGAAAATTCATCAGTGTAATGTTACAGTCAGTGTAATGTTACAGTCTAATGTTGTAATGTTCAGCCCTAAATAAACTCATCAAATGTTGTTTAGGAAAGAACAGAACAGACACACACACACTCCTAAATGTTGTATTTCTTTATTTTCTAGAGTTCCCGTTGTGTTCTGTAGCTAATCCAAAGAAATAAATGGTCACTAAAAAAACAGATGACCCAACTCTTAACTAATAACATCTAGACATGCAGAAAAAAAAAGCCTCAACACCCGACTTTTGTCAGCTCAGGGTTCAGTCTTAAGTGGCAGACGTGTTGATTTGATTGAAGAGTTTGTCCTTAATGACCTGAGACATCAGGCCGTGAATCGCCTCTATGGTTGTCTTGCAGCTAAAATAAATAGATAATGATAATAAAAAAACATTAGGGATTTGAATGAATAAAAACACTCATCTGGACAATGAGAGGTTAACTCAAGAGCAGTGTTAGTAAAAAATGTGGAGTAGAAGACTTTGATTATTGTTCTTTTTTTTTTTTACCAATTTGTGAATTTTCTTTGTAAAAAAACAAAATAATATGTAAAAAGCAATAAACACTACAAATATTTCATAACGTTAAAATTATATTATATATATATACATATATATTTATTAACACTTTTGACTAAAACATTTTTCAATATTTATTTTTTAAATCATACAAAATTATTCTTTAAATTTTAACACTTCAAAAATTAACAACTATAATTAATTATTCGTTTAAGTAATTTTACACACATATATATAGAAAACACTGAATATACATATTTGTCAGGCAGGGGCTCACACTAAAATTTGGCATTTCACTACATTTATTAATTTAATTTATTAACACTTTTTTAAAAAGGTAGATTTTTAAAAAAAGTTATTGTTATAAGTATTTTATATGCTCCTCAATTAAATGTATCATTTTCTAAAATAAACAAATTTTAGAAATGTGTCAGAAGAGACATGACCAACTATAAAATAAAGTAAAATAAAATAAAATAAATTAAAACTCAGGAACAATCCAGTTGAGGGAACATATCGTAAAAGTGATGTCATCAACGTTGAGATTATTTAAAAAAATAAACAGCCTGGATTTGTTTGTGCGTTTTTTGAGGAGAGCACTCACCTGTCTCGTGTCGCTTTGGCAAGTTTGTCCTCCGACTTCCTGTCGTGTGTGTCCAAGCCCAGCATGAAGCTGCCTCTGCCCAGCTGAGCCTCCGACTGCTCCAGCTTCTCTGACAGGTCAAACACCTGACCCGTGGTGTAGTCCGAGTTCTGACCATCCAACGTACACCCAGACAAACAGGCACAGGCACACAAAGACAGGCGTAAACAAACAGGCCGATTCATGCGCAATTTGACAACAAAGGCCGAATCAGAGATTTTTCCACAGAGCGCAGAGACTCTGAGTAGAAAGCTGCAGGAACTCCGTGTCTCCCGGTGAATGGAGAGAGAGTGGACGAGACGTTTGCTTAAGGTGAGGCCATGTTTTGAGTGAAAAAGGTAATTAATAGACAATGACACGGGGGCCCCCGGACAAGAGTGACAGTGTAGCCACTGACAAAGCCTGACACCCGGGGAGCTGCTGGCTCCTGACATCTAGTCAATTCATCTTCACCCAGAGAGGCAGAGAGCTCAGTGTTTGGATAGGACTGCTGTCTGTCTGTGCTGTTTGGTTAGGCTTAGGACAGAGGGTCCGCAGCCACAAAGGGAATTCACATCAGGGGCTTTCAATCTTTTCATTGAAGCCCTGGGTGAGAGGAGACGAACTGTGCTGAAAATCACCACAACATCTGCATCACTGCGGTCGCGGCCGGCACTAATGCTCCCTGCCCTGCTTCAAAAAGTTTAAAACGAAGCCTATTACCAACATCAATAAACAATGAGGGCTTCGCTAATAGGCTGTAATTAATCACAACATCACACGCTGATGACCACACGTCACCGTGAGTTATAGTGTAATAATTAACCATTAATCAACGTGTCAAACTATTAGAAAACTTTTTATTCCACAAGTCGACTTCTTTACCGTCAGCAGGCTGGAGGAGCTCAAGGTGTTGACCCAGTATTTGTTCCAAAGAAGTTCAAGGAGTTTTCTATCGAGGGACGACTTAAAGTAGGTGACCTCCAGGGCGTAGTACCTGAGGAGAACAGAGGTCAGAAGACACACAGAAACGTTGGGTTTTAGCAGCGCTGCAGTCGATAGAAGAAACAAATGCCTGTAATTGAACTCACTGTTTACAGTGGACACCAAAGTCTTCAATCTTATTCAGAGGTATAGTCTGATACTCTGATGGCCCTTCATCAGGAGGTTTGTAACCCTGAGAATCCAAAGAAATGTTTGGGGAAAAAAATCAGAGGAGGTAAATCGAGCAGAACTGGAATTAGCAGATGTGACGGATGGACGATTGAGATTCATTCTAAACCAATGTTTCCAAAACTTTGTACGTAATGTAATGAAATATAATGAGCTTCTAGTTTGTGATACTTACTGATAACCTTATTCACTATCAAACACTGGCCTGTTTAGTTGAACACAATGCTAATATAGTCACTGGAATTGAGGAAAGACACACATTAAACCTTCTTAAGCTTTCACAGCCACCTGCTGCCTCCTAGTGGAATTATTCTGCCTGTCGCTGTCATTAGTAAATAATATTTTCCTAACCAATATGAGAAATTGTATACTTTTTTAAGGTAGACCTGATGACCTCTCACAGGATTCTGTAGAATATTTCACATAATTATGAAAATACCATTCAATTTAAAGCTTTAGGGACAGTTAAAATAAAAAGCACATTCTCAATCATCAATATGTACAGTATTAAAATGTTTACATTCGACCATCAGCCCAAAGCCTTAGTACCTTGTCAGATTTAGTATTACATAAATAATGCATGAAGAAAGGCTCAAGAAGCTCTAAATGCAAGTCATGTAATCTAGTTTAATCCAGCAGTCTCAGAAATATGATCTCTGTTTTACCTTAGGGTAAGTTCTGAAGGCGCCCAGGTTGACCTTCCCCGCAGAAATGGTCCGAGTGGGGTCAATCTGCAGGAAGAGGGATACAGTAGAAGAGGAAAACAAAGTCAGGGGGTCGCACGAACCTCCTGGGACGACTCAGCTCCGGCCACCAGGAGCCGCTCACTGTGGCTGTCAGCGTGTGGAGAGTGTGCACTTAATTACCCAATGCCTGTGGCAGTTTTAAATACCGCCAAACCAAATGAAGTGTAAATAGCATATTTGGTTGCAATAGCAAAAATATTCGTCTGTACAACGCACAGAGCCGCGACTCATTCATCAACCGTCCCACAGCCCGTCTCCGTTACACGCACAGCAACGAGTGTTGTCACAGTCGGAAAGCAAAGAGCTTATTTTCCCAAATTCCTTTTTAATGGCGTGCAATTAGAGAATCGATGGGAAAAAAAGTGTTGGACTTGAAATAACAGAGGGTTCTACTCCCTTTCTTACCACGACTGCCACAAAAGGCTCCTGGAACTGTTGGTTGAGCATCTGAGTGCTGACATCGATGCCCGACAGCCAGCACCCATAACCAGGGTGACTGTGGTACCAGCCAATGGCATTCTCCAGACGGCCGACCTGAGGGAATTAGACACGGAACAGACATGGGTGATGGAGACAATAAAATACATCTGAGAATATTCTACACTGCTGAGTTACAGGATCAGACACTGAATATAGAAGAGGGGAAAAAGAAATTCAGTCATCGCTGGATGTAAATGAGTGAGGAGGAAATCTCCAACTGCAGGAATGTTTAGGAATCAGACTCTTCTATTAGTTCTTATTCAGTAAAAAGTACTTTTTAATAATAATATTAATTTAAAAACAACTGAAGGAATGTTTAGGAATCAGACTCTTCTATTAGTTCTTATTCAGTAAAAAGTACTGTTTAATAATAATATTAATTTTAAAAATCAAAAAAAAAAAAGGTTTTCCAATTTTCTTACAGACCATCATTCCTCATCATTCCTAATCAGTATAGTTAATTCAAAGAAACTACTATTATGTTATAAAACTTAATGAATTATATTTGTAGGCTACATGCTATATTTGTACATACATGCTTCGTAAATGGAAAACATGTTATATTTAAGTTTTTAATAAATAGGGATTTGAAATAGAAATATACTAATATTTGTAATTATAAAAATAACTAAATATTACATTTTTAGCTACTTTATTTTGCTCACAAGAAAATTTAGACACATTTATTTGTTGGGGGAAAGCTTAGGTCACTTGGTTAGTGTATACATGGTTAGATTCTTCGACACATTTTTAAGCCTTTGGGTGAAACACAGTGTTCCTGCTGTAGTTTAACCAAAGTAGGTTTACGTCAGGAGTCTGACCTGTTTGGCATTTTCAATATACGCTGCCATATACTCATATGCAGCAGCCTGGGCGTTGACTCTGGTCTCTGTGCCTTCCACTGGCAGGGCAAAGCTGTCCATGATGATCATGGTTTCTCCGTCCACCTTTCCCAGCATGAGGCCCATCACCTCCAGGTTCCCTCCAGACCTGGCGTGCATTACCATCTTCAGCAGGGCCAGAGCTGAGAGCTTGCAATACTTGAAGTAATGGTGACTATGGATGGAAGAAAGATCACATATCAGTAATGTTTGGGGTATTACGTGTGCTTGTATGTGTATTTGTATAGCTAGAAAAACACAAAGCAGCTTTACAGAAATACAGACACTGTAAACACTCATACTACACTTTAAACACATCCTGGACATGGTCAAATGAATAAAGAGATATTTACACTAAGAATCACATCAACATGAAGTCTAAAATACTGTTTGTGTGTACTCACTCCTTCGTCCAAGGCTTCGCTGCGAGGATTTCTTGTTGTTGTTTCTTGTCATATTTGTAAATTTCGTCTATGCTCTGAACTTCCTGCATACTGTTCGATAACTCCCATGTTTTCTGGGCTGTGCTGCTGCCCGCCATGATACTTCAGCACAAATACAAACACTGATTAATAAGAAGAAAACGTATTTGTCAGGAATTTGTTGCCGCAACCGTATGAGAGACGTCCATTTACTCAGGAAGCCATGACAGTGAACGATACCAAGCTGTGAACACGGGTAATGATCGAGCCACTTTGATAACGCACTCAAAGACGAAATGTTTTGTATGATTCATTAATTTATGACATTACAATAAAAACACATAACATTTTTTCCACATTTGAAAAGAAAAAAGCCGCACTGTATTGATAACAAAATAACACACACACCCCTTATAGTAAAGAAAATAGTTTCGTCCGAGGAGGAAGTAAACCAACCGTTGGAGATGCACTGACATCTAGCGGCGAGCATTAGAAGTTGACATAACATTGAACTGCGCGTGAGTTCTTACTAATACACTCGCAGGCCTGACCTTCATGTGTTTGAGAAACTGTGTGGTTTGGTTTTTGCTGCAAAATTATTATTATTATTTTGCTAAACTACGAGTCATAATTCAATTTTGTTTGTTAGCGCTGTCTGCTTTTCCTTGGAGATTATTGTGTCATTGTTGCCCATAGCAACGAAACGATGCTTTGCGCCGTGGCGACAGGCTTTTGTCTTGATCCTTTAAATATGAAAGTTGAAATTTAGATTAGCCTCTGAATTTTTTTTGTCGATATTGAAAACAGTGACAGAACTTTTAATGTCGAATGCTAAACTGACTCGAGGACTGCTCTGTTCGCTGGACATTAAACTGGACAAAAGACTTTCCTCGAGGGCATTTGGAGGACATAAGAATAGTCTTAATGCACAGTACGGTACGTGAATTATGAATGCACTAAATCGTATTAATAATTACGCCGTAATACAATAATGAAGATGATGGCGATTATTATATAAATATCGACGATTGCATTTAAAAATATCGATCTGGATTATTTATTATGTTGACCGTAAGGACAAAAAACATCAAAAAACGAATTGATTTCTTTACGTTAAGGAAAAACTCACAAAACAACTCTTTTGTAATAAATCAACTATACAGACACCGAATTATGGAACAATTTTCAAAATGCACAAAATGCAAAAAAAAGAAAAAGAAAAAAAGTAAGTCCACTTAAGCAGAATTATTAAATGACTTTTTCCATAGTTAAATTCCGAATCAGTTTAAAAATATGAACGAACATGATTTTGATCATGATTTTGATGTTGTTTTATAAATGAATGTTCTCCTCAGTCCAGAGCTGGTGATGTAGACAACACTGTACCTACAGAATGCCTCCTGCATCTGCGGTGCACAGGGTTAACCCTGATACAAACACAGGTGCAGTTCATATCTTTTTAAATCAACAGTTTACATTCTTTAGGTGTGTGTGTGTGTGTTTTTTTTGTTATTATTATTTTAAACTTGATTTTTCTCTCTTGTCCAGGACTGGGCTTAACTTTGATGCTAGGAACAGAATATGAAAAGAAGAAACAGAAACTTCTGCAGGAGCTCCAGCTGGACTACAAACACTACATTTCCCAGGTGTGAAAATGGGTGGACAAAAACGTACCATCAGTTCAGCATGGTTGGGTTTTCCCTGTCATTGAATATTTGTTCTTTCCCCAGAAAAGCCATGTGAAAGTTAGTAAACGTCTCTCACAGACACCCAGTGTCTCACTGCCTATTGATGAACATTTATCAGCCAAGGTAAGACTCCCTCAACAACACCAAGACACTGAGACTCCAGGTCTTCACGTGGTTCAGGTGGAGGTTCCTCAGTGATGTTTTCACTTTAGAAGAAAAATTAAAAAACAAGTTTGTGACTTTTAATTAAAATGTGCCCAATTAAAAACCCAAATCTGCTGCATGATGAAAGTTACATTAACACCAGTGGAAATAACACCAGCTCGGTTGTTAATCGTCCACCAGTTCTGTTTCATGGCAACTGCAGTTGTGCTACGGAAACTTATTAAAACATAAAACACGCTTACACACACACACACACTGATATTTAGAACAAGTCTTTTTTTAACATTTCTGTAATGTTATAAAAAGACAAATGGCAGTGATTTAATTTAGTGTTGATGAACAGAAGAATGAAAGAATGCAGAAAATGCACAGGTATGTGGTTCCTGTGGGAATCAAACCCAGGACTCTCTGCTCCAGAGGCCTGACTGGTTTTGTTTACCTCTCAGGAAAAACTAAGGGAAGAGAGGAAGAGAGAATACAATACATTTCTCCAGGACAAAGCTCAAATCAACAGGTCAAAGAAGAAGACAGCCTTGTCAACTGCTAAGGTAAATTGTATGGATGTATATCATCTATTTATCATATTTTAAAATGGATAAAACACCATTTTTGTTTAAATAAAAAAAAATGTTTTCTTCATCTGGAGCCTGAACAAGGACAGTCTACAGACACTGAACATGTTTCCTCTCGACCTGCTGCCCTGCTGGTCCTCAAAACCCAAACTAAGACCAGCACTCCTCAGACGAAGAGGCCTTTATCCAGGAGAGACGCTGCCACTCTGACTGAAGCAGTGGAGAAAACAACAAACAGAAGAACGTGGGATCGAAGTGAACGGAGGAGAAAGCGTTGGCTGCTCTACAGGCCAGTAGAACTTCATAGCTCTGAAGAGGAGCTCTTCAGAGATGAGGAGGAAGAAGGGGAGATAGATCTGGGACCCAGGAGAAAGAACGCAGACAGTCCAGAGTCAGAAGAGAGGAGGGGGAGAGAGTCCAGAGATAAGAGGTGTGACTGATATCATGTACAGGTAATATATAATATTTAGCACACTGTAGTTTACAAGCTTTTCTTTCGTGTTTCTTCAGCAGAGCTCCTCGAAAAGTGAAGGAAATAGAGACCTCTGGCGGTCAGGATCAGAAAATCATTGACTTTTATGTGAAACCAGAGTAAGAACAAATAATAATCATTCATGTTATTCATTCACTCTTTGTTTCTTAACCTGGAAAGATTCATGCATCTTCAATATAATAGCTTTAATTCAAAATATCATATATATATATTTTGTCTCTAGACATAAGGCCAAAAAATGTTAGAAGTATGCTGAAAAAATAGCTAAAAGTTTGGCAGAAGATGCTGTAAAATAAACCAAAACACACAGAGAAGATGTTAAGGTTTCTGACTTACAATCCTACAGGATCAAAAATGCCTAGTAACCAAAACGCTACTTTAAAAAAGAATAAAAGAAGAAGAAGTAAAACTTACACCAAGAGCTAAAATTGGCCCCTGAACCAGACTTTGGACTTGCTTTAGACAAATGGAGTCTCAGTAACAGTTTTCACCATGCAGAGCAGAAGTCAATAATATCCTCCTGTCACATTAATCCTCCCAAGTCAATAACACAGCGACTGTATGAGCCAACACTGAGTCACTGCAACAATGAGCACATATTGATTATTGATCTCATATTTACTGTTAGTGCTTTTCCAAATTTCTCTCAAATGACGCTGCCTCTGACTGTCTACTGCTGGGGCCATTAATTTAAGCTGTTGTCAGGAAGCTGTTACCATGAGGGGGCAAAGATCGAGGTCCAGTCTTGGCCTGGGTCCAGGTACACACTTAGACCAGGTCTATTAGAGGACTGGCTGGACTGATGGGGTTCTTACACTCCTGTCTCTGAGTTAGAGACCAGGGAGGATGAATGTGAGGCAGCACTGATGTAAACTGATGACTGTTGTGTTTTCAACACTGTGTGTACAACAGCCTGCAGAAGCCAGACGGCAGCAGAGTGTCTGCCGTCATCAACGACAGAGCTGAGTTTGCTACCGGGCTGCTGATTGGTAAAGACCTAGAGTACATTCACACTAAAGAAATACCTGATAGGATTGAGGATTTGGGTTGTGAGCCTCAGTGCTGGGTTTGTCGTGCAGGATCAGCAGAGGAACAGTCCAGCACTCAGCTGAGGAAGGAACAGTATAAACAGGAGCTCCTGAAACAAATGGAAGAGGAGCAGAGGAACAGGATGAGGTTAGGATTAATTTATCAACAACTGAAGGATCAGGAGACAGAAGGTCAGAAGTGATGGGGATATTTACACTTGTCAGGGAGAAGAAACTTGAGCTTCGAGTCGCAGCCACTGGAGCCACAGACCCTGAGAAAAAGGTAAGAAAGGAGAAATTTTACAGACCAGGTCTATATTATATACAGTATACATATACAGTATATATTATTGTCTTGACATCATCTCAACAGCCCGACCGCATTAAGCAGTTTAGGGTTATACATCCGACTGGACATAACGCTCACCTACTGGGAAAACAACAGCAGGTCATAGTAAGAGAAGGAGATCTGAGACCTAAAGATCAGAGGTCGGGTGAAAACACAGAAAAAAGGCGTTTACCAGAAGTGTTCCAGGTAAACACTGTTACCAGATCTGGGACTGAAGAAAAACCAGGTCTGGATTATTTACAGGAAGACTACCACAGGGACATCACACAGATGCTCAGAGAGGTGGCCATACCAAGGTAGCACACCTCAGCTTTGATGTTCTACCAAAAAGATAAAAATAAGATAAATTCATTTGTTTCTGTTATGGTTTAATTTTTTTCAGAGCTGCTGATGTTCCTCCTCCTCCGTCAGTGCCAACTGTATCTAAAAATTACACGACACCATATGATGCAGCCTATTACTACTATGGAGCAAGAAATCCTCTGGATCCAAGCCGTCAACAATATCAAAGTAAGTAAAGATGACAATTTTGCTAAATGTGTTTGATGCATTTCCTTTGTGAGGACTTTTACCAAAAAGATGAAACGTACAGTTTTATTAGATGGGATCTGGGTCGGCCCTGCAGCTCTGCATGTCCTTATGTTTAACCGAGTTTGGATTTATATTTTACTGCCAGATTTCCTGCCTGCTCTCAGCTCAGAGGGCCGTGCTCGTACTGTTGGGTGAAAAAGCCGTCAGACTGTGGCAGCAGAGAGCTGCTGAAGAAGATTATCTCTGTGGTCCATTAAGTATGTTTCTCTTTTCTTTCGCCCTCAGGTGATTTGTCTGGACTGGTGCAGCAGTCTGTGAGTCTCCAGAGTTCTCCTGAAAAACCACCTCCACCCAGACCACAGTCAGTGTCTCTGTCTGTTCTACCGAGTTCAGCACACTTGTTTATCATTATAGATACTAACTGACCTGGTGAACATGATGCTCCTTTTTTAGGCCGACTGAACCACAGGCAGCGTCTCCTCCAGTCTTGGTTGGAGAGCTTTCTGTAGACGAGTCCAAGAGAAGGAGGGAGAGTGCCTTAAACTACCAGGAAGCACTTAAACAGCAGGTACAACATTTACTCCGTCATCAGTTACCTGATCAGCCGTACACACCTGTAGCTTTAATGTCTGTCTTCCAGCTGTGTCAGGTTTTATTTTTTTCCCCAAAGAGTCTGTTAGACCTGTCAAACACAAAATAACATCTTTGAGAAGGTACAATCTTTATTTTACTTCATTGTAAAAGTTTCTCTTCATGAGCTGGTAGCCAGTATTTTTGGACATTTTTTCTTAACACCCCCCTCCCATCCTGATATATTTATTTTGGATTATTTTTAGAGTTTTTTTTATTGAGATGTACATCCAAATGGAAAGGGCATTTAATTTATTTTGTTTGGAGTATGACACTCTCTTGGCAAATGGCTCGACCTACTACGATGAATTGACCTTTGACTCCCTTGAAAATGTCACATGAATGTGCACGTCCACGTTGGGTCACCACGTCCACCTTTTTGCCCCCGTCCCCTGTGGACCTTTGAACTGGTCAGAAATTGTCTCTGTTGACCTTTCGTAGGTCTCTTGTAGACCTCCTTCAGATGTTCAAGAGAACATGGGTTACAGCAGCTCAGACCAAAGAGCAGCACGCTGTGAGAAACCCTTCAAACCTTCTGCTGTGTCATTTCGTGTGATAAGATCAAAGAACGAGAGGAGCAAAGAAAAAGAGAAAAAGAGGAGAAGGAGCGCTACGATGCCAGGATGGAGGCTGAGATGACGGTGTACAACCCCTGGGGGAGAAGTGGAGGAGGTGCGCCTATAAAAGACCAAAAGGGAAATCTTTTTAGTGAGTTGACTTTCACTTCCTTACGAGGACATCTGAATAGAAGTCGTTCTTTTATGATGGATGATGATACTCAGAGAACGTGTTAGTAATGTGTTCATGTTTCTGTGGCCTCAGGTGACTTGAATCAAATGCACAGGATCAACGAGGAGACGTATAAGAATCCTGACTTCAAGAACGATGAGCAGAGGCAGAGTTCAAATGGAGAATTTTCTGCAGTTGAAGTCAAGGCTTCTTACTCTCATCCACTCCCAGGTAAAGGCCAAACTCACTGGTATTTTATTCCATTTACTTTGACTTATGTTAATGGATTACATGCAAACTCACTGGTATTTTATTCCATTTATGACTTACGTTAATGGATTACATTTTTTTACATTGGTCCTTGTAGACTTCACTAATCCCCAGGGTCCACAGCAGCTCCACATGCAGAACAGATACAAGGAAGAACTGAAACAGCAGGTAGGAACCAGACTCTTACTTCACTGCATATATTACAAATATATACAGGGAAATATTACACTATGGAAATATATGGGAAGGGAATTATTATCTTATCTGTGTGATCTTGGACTAAGGGAAAAAAACAGAGTATGAAGCACCCCCACACACAGGGAGAACATGCAAACTCCATACATTATTGCTGTAAGGCAAGGCAATACTAACCACTCTTCCACTGTGTGGCCTGCAACACCAACAGATCGAGGCGAACAAAAGAAAGCAGGTGGAGGAGAGAGAACGTATAAGGGTCGAGGAGGAGAAAGAGGAGAAGAGGCTGGCAGCTCAGAGGATGCGTATTCAGTGGGAGTACGAGGAGGAACAAAGGAGGCAGAAGATGATAGAGGTGAGGAGTTCACCTCCTGGACAACTTTACTTCACCTCTATAATCACAGTGGTTGGGTTTTGTTCCAGATTGATTGCAGTTCAGAGATGGGTTTGTTTCTGCAGATAAAGCTGGACAATCATAGCTGGATCAATGCACCAAAAATGGGTCATCAGAAGGAGGAAAAAGAGGAGGAAGAGGAGCAGGTACAGGAGACAAAGAAAATGGCAACAGAGAGCAGGTGCAACAGCGATGAGAACAAGTTACCAGTGATGTTTGAGGTAAAATAAGTGAAATATAAGAGTAGAATTAACAAGTAAATAAGGAAAAAGTTGTCGATGATTTCAACATTGTAGACCAGTTCAGTTCTGTAATTTTTAAAACAATTCTCCGATACTCTGAAACTCCTTTGACAGAACAGTTTAGACCTAAATTATTAAATCAATATTTGATTTTCTTTTTGTCTTGGAACTTTTTCTACTACTACATTTACAGAGGCAGCCCTCGCCTCCAGTCCCGGCTGTTCTGAAGAGACGGACCAATCTGGTTCCATCCAGACCTGCCTCTTCTGTCAGCCACCTTTCCTCCAGGACTTCAAGTCAGCGCTCTGTGTCAGCACCACATCACCCATCAGTCCCTGCAGGAACATCCCAGCTAACTGGTACGACCCTGTCCTTATCTAAACACTGGCTCCTTTATTAAAGAGTGATTCTCACCGTTTTATACCACATGTAAAAACAATCCATAGTTTTTACTCCTCACCTCCTCAATCTGTTTTCTTTAGATGGTAACCATGAAGTGATCAGGCAGCTCTCTGCCCTGCGGAGGGTCCTGAAGAAAGAGCAGAAAAACCTTGAAGGTCAGATGGTCAAACGTGATGGACAGGAGCGTCTCCAAACTCCACCCCACAGGTAACACTGCAGCATTTACAGTCACATGTCTGCATGAAAAAAAAAAAACATAACTTTTCTTCCAGGTTAAAAATGAAGTTATCACCTTTATTACATGTGCTTCTCTCCTTCAGGCCTAATTTCACCTAATGCCCCCTGCTGGTGCTCTGAGGTCAAGACACAATACTTACCGTATTCTATTCAGTGAAAATGGCCCCATTTGATTTACAGTTCATATTTAAAAGGAGACTTGTTTTGTTCTTGCAGCCAATGAGAGTGACCTGGGTCAGACTGACCATCTTCTCATCTCCATTAAGAATTGTCTGTGGTAAATTATGACTGCAATAACAGAACAGTATGAACAGGACCTTTCCCAACAGAGCTCCTTGTTCTTCCTCAGTCTGTGTCTCTGTGCAGCATCAGCAGGTTAAGCGGCAGTGCAGCAGCCAATAGAGAGTCGAGTGTTGCTGAAAAGCACATCGACTGTACTTTTCAACATAACGTATGGAAAGAGTCCGCTCAGTTTGACATTTTTTTTGTCCTGTGCTCAGACCCAGACGACGTCATATGGAGGAATCCTCACAGCGAGAAGCCAAACAGCCTTCCACTGCACAAACATACTCAGTCCCTGCACGTGTTCACATAGAGAACATCAGGGAGTTCAATCGGCTTAAATACAGAGGTAATGACTCAGACAATTCAACCGTTAAACACAGGCTCGGTTTATGAAGGGGCAGTTCTTTGCGTTTAATTCTCCATCTACTAGTGTTTGCTTTTTTCAGAGTCCTCTTCACGTGAAGAGGTCATTCAAATGTTCCCCGACCCTCCTATTGATGACCAGAGTCTGGACATCCAACAGCAGGCACTGCTACGTGAGCAGAGACGCAAACTCAGGGTCATGAAAAGAGAAGAAGACGAAGGTCAGCAGAGTGGTGCTCGTAGATAAGAGTTTTTTACTTTTCCTGTTGGACTTCTTGACTGATTTCTCCTCTTCTCCTCAGACTTACTGGACCTTCAACTGAGCTACTATTATCCTGTGAGTCATCACATTCTACAGCAGTGGAGCATGTTTATAATTTAAATCGTTTTTTAAGTGAGCAACATTTAGAAGGATTTATTGAAATAAAAAAATAAAAATATAGCAACAAAAATAATTGAAAAGGTGTAGACTGTATATATCAAATGTTAGCTGTAAAATTAGTAAAAACAACTAGGATAAAAATCTGTTTATGTTTCATTAAAGCTGGATTGTCATTTATAAATAGCAAATGTGCAAAGCAAAATCTTAAAAAGTATCTATTATAATGGAAATCTCAAGGTTAGCAAATAATCTAGATACCAAGAAAAATATCTGTGGTTACAAGGTTACACAGTGACTGGAAATATTCACATTGAATGTTTTGTTTTCTACCCTGAACTGTGGTACCTGGTATGGGAGGGGTGAGCGGAGGAGTCGTCTGTACTTTCTCTGTCACAGTAACAACTTGTCCCTTGTGTTTGTGTCTTCTGTCAGAAGAGGAAAGCTGAGGATCTGGTCCACAGAGGCTCAGTGCTGCCTTCAGAGACCACATTCATGGGTGAGTGTGAACACACACAGACACACACAATGTGTGGGCTGCAGGAGAGAGACAAAACACTCTGAAGATCCATGGCAGTGGAGAAACCTCTGAAAAGCCAAAATTTGGAAAACGTTCTGCTTGCATGATCCATTTTTGTACGTGTTCTTAACAGTTTCTGGGTTTTTGTGTCAAGATGTTTACAGTGGCAGTGACTTTGAGGAGAAGCATCAACGACAAAGGTCTCCTCCACCTCCAGCAGAACATCCGGAAAGCACGTCCACGTGGAGGAGACGTGACTCTGATGTATGATACAGTGATGTCTTCAGGCTGTTCCTCATTTTATGTAATGTTACTTTGGCCCTGAACGTTTTGTTCAATTGACAGATTGAATCTGACGTCAGATCAAACACTCAGTCTCCGCGATTGTCAACCAGTCCTAATAGTGAGCCTGTGGTCAGAGGCAGCAGGTCTTCCAGAAGACAAGTCTCAGGTCAACACAGCAATAAATTAGGTGAGAAAAAAAAGTATGTGTATATAAAGCTTTCACTCTTACTGTGCTGTGACGTTGTTGTTTTCTCTCCAAAGAGATGCTGACTGCTCCTGCTGCTGAAGAAGACGATTCTCTGTCTCTGTCCTCTGCTCTGGAGAGACACAGCTCTGTGGACACCATCGCTACTGAAGCCTGGTTACGGCCTGGAACATCGTCTGCTGTGAAACGGTCTGTGTGTAGAGAGAGACCACTCAGCAGAGAGGAACGTCCACGGTGGCTCACACATAATGTCACATAACTTTCCAAGAAACTGCATCTGGACTGAAAACTTAAATTATTCATTCAAGTCGAGTCCAATTTTTGTATGATGTAGTGAGACATTTAGAATTAAGTAAAATTGATTGTTTTATTATTATTTATGACCCATTCAATTCAATTTACAGCACCTTATGTCATTTTCAGGACAGTTTTATTAATTTTCCTCAGTCAACTTGTAATTATTTTTAGGTTTTCTACTGATTTGTTTTTTCTTGGACGGATGTCAGTTAACTTTTGGCCAATTATAGCTAATTAACAATTAAGCAGGGCAGTTTGTGTAGCTTTTAATTCTGCTTGCTACATTTTAGCCCAATATTCTGTTAGTTAAAAACATGTCTTATTGCCAATAACCCAACACGTTTGAAACATCAGGTGAATTTGAGCACTTCCAATAAACTGATTAAACAAAATTTAAAACTTGAATTCAAACCGATTTAATAGTAACGGCTGTACTACCGAAGAGACCCCAACCTTTGTTGCTGCACGGACCGGTTTCATTTAGGACAATATTCTCCCGGATCTGTCGTCTATTTGTGGCGCAAAACCTCGACAAAATAAAAATATACGAAGGATATTTACGTCAAACATAAAGTTCATTAAAGTATCAAGCACCGCAACGGTTAACACAACATGTTATATAAAGTCATAATCACCTGTGCCGACGGGTTTAAGTACTGTAGGTCTGTAAAGGCGACGTTTATTTTGAAAGGCAGAAGACAACTTCCCTCTCCTTCTCTCCTAGGACCTTTATTTTGACAACGTCCTTACGTACATATCCAAATAAGTTGTAATTGGGCGAGAATCCGGTCATTTTCACAGTAAAACATCTTTCCTACTCCCCAAATGGCAATTCATGTTTTTTAGCAACTCGGTGATGACTGGACTGACCAATGACGGAACCATTAGAATGTGTTATATGAAATGATGTAATGCTATCCTGAGGTCATCATGTTTGTTTACAAATGTGGAAAAATAATAGAAATAAAAAGGACTCGTGTTTTTTATCATTTCAAATCAACCAAGTTCAAAAACTTTATTGACCTAGAACCTGATTAAGATGCCAGATGATGTTTTGTACAGAAACTTGTACATTATCTTTTCGCTTTTTTTGCAACATAGAAAACTTTACATTGCTGTATCATATACATTATGTTTTCTACATCCATGAGCAGGAACACATCCCCATTCATACTTAAAGCACAGCTAACATCTGTCATTCTCTCTATACATTAAACCTTCCCCAAAACAAAAAAACAAAAAAAAACCAACAAAAAAAAAAAACATGAAATATATTATTATTATTATTAACCTTTGATTTTGTACACAAGAATGAAAACTAAAGTCCAAAAACGTGAAAACAGACTAAGTGACTTAAAAGCAGCTAACATCACTCATTCTTTTTTTCTTTTCTTCTTCTTCCAGTTTTCTTCTAACGTCCATTACAAACTTAACAAGTATAAAATAGAATAATTTAAACCCTTCAACATTCCAGCGGTTTATCTTTCTTTCCTCAAACACAAATCAATCGTACTGTGTGGGAACAATCATCAGGAGATGGTAAAGTCAAATAAATTATCACAAAAAAAAAGGTCAAATCTCCAGTGCATTAAAAAAAGAGAGATCAAGTGCAGCAAATCCATCAGAGGAAGGAAGAAAAAAACAAAATAAAAGAAATTTAGTGTGAGTTTATTTTACAGAGTGGCAGATCTGTACAACTAGTATCATCCAGGAGGCTAATCGGTACTAGTGTTAGCCGAATGAGGTGCAGACAAAAAGTGATCATGACTCTGGATTTGTCCTTTTGCCTATTATTGAAACATTTCATTCTGTAAGTATTAAATATACAGTAAGAAGCACACGTTGTATTTTACTTTGAAATATGTTCCGTCTGAGCAAATCAGAGACGTGACAGACTGTCAGTTGTTTTTCAGTAGTTTTATCCACAGGAGGCGTCGCTACACCTTGTATAAAGTGTTACATTTTGTTATTATGATATGAAGAACTCCATCTGAGTTCCCTGTGTACGGGTGGAGAAGAGGATTATGGGTGTGAAACAGGTAAAATGTGTTTGATAGGAGCTGGAGCATCATTGGGCCTCCTCCCCGGCCTCCTCCGCCACCTCTGTCGTCTCCGTCTCTCCTGACTGAGGTTGTATGGGCTCTGGTCTGGGCTCGGGCAGCTGTGCGATGTTGAAGACCAGGCCGATCCTCAGGTAGAACTTTCTGAGGACGGAGCGCAGCTCAGGGATGAGGTCGAACTGCATGATCTCACACAGCAGGGGGTAGTACCTGGACGCATGGGCCTTGAACTGGAAGGTGGAGGAAGAAGTCACACAAGTTATTTTAATGACCAGAGAACGTGTGTCTCTCTATGAACTCACATAAACCTGTTCTGAAAACCTGCCTGACATAGCTGAGAAAACATCAAGCAAGTGTGCATGAGGTGAGGAAGTGGTCAGTGGTTGGAAAAAAAAAAAGTATGATGTAGATGAAAGTTGTCTTTGGTTGCTCACCCTCTCATCGCTGATCTTTAGCACCTTGGTGAGGAAGAGCAGCAGCAGGTTAGTCCAGGCCTCTCTGTGACTCTCTGAGGTCAGGGTCAAGAAGTAGGCTACGGCCTCACTGCACACACTGCACACACACAGGACAAAGAAAACTGATACATGAGTGTGTTTGTGGCACACAAACAGGCTTTGTTTGACATTTTGAAAGAATTCCAGTGCAATTCAGTAGCAAAAACAACTGTACTTATAATTTGGCTATTTCTTGTGGGACTGACTTTTAAGCCACTTCCTGTCGACATTTTGTTGTTTTTAAAGCCCACCTCTTAATTTGTCTTAAGTTGTTTTACCCTTCTGTCCTTTGTGTTGTTTTGTTATGTTACATTCTAATGATTCGCAGCTATCGCTATTGGTTTAGCATTTCTGCTACAGAAAATATGTGCATCTTGAGCTTTTGCTGCCATGATGTTTACAAATGTTGACATTTTTTGACATTTTCCTCCTAAAGGTTACATCTTTCAGTTTTCCTCAGCAGTTGCTCATTTGATCCTCTGACTGAAACCAATTAGACATTTTCTCCACAGTTTTCAGCCTCAGGGCCTGTGGCCTGACCTCTGACCTTGCTCCTGACCCTCCGATTTTCAAACCACATCAACACCATATGTGGGTCATTCAGCCTCCAATATATTAACTTTGCTGCTCTTTAATCTCTATGACAGTCACCTGCCTCCAGTAATTAAAGTCGTGTGTTCTGTTTCTTTATGTTACAGTTTAAATGCCTTCAACATTCTGTCTGAACATTCTGTCTGAACATTCTGTCTACGGTCCTGAAGTGACTCGCATGCAGAGAAGAAGACGTCACACACTGTGTTTAAGGAAGTAAATATGAACGCATCACATGTCAACTGTCCTTCTTGTGTGCTTTCTTACTTGAGAAGTCGCCTCTGCACCTCTGCCCAGGCGTCTTGTCGACTTTCGTCCGTGTACATGCGGAAGAGGATGCGCAGGCCACAGGCCAGACTGCTGGTCTCCTGCTTCAACAGGTTTGGCTTTGATTTTCCCTTAAATCCTTCATTATGCACATTAAAAAAAGACAGAACTGTAAATGGAAATGCTGGGCAAAAACAAGCAGCAGAACAGCTGGAATATATGGATTAAAACACAAAGGTTGATAAAAGCTGTTTTCTTCTTCACCTGCTTTCCACAGGAGAGTCCTCTGCTCGTTGTTGGAGTTAAAGGCTTTGGCGAAGTGGTGAGACTCCAGCAGGCAGTCCAGCATCTTCAGAAGCTGCTCAGACGTCAAGTACCGATACATGCCCTGGTCCTGGGTCTCCACCGGGACCACTGCTGTGTGTGCATCTCTCTACAGGAACAACAACATAAAGAGTGTGTACTGTAAAGGAGGCAGAATCACAATGACACAGCACCACAGTGTGACTCCTGACAGTGAGATGTCTGTACCTGAGCGGCTGCAAAGTTCTCAGCGTCCTCCTTCTTACTGGTGGCAGGAAAAAACACAACGTTGTCGATGGTCTGGATGAGCTCCAGCTGAACCACACACTTGATCAGCAGAGCTGAGAATAAACGCTGCTCCAGGACCTCTGTGGAGGAGACATGGAGAAGTGCATCATGCAAATGTTTCCTTCAAATCCTAAACAAACTTCTGGACCGTATTTAAAGAGGCTCACTTGTTGGTGTCCTACTCTTGTCCTCGAACATGCCCGAGGCTGTGCTGTACTGACTCTGTCGACGGTTCTCCACGCTCACTCTGTCTGCACTGCTGATGGACTGTTGGTCTTCAGAGCGGGACTGGATGTCCACAGACTTCTGGGAGATGGTGTCCTGAAAACATCAGGAAAACATATATAATTTAGATCGATGTACATGTGTGTCCCTGCTGAGTTGATGTGTTTTAGGGGTCGCCATGGTAAGAAGAAATGTGCACAGGGTTAAAAGACCCTGGTTTAAGAACAAACCCCTGACCATAATAAATGATAGACAGCATTCAGATCTGAGGAATTATTCACACAATAATCAGATGAATGTTGTTTACCAGCTGTTTGTCTGAGAGACTCTGTGTCATATGTTCTCCTTCTGGTCTCCATGTTAACAACCTGAAAACACCGAGAAAGAATTGGTTCAGTCGATGTCAATACTGATCATCAAGGACAATATAACAAACTGTAAAACCGCCTTGTGGCCACACTGTCGTCTCTGGCTTTGAATTTCGCCACCAAAACTGCAGCAGAGACAATGAGGGAACAAAAAGAAAATGGACAAGAGAAAAATGGTGACAGCTCCTCAGAGCCGCCTCTGCGTTTTCCCTGCAGTGACTCACGTGTGTGGGATGGTGGTCTTGAAGATGTCCAGCATGCAGTTACAAATCTTGTCCCAGGTCTCGGGTGAGAACTTCTCTCCGTTCAGGATGACCACGTTCTCCAGACAGTTGGTGCCAGAGCGGGCAAGCTGCTCGTTATCTACAGACCAACAAGTGGAGAAGAGGAGAGAGAGGGGAGCGTTAGAGAGAGGGAGCGAGAGACCTTACCGTGACATTCTACAAATTCCAACTTCATGTGATTACACAAAAACTATAAAAAATACAGAAATAGTCACTTCTCACCTTGCTGCACACACCAGTAGAGCTGAGCCAGAATATCGTCCAGCAGAACATCACAGAGAGACTCAAAGTACTGGGTGAAGACGTCACAGATGGCATAAAGTGCATGGTTACAGGTGGTGGTCATCCACTCTGCTTTCTGTGAAGGAGGGGTTCAACAGAAGGTGGAGACAAAGTGAGTGATTGAAGGTCTTAAAAAGATTTTTTTTAAAAGGTTACAGTCTCTTACTTCAGTCTGTTGCTCGGGCAGCTTCATGTTGTCGAAGATCCTGAAGACGATTCTGAACAAATCCTGCCACCAGTGCTTCTCAAAGGTGTGGCCGTAGGTTTTCATCACTTCAAACATCACTGTTAGACCCCTGGGATGAACACGTGAACACATTTTTTTTTTCAAATATTTGATCAAAGCCCAAAGCCTTTGAACTATGACCTCACGGTGACCTTCTCCTACCTAGTCCTGACGTCCAGCTTACACCTGTTGATGATGCAGGAGAGCTCAAAGAGAATGGGGAACCATCCTCTCACCCACACGCGGTCCTCAGGAGCCACGTTGATGTCATCACTGGTGTAGTCTTTGAACGCCTGGCGCACAAGAAAAGGAACAATTATATTATACGTATATATACAGTACATACAGTTTATACTGTATACATATATATGTATAAAACACAAATGTTTCTTCACAAGTACTGATGATGATATAAATATATGTTTTAATATATGTTTTTTAATATATGTTTTAAATGTTGTCTAATGTTGAAGGACTGCTGACCTGCGGCCTGTCTGAGACGTATTTAGCGCAGTGTCTGATGAGGCGGATGGCTTCCATGCTGGTGTCTGGGAAGGAGGCGTTACAGGCGAACTCGGACAGACACTTAACGGCGTCTTGGAAGGAGTCGATGGTGGCTGCAAAGTGCTTTTCAAATACATTCGCTGAGGAGATGGGAAGGAGACAGTGGAGGGTGGGGGTGGAAACAACGGAATTAGTTATAATTCAACAAGTTAAGATGCTAATATTTCTCGACTCTGCAGGTCTCTGTTGGACTTACTGACGATGTGACCTGTGGTCTGAAAGGCCAGCTCCACGATGCTCTCGTCCTGATCTGAAGCAGCCAAGTGGAAGACGGAGAAGATGTTCTTCCAGCCTGAGCGGATGTTTGCCGCCTGGGAGTTGACCATCTGAGCGATGCAGCGTACGACCATGTCTCTGATGGTGGGGGACCTTCAGGAGGAAGCAGAAAAAAACCCCAGATATAAATAAAGATGTAGAATAGAAGTAGAAGGAAAGAAGGAATCTAAAACTAAAGAAAGTAAAAGACTTCTTCGATTAAAATTGAATGTCCAATAACTGTAAAAGATCTCAATAGAATCACCTGAATTCTTTAAATAATAAAACAAAATGTCAGTGACTGTAACCACAGTGAAGAGCTTGTCTGATTGCTTGAGAGTTATGAATGAGAGAAAGGCTGTGCCTCCACTTACCATTACAGACACACACACACACCTTCAGCCAGTGTGAGTGGCTCTAATGGCACACTGTGCTGCAGGGTCACACGTGGCTGACTGCCATCTTCCCTGTGTTAAGGCTCTGGGTCTGTACAGCGTGTGGGTGGATTTATATTTGCACTGCTACTCTATCACATCAATGAAAAGTGCTCTGCAGTAAAACAGCCCGCTCTCAGACGATTACATCGGCCAAATCAAACTCCCCCTAACTGATGGCTCTTTAAATTCCTTGGATCAAACAAGCAGATGGATAAAAAGGCTGAAAATGCATCGACAGGCTGACGAGAGCAAAGTGAAACAGGCTCTGATAACTCTCTCTCTCTCTCACTCAAAGCTGTGGAGCCAAATGTGATCTATTTGTGTAAACTCAAGAAAGTGTGTATGTGTGTGTGTTTTTTTTTAACCTGTTCTTCTTCATGATGTGTTCAAAAGGCCTCAGGAAATCTTTCTGGAATCTGAAATTAGCCAACTCCCCCTTCTCCAGGAATTTCATAGACAGCTGTCTGAGAGAGTCCACCGCGAAAATCGCCACATCTTCATTTGAATTACAGCCAACCTGCGGGGAGAGAACGCACATTTTAACACCGAAGCTGTACAATTGTGCAGCGAGAAGAAAGATTAGACCCCAAGGTAAAATCATTTAGTCCACAATCTAAAGAAATAAAAGAAGTATTTCGCAGTGACTCAGTAAGTAGCCGAATGTTCGGTGAAAAGTGCGTCCTTGAGATCCAGGATAAAGAGAGAAAGCTTTTTTGGCAACAGCTTGTGTTTATCAGCGACTGGAATCGTGCTGCAGAACAGAAGGTGGGAAAGAAGGAAAACAAATGTTTGTCGCTCACTTCGTCTGCCGCACTAACCTTATAGATCAAGGAAATGATTCATAACAACGACGTCGCAAAACTACACCTGACCGTGTAAAACAAAGTACTTTGTAAAAGTATCCTGTGAAACACATGCCTGACCGGTGTCCCGTCCTCACCCACCTTGTTGAAATGGTCTCCGATGACCTCCCAGATCCTGGACCACTGCAGCCTGATGCGGCCCATGTTGTAGTAGGAGATCTCCACTATTTTCTGCAGGCTGAACATACGTGGGTGTGTGGGCGAGGCCAGCTCATCCATGGACACGGCACAAAGCCATCGCACGAAATCAACTGGTGAACGCAAAAATGTTGACCACGAGTGAGGAAAGACAAAAACTGTGCTCAACATGACTCATGATGAACAAAAATAGCAACAATGTATGAGCCGTCAGGACAAAACAGTGAAAAAAAAAAAAAAAAAAAAGCTACTTTACATGAACTCACCTATTGCATTACCATCCAGTCTGGTAGAACCAGTGAATATCCTGGAGCAGAGGAGAGATGATACAATATTTATTTTAAAATAAATCACATATCCATGAACAGCAAAGAAAACATGTAAAAGATGAGATAATAATGCAAACAAAAATAAATAAGAAAAAAACAAACAAAAAACATTATCTAATATTGTATTGCAGTGTTCAAACTCTGAACTTTTTTTTTTCATTTAAACATATTCTTTTAAAAACTTTGAATGGTACTAAAAAACCCTCTCAGTCCGTTCATTGTTCACAATGTAACGCCACTGTTTGCATGAACTCCAATGAAAGGACTTGATACGTGATAACATCAAACCCAAGAACAAAAATGCATGATATGAAACAGGTTGGGCTTCAACCTTAACAAGTGAACTATTAATGCATTTGAAAAAAATAAGTTTCCTATCAGAGCAGGAGCATGGACTCCTCCAGTACCTGTCCACAGCCACCACCACACTCTGAGAGCTGGTCTCGCCAATGGATTCCTGAATGCTGGCAATCTGCTTACGGTCCACCGTTCCTCCGACTACAGAGACAAGCAGAGAGGATTAAAACATGATTCTCTGACAGTTGATAATTGGTCCCATATGTGTGTGACCTATTCATCGACACGGCAGACAAACAAACCACAGCTGCGGCTGCTCACCTAAACCCAGGTACTCGTCGCTGCCCTGCTCTTTGGTGCTAGCCACAAAGCCCTCTTTACCCCGTACCGTCCCTGAGATGTAGCGTGGTTTCACACCAGTACCGATGAGCTGAGCCAACTCCAACTGACTGATGCACTTCATGATCTGACCGGAGAAATATTTACACCTCATTTAGTGTTTAAACAAACTGTAGAAACTGGGACAGAGCGTTAGAGATTGGTCTAGGACAGACGTGGGCAAACTTTGTGACTGGCGGGCCACAGCGGGTCCTAACATTTGACCGGGGGGTTGGGGGAGGAGGTCAGAAGCAGAGATGTGAACTATGCTTTTAAATTTTTCTATGCCATCTACTGGAGAGATGTGCACATTGAAGGGAAAAGGTAGAAGTGTAAGACAATATAAAATAATTATTTATTGGACAATTATTTGGACATGTTCGGCAGGCCAGATTACAAGACCAAATGGGCCACATCTGGCCCTCGGGCCATAGTGTGCCCCGGCCTGATCTAGGACCACGAACATGATGTTCAGAGTCACAAAACACCAGGTTCGACCACACTGGAGATTCAAGTTTGGCAGAGTGGCTTATTATTTGAATACAACGATTAGCTTACAGTACCTCGTGCCAGGAGTTGCCCAGGTAGTTGCCATCAGTGTGAGCCACAGTGATGAGGGTTTTGATGGTGTCGATGTTCTTCTGCTTCATTTCTGCGATGCCAGAGCTGGCTGTCAGCAGAGTGAAACGTGCCAGGGCCTGGACGTATGCGTCTCTCTCCAGCTGTTACACGGACATAACACCAAATAATATCGCGTCAGAAATATTCCAGAGTCCAGAGGAAAGTGTTCTTCCGTCTGGTGAATCGGCAGTACCTGTATGGTGAAGATGCAGGCTATCCTGATGGCACACCGGATGCCTTCAAGACAGAGAGAGGCCACATCAGTGTCATCACAGTCCTGGAGACCCACACTGAACGCAGCCAAGAAGGGTGTCCATGCCAGCTGAGGACCAAAGACAAATTAAAAAATTAATTCAGCCGAAGTGTCCGACAGTGAAGCTGTCAGTGTCTCCCAGCATTACCTTAAACATGGGCCTGACGTGCTCCAGATGTGTAGCGCTGGTGAAGGGAGCCTGGACGTGGCTGACGGCCTCCATCAGCGCTTTGGCCGTCTTGGCCATCTGCTCCATCTCTACGTTGTAGAGGAGACGCCTCTGCTTCTCACTGGCCACATCTGAGGGAGAATCAGGAGCAGAGAATCACAGTTAAAAACCCACAAAGACCTGCTAACAAGCTACAGATCAGTTATCAAAAAGGGACAAAGCAATCTCATTGCAGGTTAAAGTTGCAAAGGTTAACTGAACTGAAAAAGGACTGCAGGACCACGTTTCTATTGGACACTTCACCAGCCATGTGACACCACTTTTTGTCCTGCTTTACTGTCTCTTTTTCCTCTGAACAGGAACATGTGTTCCCAGCTCTACTGTAGTACTTATACCATAATACTTCAATGTCCATATTTTATTTACCATCTATTCATAGAACATAGAGACTGATACTTTAGTACCAATTTCATATTAAATACAATGTAACAATATCGATCGGTCGAAGAAAGAGAAAAGTTTGTTGAGTTCTTTTAAAAATGTATATTATTTACTTATAGTTTTATATTTCATGAGCACCTGAAGCTGTGGCAGTGAATGTAATTCATGATCTCTTTTCAGTCCACTACTGAATGACTTATTAAGACATCTTTACTCCTTATGCCCATTTCTTGTAATGAAAATCTAATGAAGAGTCAGAACATCTCTATATAATCTTATTTACATTGGAAGCATCGACTGGGGCTGTAAATTGTATCCAAAAACCATTACAGCTGGGGAATATATCAGGTAAATGACTCTGGGTTGATACCAGGTCTGTTTGTGTGACTCACTCTGCTTGTTGGACTTCATGGTGAGCTCCTTCGTCTCCTTCATGGCGATCTTTTTCCCTGCGATCTCATCGTAGATGGCGGAGAGGTTTTCCTCCGGCAGGTCTTTGCTGTCGTTGATGCCTCGGTTCATCTTGATGTATTGCTCTTTAGTCATTTTATTCTTCACCTTTGTGGACGACAGGGACGCAGATATACGGGTCAAAAGCTGCTCATGTGAAACGCTGTGATTTACTGTAGGAAATATCTGAGGAAATGAGCGCCGGTCGGCCCACCTGTGGACTGTGGAGGTCTGTTGTCAACATGATGATGGAGTAGGCCAGGACGTACGCAGTGTCAGCACTGGCGAACAGGGTTTGCCTACATTTGTGAAAAGGAGACAGGGTGGACATCAGTGGTGCTCTTAGGGGCTTAGCTACTGCCAGAGAAAAAGTCAGTGACGTCTGCACAGAATTTCAATCTCCATCTAAACTTACTCATTTACAATTTAGTCACTTTGGTTGGACACAATTGGAAATTTAATTTTTTCAACTTCTGACTGTAGGTTATAGTGTTCTGACAGTTTCTGGTCCAGATAAATAAGGACACCCACCCCTGATTGCACTCCAGATATCTTGCTGCGAATTTCTCCATGAGCCGGTCAATCTTCTGGGCCTCTCCGGGGAGCCTGAAGCCCTCCAGGAATATTCTGAGAGCTGAGACAAAATCTTTGCCATGGAAGTCCATTTGATCCACGTAGGCGTACATAACCTCTTTATTGAAACGATCATTATCCCCGAGGAACTCTCCCACTTGGGTCTAAGAGAAAGAAAAAAAAGAAAGAAAGAAGAAGAAAATAAACCGAAACAAGTTAGACATTTTTTTTCTTCAATACTACAATGTAGTATAAACAAGGTTAAATTCCAGCAACTCACGTATCTAACTCCAGGAGAAAATCAATTTCAACACAGCAACGTACAGTGTGTAGATATAACATTGTCCTTTGGCGGCTAATACACAAACAATAAGCTGCTGCTGCTGCTGAGGCACCACTGCAGTAAAGAGCCACATGTTATGAACACTGTTTGGTGCTGATCACTGTGCTGTGCACTCAGTGACAGTGCTGGCTCACTGTGAGAATTGATGCTGCAATTTTGCCCTCCTCGTGAGATACACACACTTTACCAGGGACTGTTGGCTGGAGAGTTAATAACACAGAGCTAATGTGGCTCAGCACTTTCTGTTAGCACTTGCAGACTGATGATGTCACCACCCCTTTAAATATGGCATTAATTATAGAGTAATAAAAGATGGAAAAATCAAACATTGCATTGTTCGCAATGGTCTCAACAAACACAACGTTTGAGAAGATACTGCATTGTTCGCAATGGTCTCAACAAACCATTCTCTCAACAACGTTTGAGAAGATATAACACAACTACGACGGCCATTTATTACATTCTTTTGGTATTAAAGTCTGAAAAACCTTTGTTTCATTATTCCAGTTGGTGGCAGCAGATGTTTCTCTGAGGGGACACAAGACAAATAAGACTGCCTTCTGTTCTACGCTGAAGTTTTCTCTCCGAAAAACACTCGATCAGATGAGATGAAAAAGACAAAACAACTCACTAAATTCCATGCTTTCGTTAAATCACCTGTGGCCTTAGTTATAGACTAAATTCCATGCTTTCGTTAAATCACTAGTTATAGACATGACAACATGACAACAAATAATAAAAAAACATAAAATCCTAGAAACCTCCTGCTCAGACTCAGATGTTTAGCCGTGTATGTTATTGTTGTCGTCTGGTGCTTTAGGAATGAGTTGTACAAGTGTTTTGTGTTGATGTGTGTTCCTCATTTATTTGTGTCAGGTTTCACATGTGACTCCAGTATAATATAAATGTCTGTCTGTATTTGAATGCACTTAGACTTTTGCTCAAAACTTAACGCTTAATACATGTGAAAAAAAATCATCGCCCCAGGATTTAAAGCAGACTATTTGATGTTGCTGTCTGAGCAGAAACACCTTTTATTTTGAAAATATTCTAAATACATCAAACAAAGATGGAATTTCTGGAAAAAAAGCCTCAAAAACATCTTACTGAATCCAGTCTTTCTTCTTGGTGCAGAAACTGAGCAAGGTCCTCAGGGGTTGTTCCCAGCATGCCTTGCTCTTGTAGGTACTGGATGCCTCTCTTTGGTTTCTTATTAAACCTATGAAAAATTAAACGAACCGTACTGTGAAACCGTCATCATAGCAACACAGCAATTTCATGTGAAGGATCTAAAGTTATACTTGGAACTCACAGGTCAATGCCTTGCTCAATGATCTCCTTCTGCTGTTTGAGGACCTCAAACTGCTCCGGGTTGTCGGTACCTGACATCTGTGTGCTGTAACTACCGATGCCGGACGAGGCTGTGGAGTCCAGAGAGTTGATGCTGCCATAGCGGTTTATGGTCTCGGGAGCTTTGGTCTCTGTGCTCTCCTGCTCTGGTGGTTTCTCCTGGCCTGAGGAGTAAAACCAAAAAAAAAAAAAACATGAAGGAGGAACAACTAACAATATTTCAAGTTTGTCTATTGCTGCGTTAAGAAGTCAGTGACGATCTGATGGCAGCATAAAATGAGCTGGAAAAACAAACAAACTGCAGCACAGATCAAAACAACCCCCAGGCCATTTGAATGATTCTTGTTGGCGAAGAAGTTATACACACCGCTGCTCATGGGCACAGCAACACACACACCTATTCACTGAGCAGGAGCCCAGCAGGACATGAAGGGGAGAATATTATGCGAAAGGTGGATTATCTAAAAACCTCCAGGGTACGGTGGAGGAAACGGCCAGGAACTGTGAATTTCTTAAGGCTGAAGAGATGAGCTGAGGGACGTGCTGTTCCTGCTGGTGTGTGTCCACCTGGTAACTGAGCTCAGGCCGGGAGTCTGATTACACACTGGAAACTCTTTAAAACATTCAGGACTGTGGCACAGTAATGTGAGCTGGCAGGCCACCTCCTTTTCTCTGACTCTACTGAGTGAGGAGGAGCGAGGTGGAGGAGCACGCCGAGGGAGGAGGGCATTAACGTTAAGTTTATGTTGCGTGCTAAAACTAAATTACATTTAGTTGCAGTTTTAGCCACTTAGCTCAGACCGTTTACTCCTTAAGATAATACTGTTCTGTCAGCCCGTCCAACGTTACTGGGTGAATTATCTCATCAAATCAACACTTTTTACACACACCATATATCTAATAATGGATTGTGAGCGACTGTAGACAACGGCTTAAGATTTCTACGTCAACTCTCGACTCTAAAAGCCACCATCAAGATGCAGAGCAGTGACAGAAAATCCACCTGTAATTCAACTCTGTAAAGCTAAATATTGAGTTATATTTAAGTTTTTCATATTAATATTTCCATTATTTGGATTAGTTACAACTGTGAAAATGAAATGAAATGAGTGAAAGTTTTTTTTTCTTCATATTAAGGTGTGTTAATTTACCACGATAAATTTCAACTAATCCACAGTTGCGGTGTGATTAATCAAATTTTAAAAATGTGCAATCATTTGACAGACCTAGTGTTTATGTGACATCATGTCACATGGTGTCAGTAAACACCACCAGTTCAGCTGCTCTGGATCTTAGCCTGAGGACGGCCTGTGGTGAATTTCAGTTTATCTGTTGTGAAAAGTTACATTTTCTTCTACATTGCAGCAACACCTTTGGCAAATAAAACCATTTCTTAACTCTGCAGTCGCCCCGGAGGTGGTACTTAACACACAGGATACACTACAGAGGGGTGAATCCGCACGGGTCAGTTTAAATGATCTCTCAGTTCTACACTAACCCCCCCAGGATTAGCCCGCTCCGGCCTCTGAACATCATCTGACTCAGTCGCCCACAGTCTGGCCCGAGCTGGGATTAGGAAAGCTCACGTTCCCTTCCAGAGCAGTATCTTCCCTAATCACCTTCAAACACTGTCGATCCCAGGGCTGATAGCAGGGGGCTGATAACACCGCGGGCGTTATCGCCGACCCCGGTGACGAACCGCAGGCTGACCGGAGGACAGTAAACCTGTTCTTAACCTCTCAGAAGTGAACCAGGGTCGTCTTACACCTCACACAAACAAATGCCAACGACTCGCTCCATTCAGCTTCACACTGCTGTAGATACAGACGAGCATCAGCCGCGTCTTTGTACCATTCCATTTATAGAAATATTAAACTGGTCTTTTTGTTGTTTCTACAAGTGTGTCATCTGCAAAATGTTGTTGTGGTGAAGAGATTATGATTGTTTATGTGAGTGTGTGTGTGTGAGTGTGTCTGGAGAAGTTATTTATTTTATCTTATCTGTCCAAGTTATGTTGTTAACTCCCATCAGCCTTTCATTCCAAAACAGCGGCACAAGGTCGAGGAAAGACATCAATTTTGTTTTGTGTTTTTGGCAGAAACTTAAAAGTAACACTACTCTAGCCTTTTTCCTCCCTCTCCTTTAACAGACCTAAATAAATACATTTAATAAATAAGAAAAAATGTTATAAACACAAGAATGCTTCATAATTAAATTATTTTCTTTGACTGGTAAATAAAGTCACACGATGCATTTTAAATGACACCTCTAGTTGTAATGCATCTTGATACAGAGCACCGTCAGTGTTTGTCAGATTAATGGAACCTCCAGTTGAACAGAATCACATTGATCTATGTGCAGCCAGTACTTTCTGGTGATTAAGTAAACTGGAAGACAATCATGAATTCTGTCAGCGACTGAATGTTTGATCAGTGTGGAGACCTGGGACGTAGAGAAAGTTCAATTCATTTGATTTTTTATCTTTATCTCTAATTCAGTCCAGGTCCAGCAGCTGTCTGGCTCTGTATTGATAAATGACGTGAACCCTGCGCTGGTGTCTCACCTAGGCTGGTCTGGGAGTTGGGGTTGACGTACTGGTCTTTACTCCACTCCACCATACACTTCAGGATGGACACCAGACATTCAAGGCCTTTCTTTCTCAGCGTCAGCTCCTAATGAGAGGGTAAGAAAAAAAACACAGTAGAATCAGTTTAATGAATGCACTTTCAACTCAATTGACTTGAATTGAATTGACTGATTCAACAAGAAACATATGAAAAAGAAAAGTAACGACCGATCACCTGTAGTGGTGTAGTGCCGAGCTCGTGGCCTCCGCGCCCCTGTGCAATTTTGGAGAGGTCGTTGACCAGGCGCTCAAATATGTTAGCAGCATTCAAGTCACAGTCGTAGTTCACATAAATGTCCACAACACTCTGGGCGTCTGAAAGACGGGAGTTTGGTCAGCCAGACAGAAAGGTTTAAAAGGTTTTATATCCAGAAACATAATTATGAGCGGACTAATGTTTTATAAATAAAAACATTTTGCTGAGAAAACCTTTAGTTTTATGACGATCCAGGGCTTCTTTCCTTTATTACTACCTCATTTTTAAGTACACACACAGTACACGTCGACACGTACCTGCACATATTCTGGTGAGGGTTTGTATGACCATCCACTTGTGGTCATAGGAGCTGGTGGACGTTTCAAGAATGTACAGGAAAATCTCCTTGAAGAAGACCTGCAGACAGACACGGGTCAGTTACTGTGGACTCACCTCTGCAGGAGGATGCATCAGAAACGTCCACACAACTCACACAGAACAATAAACTATTGTCCACAGGGAGTAAGAAGTCACAAGGGTGGTAAAATGTTTACAGCTCAACCGCATCTACAGTACATCAGTGGTGTCAGCCGTCTCCTGCACTGACAAATAACGGTGTCAATAACAGGACAAACACAATCTCTCTGTCTTTTACAGCAGGCGACGGCTGCAGGAAAAGATGACAACCCCAATTTCAAGTGGTATTTATGAAGAAGGATAACTAATACTGCATAGTTAATCATTTGCTTGTAAAAAAACATGTTTTTTCTACAAATACTTCTTGAGTCCTTAAACTTCAGTATTTACTGTGATTTAAGTATTTGGTCCTGTAGCTTCAAAGCAAGACTAAAAGCTGAACTAACATTAATATGTTTTTGTTTTTTTTTACCTCAATTTGCATCTTGAGGTGGGTCTTGAAGTGGGACAGAAGTGTGAGGAAAATGGACAGGGAGAGTTCGAAGACCTCAGGCACCGAAGAGACGCCGTTTTTGGACAGCGCAACGCACAGGTACTGCTTGATGGCGTTGATGAACATCTCGTTGGTCTTGAAGATGGGCCCAGCGTTCTGCAGGATGGACAGCAGCAGCTGCAGGGACAGGACCTTTGACCGCAGCTCGTGGGACCTGGGAGTGTCCAAATGGTATTTAATGATCAGTGACTCAGTGACAAGGAGCAGCGTTCATTCTTTCTTTCCTGTTCAACCTCATAAGTAAATACATTATGTCTAAAGAAAAACATCCACCCACATCAAAAAGGTCTTTCATCTTGACCGCGAATAAAAAAGAAAGTCACACTGGTAATGATGTGTGTTTCAGAAGAATATCTAAACAAAGTCGGTTTAAATATTCTAACTGCAGGGAGTGTTAATATTAATGAAACCAAACTGTGGAAGGGTATTTAACTGTTCTGCATGTCAGGCATTGACAAACAAAGAAAAATTATTTGCAAGATATAAATAATATTATTTCAGACCAACTCACAGCACAGTGGTTGGGAATCAATGCATTAGTTGACTAATCAAATCAAATTTTAAAATTTGCCCAATCAGTATGGACTTGGTCATGTTAATAGGAGGAACTGATGACCAGACCAATAAAGTTTGTTGTCTTGTAGGCCAGAGATGTAAACAAGACCAACAGCAGTGGAATACTCTCTTTATTCCAGTTTATTCCAGAGCAAAGGAGTGAGTACTCCTCAACTGTATCCCAACAGCAGGACACGCAGCAGCAGCAGTGCACTGTTGCACACAGACCACATCATCGGTCCAGATCAGGCTGCTCCACAGACTGGAAGTCTGCAGCAGTCTTCAAAGTAACACTGGGACTACGGAATCAAAGCTCCTCCCACTGTACTGAGCTACAGCTTGACTGAACTGTTTTCTTATTTATTTATTTTTTATTATCTGCAGCAGACAGAACAGACAGAGTGATGCTAAAGCTCCAAAAGAAAGAAAACAAACTTTATGTGCTGAGATTTGCAGCTTCTCTGCGACACATCAGACAAACGAGGATTTATATCGCACAGGGAGGACGTATCACTAAATCTTCTCCGAGTGGCAGTGGGATAATCGTGTTCAGAGAAATCCAGTCGGAGCTGACCTTTCCTTTTAATGGATTTGAATATGAGATGGTAAAATATGACCATAAAGAAACCATGGAGGTAACATACAGAAGTCTCTGTGTTTTTTTTTTGTTTTTTTTTACAGATCCCTGAATTATTAAGTGTTAACTTTTCCATTTTGATGAACTGTGGTTCAGTCTACGGTAAAACCCGAGCTCTTTTTTGTCCTAACAAAGGAGGAACACAATAAGACCTGTGGAGAATCTACATGCAGCTGCTACAACCTGGTTGTTGGTTCTTAATCCTATAAAAGAGCAGCTGTTCTTCCTGTGTGTCTACAGAGAATCAAACACGGAGATCGACCTCGCTAGAAGAGTAAAGATGGCTGTTGGTCTGACGCCAATACTGACGCGACACATTAGTGCTGAGGTAACAGACCTGAGCCTCCTTCACGCTGACTCACACACTGGCACATGTTAAACATGGCATTGCTAATTGATATTAAATAAATAAAAAATAAAAAACAGCGAGGAGAAATATGATGTTCGATGAAAAAACAGAATTATTATTATGATCTCTATTCCTTTTTGGTCTCTGCTCCATCACTTATCACAACTGGGCCTGTCATATAAATTACATTTTTAATCTGGTTAAACGCAGGGAGCTAAATGATTAATTCAATCAATTGACAGTCCTCAATACAACAAATACATATTATGTAAATATATTGCCCAAAAACCAAAACGCAAATCACAGCAGGTCGATATATTAAGACTGCATTTAAACTTGTAAATTGTCACCAATAACAAAATGTTCATTGCTGTTAGCACGAGCAGCTCATAATGTCACAATTTAATGCTGAATTAAATCCTTGAAATGAATCACTTCCCAAAATAGCTCCTTGTACATTTTCTGGGTGCATTTTAAAGCAAAACAAATGTGCAGATAAACTGACAATGTCAAACGTAACCACCATGATAGATCTATTTAATCACAAAGCCTTCTGGAACTTGTTCAGAGCCATTTTCAACATAAACCATCTAAGTTCATTGCCGTGTTCTTACTTGGGATCGGGTGGTCCGTCCGACAGTGGCTTCATTGACAGCTTGCAGAGGGAGCGAAAGACCAGGAAGGCATCTTTCTGGAGGATGTGGGAGAATTTAGCACCTGGTAGTTGACCTGGTGCTGCTCCTGATTCCTGCAGAGCCACAGACATGGGAGACGCTGCGGTTGGAAACAGTTTCATTTCCCTGAATGTCTCATACCACCAGCCAAATGATGATGATGATGATGAAAACTGCGATTACAAACTCTTGGACATTAGTTCTGTTTGATCGGGATTAAGGAGGAGCACGATCAAACATAATTGCAGACTTTACGTAGCTGAAGAGATTATAAATCACATCCTGGCAGAAAAAACGTTCATGTTAATTAATGTACCTCAGAAATATTTAATTAGATTTCATCTGAATGAGCAATTACGGCTATAGATCCTGGCTAAAGCACATCAAACAGGATACACTGATTGGCTGTGAGGACAGGATGAACTCCAGCTGATGTGACATAAGAAGAAATTATAATAAAATAAATCTGACTTTAATTTTAACCTCGACCTGTTTCGTCTTATAAATTGTAAAATCAGACTAGAAAACACCGTTGTCCCTCAGCCGTGTCTCATACCTGAGTGTCATTGGACGAGACAGACAGTCTGTCATCAGGCAACGAGGGCGTGAAGCTGGCAGAAATAGGCGTGCCCGGGATACCGTTGGCATGGACGTGCTCACTGTCACTACCCAGAGTGCCTTCATCGTCCAGGGAGTTCTGCGTGCCCTCGGTCACCGCTTCAGTCGTCTCTGATTCTGCTGGCTCACCTTCACCACCAGATTCCTTGGCATCAGAGCAGAGACTTGCAGGGTCCAGACAGTGACCTGTGGGGACATTTGGACAGGAGTTGAGAGTCCCAAATTATGCAGTTGCAATAAAACCTTGTGCTGTCCTTAGGGGGAAATCAATGTTTCACAGGTGACTGTGTGATTTCAGGTTAAGCAGAGACAAACTCAGAGCAGGTTCTTCTCCATGTTCCTCCTGACCATTCAGACCTGTTTTTAACATAGAGCTCATGGTGTGTATTTAAAAGGTCACCAATGTGCTTTTGTGTTCCTGTGCGTGTGTGTATTTTTGTGGCTTTTTTTTAACGCTGTGCACAAAGAGTGAGCGCTTTTGTCATCATCTGAGGAAACCACAGGAAGCTCAACCTGACCTGAAATTATACGGCCAGGAACAAGGGCTGAAGACATTAGAGACTCTGTAACAGGGCGAAAGACTAAAGACACACTGTTTGCCATGTAATAAACAACTTGTGTAATCCAACATCTGAGCTGCATTTGTCTCAGTTCTTTGAGGAAAGAAAAAAAAATAGTGCAACTAATGAGCAGACACTAGACTCCGGTCTGTTTCCTCAGCTCAGCTGGATTCTTTAATCTGTAAGAGCCAGAACGGCAGGTGTAACATTTTGAAATGATAATTGGCAGCCAGTAAAAACTATAATATCCTGGCTTTGATAAAATCTTAGGACACATTCTTTTAGTTTTTGAGTTGCAGGAGGAGCTAACGTTTGGTTCGGGCAGAGTTGACCCAAGGACCACGTACAGAGGACAACTGTTCACATTCACAATCATAAAAAACAACAGTATAGATTGACAATTCATACTAAATAAATGAACAATCAAACCAGACAGGACATTTTTGACCTATCCCTATTTTAAGAGCATATTTAGCAACAAAGAATCCTAAGATCGATAAAAAAAAAAAGCGGTCGCAAAACGTGACTCACCTCCAGCCACAGTATTGACCACCTCCTGCAGAATATTCTGCACTATTTCCTGTGCTTTTTCCTCATAGTTGGGGCTCTCCTCCTCCTCTTCCTCCTCTCCTCCAGCCTGCTGATGCTGCTGAGCTGCTGCATCTGAACAAGATCACATACACATACAACCGTCAGAACAAAAGCATCATCATTTTTTATCTGATGTTAATATCTGACTGTAGCAGATGTATTATGATGAAGGACGCCATAAATAAGATTACATTCACTGAATCACTCCGCTCTGTCTTTCTCTTCATATTCTACATCAGATCTCAGAGTGAATGATCTTGTGTAGAGCTCAGTATAGCATCATATAATTCACTATGGTAAATGTGGTTTCTGTTGCTATTATGTTCTTTTTTTTTTTTTAAAGAAACAGCATAGAATATGCTTTTTTCCCGGCTGTGTGCTGACTCTAGATGTTTCTCCTAAGTCTCACAGAGCAATGCTTCAAAATAAATGCTTTTACGTCTTCTACTATAACAACATAGTCAGTGTCTAGATTGGACGTGATTGATCGTTATTCTGCTAAAGTGACGGAGGACAACACGGGAAGCTCAGCCGAACTCACTTTGCGCTGCTGCAGTAGCTTGATCCGCTTCAGTCTGTTCATTTTCAGCCACACAGAAATCAGAACCATTCTCCGGATCAGGGCTCTCAAAGACCGGGCCCTGCTCTCCCTGCTCCTCCTGCTCCTCAGACACAGACCTGGTGCTGAAGTCTTGGGCCGGTGTTGAGGGAGTAGACGGCGTTGATGGGATATTAATGCTGGGCGTGGACGGGGTCACGGGGCCGTTGGCCTCTTGGCCTGTACCTTTGGCCTGTGGGTGGATGTGAGTCTGGAGCTGAGGGGAGTTGGGCTCAGTGTGCTGGGTGATTGGTGAGTGCTGCCGGTGTCGCTCTCTCTCCAGCTGTTTTGCCTCCTGCAGCTGTGTGAGGGGGGAGGATGGGGGGTAACATCCATACACACAACAAAAGAGCAACACATAAACAAAGAAAGCACGTTGACAAAGAGTAGACACACAAGAAAATAAAACAATTGGAGAACACAGGTACACACAACACAAACACACACAAGAAGAGAGTGGTTACAACCCGACAAAGTCACTCATGTGTGAAAGACCTGTTCAATGAGCTCACAGCAGAGACAGAACACGTCCAGGTGTCAGAGCCGTAGCTCGGGACAGTTAACAGTTCAGGTAACATCAGGAGAGTGTGTGTGAATAATCAGACGGCCTTTTTCTATCTGAAATGTATATGAATTCAAACTGAGGAAGATGTGAGCCATGCTACTAGCAGCAGCTAGACAATACACAAGAAATAAAGACGTGCTGTGGCTCCTGCAGACTGGTATCTGTTTCAGTCTAGTGGCAGAAGGTATTTCCTTGAAAAGTTGGCTCCTCAGAGACATTATGACTAAGCCTGTCATGACAATTATGTCATTAGGTTATTAAACAGAGTACAAATTGATAACCACAATTATTGATACCACACATTAATATCCGGCTGTGATATTAGGTCACGTGAACACATTGCAAAATTGTATTTCTCAGATTAAATAACACTATTCTTTCATCTGTATGTATGGAAATTATACAAGGAAAATACTGAGGTTATTATTATTTTTTGAATAACTGATTTCACATGAAGCAAAATGTGACTTCTGGTTGCAGGAAGAACAAATTAAAGCAAGCAGCAGAAACACGTTTCAAAATACGGGAGCAAACACAAAGACAAGCAGTGGAAAATTCTCTCAGCCAAAAACTAAAGTGACAACAGCGTTCCTCCAGTCAGTGTGCACAGTGTGTGGAACTGTTCAGCTTAAATGTTGACAAAGTCACTAAAAGAGGAAGGGCACACAACGTGAAGTGATGTGAAAATACAGAAGGTGAAACATTAACAAAAATGTAGCGGTGATGAGTCTGCAGCGTCTACAACAGCAGTGCCTCACAGCCAATCAGTACATGGACAAATAATAAAAAAAAATAGACACAGATACACTGATCAAAACTGTATGTCCACCCAACCCAAGTCAAACAAATGGCAGTCCTTCACGTCTACTTCAAACACAAACTTCTCCTATTAACGCCTCATTCTTTTGTGTTTCCCCCAACAATTTCCCCCACAGCTGTTCACCTTCAAATAAAAGGTGCCGCTTTTAACAGGGTTTAAATGAAAGAAGCTGAATTTAATGACAGAAGACTCCTAATGCAACAATTAGTATTGACCGTGAGCTGCAGTGACGAGGCCAGACAAACGCATCTTGACTGGAGGGTAGAGGCAAACAGACTAAGCTCATTATTTAAATGCCACCTCAGTCGGACGGTGAAGGCTGTGTGAGAGCAGGGAGGACAAACACCGTCTGTGTGTGTTTGCCGGTTATTATATACCACACCGGGTGTGTGAGGATAAATTTATACACAAACACAGAGAGTGGATCCCCTCCATGCAGGAGCTCGACACTATGTGGGCAGTGATAACAAAACAACAGGCCTCTCTGCCTCAAAGTCTGTCAGGAGTTCTGCGTTGTTTTGGCTAAAACTGGACTCTTCAGACAAATGTAAACATGTAGGAATAAATTATTCAATCTAACACTCACAGTGCCAAACTACTTCAATGCAGCATGAGTCGCATATGCTAAACATTGTGGCACTGCACGGACAGAAAAAAGACGGTAAAAATCTGTGTACCACCATGAAAAAGAGCTTAAATAACAAGGTCAAAGAAATGTGAAGAACAGTTGCTGTCGACATAGCTTGCTAACAAACACCAACCATTAGCTAACTTCCATTTTCAAGCACTGTTGCTATGCGATATGTGGAGTACAAAATGGTTTTTATCAGAGCAGCCATGTTCTATTTTTGGCACCAGAAACGCATGTGTTAGCCTGTGCTAACTGAAGCACAAAGGCTTAGCTCAAATTGGAAAAACACAGAAAAAGTAGCTATTCTGGGGCTGAGTATTGTAAGGTAGTGTGACTTTTTACATTTATTTGAATATAAATTAACAAAATGATTCACTTTATCATAAAACCAAAAACTACTATCTATTACTAAGTACATGCTAAGTTTTTTTCCCTCAAGGTCTGACTTTTCATAATTTTTTCATAGCAAAAAACAAATACAGTGAAGCATTTAACACGTAACACCACTGAAGTGGGAATGTTTGGTAAAATGCAAATGTAAATTTGTGAAGGAGAACATGATGACGTGTGGGCAGGTCAACAAAAGCCACAGCAAACACACGGTGAAAAAAAGTACACGGCACGACTGCTGCTGTGCGGTGTAGGAGCTAAAGAAGGAAAGAAATGAGTGCATGAATCAAGGAGGCAAAAGCTGGAAAGAGATGCGCAAACACGGATGCACGGAGACGAGTTTGAGAAGTCTGATCAGGCACGTCCCGACCTTCCTGCACCTGGCGGTCACGCTTTCTGGAGGCCAGAGACCAAGAGAGCTTGTGATTTGTAAGCTACGTGTCCAAAAAGGAAGGGAAGGAAGCAGGTGAGGAAGGCAGAAGTGTAATTCAAAAAGAACAAGATGACATTAGAGCAAGCGTTTTCAGAAGGCAACACCTAACGCTACCATGTTCTGATGGACACACAGCGAATTAATTTGCGTTTAATTAAATAACAAGTGGTTTGAGAGGTCATATTCATCAGAGAATTCTCATAGGAAATCTTATTTTATTGCAAAAGAAAATCTTATCTTAAAATTTGATAAATTTTATCTAATTTTACCACATTTTAGATATGACATCTGATGCTAATCTAGCTAAAAAAAAAAAGGTTTCTCTCCTTGTAATACTTAATCACAGACACGTGTCCCCTGTCTCTCTCTGATGCGTGTCCTTGCACCTAACAGTATACTGTGTTATGAGTGCACGTGTAGGTGACGCTGGGACGTACTGCTTGATTCTCCATGCGTGCAAAGATGACGTTGAGCATCTGTGTTAGCGTGGCCTTTGCTGTAGTCTGGTTGATGAGGTTCTTGCTGGCCAGGTAGATGTTGTAACATGTGCGGACGGCCTGCAGGACAGTGCCCTCGTGGATTTCTATGTGCTGAGAGGTCACTGCAGTCAACAGAGCCTGGAAGAAATCAAATAAACAGTAAGGAAATACACATGACACTGACTGTTTGATAGAAACACATTATTATTTTTAATGATGATGAGCTGCAGTATGTGCCACAGGAACATGGTGCCCAACAAGAAATGCAACTTACACAAATAAACAGTAAGGAAATACACATGATACTGACTGTTTGATAGAAACACATCACATCACTCCAAACTGGGTAAAGAAAATATTTGTTGAGTCATCAAAAAAAATTAATTATTTTCATGTACCATTTCACCATGTTTTTTTTTTTCAACATCTATGTTTTGGAAAATTGAACAGATAGCAGACAAAGGTGTTTTATAAAGCTTTGTAACAAAGGTAGATCATAAATAGTTGGATTAAAATTCAGTGAAATAAAAAGTGCTCTTCCCTTCCCCCCAAAAAAGTAAATGCAAGTGATCTAACTGTGCTCAAGTATCAGTGTGATCCTGTGTGATGGATGGCTGCACACCTTAATAATCTGTAGCTGAACGCCCTCGTCTGTCTGCGGCCCTTGGAAACAAGCACAGATGGTCTCGATGATCCTGTCGATGAGCTTCTTACCCGGGGCTGTGCTGTCCGGGGCGCTGCCCGTCAGGTGGCCATATGCTATTAGTTTCTGCAAGTGAGAAACAGACGATGAACCACACAGATAAATTATAAAAGAAGAATACTGTTTGTAAAAATACTTTTATTTTAACTAAACCTTAAGGCAACCTCCTGCAACGGATTCAAATTAATTTGTCATTTGTATGCAGTGGATTGGTAGACTCAGGAAAACAGGAAAAAAAGTGCTCGGCAACTGACCTGTAAACAGTCGAGTGAGGTGATGACGATGCGAGGACATTTGGACTGACATGCTAGCTCAAACGGCAAGAAGTACTTGTCTGCTTCAACGAAGTTGGTCTTTGATTTGATAGGCGGTAAAGTGCTGGAACCAGATTTGCCGTCTCCACTGGGTGGACTGAGGAGGAGAGAAAAAAAAGGAGATATGAAGAGACAAGTGCAGTGATCACATGACTCTGTCTGTCAGACGAAGTGAGTGGAAAAGAAAGCAGGGTTTAATGATCAGCCTGACACACTCACAGCCACACTTTGACATGAAGACCAGTGTTTCTGTTTTCAGAGCAACGTCTTTAACATTAAACCCGATGTATTTCACTCTGTTTGTTTTAAAAAAAACAATGTGTTTCAAGCTTTCTGTCTCTCCTCTACCTAATATTTTAGTCACTGACTGTGGTCAGTAACAAGCACAGACACAGCCTGGTGTCTAGAGCGTCTGTTAGCATCACCACCACACCCAGACTGCACTGGCTGGTGTGAAAGCAGACAGAAAGAAGAGAGGGAGCAGGGAGACAGAGAGGGCAGGGTTGCATTGTTTATGCCTGCGCAACCAAAAAAGCATGACTTCAGCTCTTTTCAGAGGGACGACCTCCCAGACTGTAGCAGGTCACGATCAAAGAGAGACACAGAGGGAAGAGGAAAAAAAAGATGAAGTACCTCATAAAGGTGACGGCGAGGAGGGGGCGAAACAAAGGGATGAATTTAAGAGGAAATAACACAAAGAACATGAAACAATTAGGGCAATAAGAACAAAGCCGACTGAAAAGCAGCGATAGGATAGAAGCAAAGCTGGAGGAGAATGAATTAATGGGACAGGAGAGGAACACTTTAAATATTAATTTTAAAAATAATCTTATATTAAAAAGAATAAAGATCTTTTAGTCACTCGTTATCTGTCGGCTTATAAAACATAACATGGACAATAGTCCAACAATCAGGTCTGAATCCTGGACTATTGTCAGAGTCTTCTTCAAGTACAGGCAGATGCATGGTTCCTGTCATTAAAAAAATGACATTTTTATACTGTAGTAAATCAATAGACCATTAATATCATCACATATGACCAAAGGTGAGTTAGTATTTATGATGGAGCTTCTGTTGATAAAGGATGTTTAACATGACACCTTATCTTTGACCTTTGAAAAGGGCGTGGGTGAAACCAACCAGGTCTGTGCGGTTTATACGGAACTAAATCATTCTCATTATTTTTTATTTATTTTTATGGTCTGTATTGTCATTGTACCAGGGGGAAACTCAGCCTCTGCTTTTAACCCATCACCAAGGGAAGCAGTGGGCAGCAATGTGGTTCTTCATATTATTTTCATTCAGGACATTTGCCAAAAACCATACAAAAGTCCTGTTTGTAATTTGAACAGGACACTAGAAGGGTATGGTGGTGTGAGTGACTGTTTTTTCTTTTAAACATTTCTTCATCAACTTCCTCAAAGAAAATATTTACCAGGTACACATGGATGAGGTAGTAATACTGGTAGAAACTGATACGTTGTATGGATGCAGGTGGGATTCCTAATGCCAGATATACAGTTGCACAATTCCAACTCAACTGTTTCTTTTTTCTAAAAGAAAAACTGAAAACAGACCCCAAATCAACGATTATTTTCGAGTCCTCTGGCATGTGGAAGGAGGAAGTCATCAGTAGAGGAAACAGTGCTAATTCGTAGTGAGAGATTGCATATCATGGAGTCCCATCAGGTCCACTTTAACTTTGCTCTGGAGTACGTTTCAGCAAACGTTAGCAATTCTTAATGAACCTGTTAATGCAGCCGTTCAGGAGACACTCTCCCATTAGGAGCTCATATCAGAGACAGCGGCAGGCTGTGATGAGATTCTGGAGCAACTTGATTGCTCTCACCACGCAAAATAGACCAGTGTGATAATAATAAGACTAACATCAAAATGAACAAATCCAGGGTTTCTCCAGAGAGTTTTTTTTTTTCAACAAACCAAAACAAAACTGTTTGGTTCAATAAGAGGAAAAAATGTTGGTACAAATATGTTTTATTTACAGGTTTCTGGTTAATTATTTCTCTTTTTTAGATAACCTGCATATGTTACGTTGGAACTATTAAACATCAACTCTCTGTACGTAGAACAGAAACATGTTAGGAGCAGCAGCCTTTGTTTGAGATATTTTTGATCTCCAAAATCAAGGGTTAGAGATACAATGCAGATGGAAATGGTAAAACGCAATTTTTACTTAAAAGATAATGGAAAATATATAGAGAAAATTGGAGTGGGGAGTGGAAATGTGAAGGAGAAATAAATTAGAAATACAGAAACCAAATTCTTAAAAGAAACTATAAATGGAACAGAAACTGAATGAAAGTCAAACCACAGGAGGTGGAAACGAGAGGAAGAACTCCTGATTGTTTCATGTTCCGTATGAAAACCACCTCATGCCCAGAAACTGCAGCAAAAAAAAATACGGGTGCTCAAAAGTATGCACACCGATAAAAAGATAAAACACTCGCACACAAAGAGTTAGGGAGTGTTTAGCATTTGGCAAGAGTTGCTAAAGATAGTCATTGATGAGACGGCAAAGGGGCCTTGGGGAAAGAAATCTGAGTGAGAGACAAACAACAAACACACTTGAGGCTTGGATTCACGCAGACACAGATACACACAATGATTTCCAACCTAATCAACTAGACTAAACACAACAGACCTGCATTTAAAGACTCAATGTTTTCACCTTGCACAAACGGCCCAGCCAACAACACCCTCAACACCTTTGAATTAAATAGTAATTATTTTCTTACCTTAATTTCTCTGACTCCTCTTTGATTTCCTCTGAAACACAAACAGAGAAAGGAGGTAGTGTTAAATGAGCTGCTATGAACCACAGGGGAATGAAAAGATGTTCAGTATTTTACACATTTTTAGTCAGTTAATAACTCCCCTGGGAGAGGAGCATATACTGTACGGTACCACTGCCTGGAAACATTTTATTTATTTATGAGGACTTGCTTTTATAGATTTTCTCAAAAAAAATAAAAAATAAAAAAGATGAGATCTGGAAAGTCCAGAGAGATTAGCCCAGCCTCATATCTCTCCTTGGCTCTTTTTTTTTAACCAAAAAATAATATTTTGGTCACAACACACAACCCGTTTGAAGCATTTCTACTGTGTTAATATAGCTTCCTGGTTTCTGCTTGAGAACACCGAGGAGTTGTACTGTACACTGCAAGTGTTGAGCAGTGTAGTAAGTTCGAAGGGTCTCGTAGTCATGTCCGAGTTTTTCTTGCAATCACGAAGGGTCGACCTCCGCTGGAGCACAACCCTCTCATAAATGTAATAGCTTCTAACTCAGGCCACAGTACTTGAAATCAGCCAACAGTTGTGTTTATTTCACGGATCTCCTGGTATGAAAGCACTGGTATGAACTTGCTGAGCGCTGGCATGAAAAACCAGGGTGAAAAAAAAAAAAAAATAGAGACAGAGCCACAGAGGGAGGAAAGAGGGAGGAAAAAAGAACCAGAAATAGAGCAAAAAAAAAAAGTGCGAATGAGAGGCCAACTGGTACAGGACACTAAAGAGGAGATCTTCAGAGAGGAAGTGCTTCAAAACACACGCAGCACTTCAGCAGTACAGGCTTGGGCCAAGCTGGGAACATTTGGACGGTCCCTGACTACAACAACAGCCAAATTATTTTATTTCTGGAAGGCCCCAGAACACATTTAAGAGAAAATCACTTGAATATTTAACACCAAACACTCGGTGAAATTAAATGAATGCTGGTTCTCTTGAGTGCCAGTGTAAAGGGACACTTTCTTTTAGGGGAAAAAAATGAGGAGCACAGTTTTGTTTATGATGCAGAACAGACTAGCTAAAATAAAGTTAGCTTAAACTGCAAAGTTGATTTGAAAATTGTTGAATGTCCAATTATGATTGTAAATTGCTTCCAGGACATAAAATAAATAACAAATATTTAATGATAATCATGAGAATGTAACCCACATCATGACTAGTACATTGCTGCCTGTGTGAAATGCCCCACATTTATTATCAGACGTGACCAATTTTCAATAAATCGGCTGAAAATGAAGAAATAGAAGGATAAATCTTGAAGCAAGCTTGACCTCAAATGCACTTGTGGTGCCACAGAGAGATGGAGAATCATTTCCAGCAGAGGCTGACAGACCACTGTAGTCAGTGTGTATGAGGCAAGACGCTTGACAAGAAACAAACAAGAAGAGAGAGATTAAAGATGGAGACGAACAGAGAGAATTATGTAGAAGCTGCTGAGCAGAGAGACAGCAGCTGTGCCAATGTATTTGTTATAGTAATGATGACTCTGTGTCGATGGGTATGACCTTCTAGTATTTTCTTTCTTAACGGACCATATATGTGAGCTTCTCATTATCTTCTGTTATTGCCTTGAAACTATGTTCACAGCTCTGATCCTCAAGCAGAATCCTCACCGTTAAAGCATTCATACATTAGGCTGCTAAGGACTCGATTACATTAGCTGCTGAATTTACATTTTTCATCTGTAGAAAATTTAGCCCTATAATCCATTAATAAAATATATATTTTAAATAATATTCTGTAGTACTCCATGACAATACATCAATATAAACTTTGTCTCCTTCATATGTGTGATGTCATTTCCATTCTGAAGATTTCTAAAAGCAGTGAGTCAATACCATCCAATCTTTTGGAGTGCGCCACAAAAAGCACCCTGATAAAGCAGTTCTGTTGAAGTGCTGCATGTCCGACTGGAGGGAAAAGATCATGTATGCACACATTTGATTTATGTATATATTAGTCAAAGAAAGGGACAGGCAGTGGGGAGACTGCAGGACACCGTCAAGGAGACATGTCGACTCTCATACTGACTGTGAGAGTAACCATTAGGTAATTGGTTTGTTTGGCATTAATCTTCCCTTTTCTCTCCTGTTTTCTCCTCCTGTCTTTCTACCAGTAATTGAATAAACAAGGAGCTTTGAGGGGGAACAGCCAAGATATGAATACTGACACTGTATGCTAGGTCTTTTGACATATTAAAATGCTGTGGTGGGTATTTCTGGTACTGATTACAGTTGTGGTATAAGTCATCATAATCTGTAATATCAGCTGCCAGTGTCTAAAGATTAGAGTTTTAGCCCAAGATATACATGTGTATTTTTGGAGTCTAAACATATCATTCTTCACCTAAGTCTGTTTTACTGGGTTTTTGTTTTTTTAGAATGTTGAGCTCAGTATTCTTTAAATTGTTGGTTTAAACGGTTGGCTGAACGTGAGCTTTGGCTCACCTCAAGTATTCCTATCACGGACCAGCATTTGGTTACTAATTTACTTATAGAGCTCTCCACCCTGCAGCAGTCGCACCAACTACTGCTGACCTTGATCACAACAGTTCTGTGGCCAAGTTTGTCCCAGAGAGCAGGTTTAACAATGGGGAGAAAAACACAATTCCACTGATGTTAAATCTACAAAGTCCACTTGAAAGTACGGGGATCTAGTAAAAGCTGACAGTTCACCAAATAAATGTGTTTAAAACAAGACTGACTGAAAGAAAAAAAAACTTTGAAATAAATAAATTAAATTACGCCATCACATACACACTTAGTATTGAACTTCAGAATATATTTTTTTTCTACAAATATATAAATGATTGTCGGGTAAACACTAGCAGATGATGTAAGAACAGGAGTGTAAGTGTGTGAGTGTGTGTCAACTCTTTTCAAGTATCTTGGCTGAAACAGCCATGCTGCCGTCACTGAACACCAGTGAGGGGAAGTGACATAACACACCTATTTCCCTGACCAGATACATTAGCAGGGAGCTGTACTGCATTGATGTGAGCTATGGTCCAGACAGAGCATCAGAGTAAAGCCTTTGAGAGCACAGTAATGTACGACGGACTTAACAGCAGCCTTCTAGGCCCTAAATCACCAAGTCTTTCCTTGTCTTTGACCCAAGTCCCTACGGTAGAGCACACTCAACTGTTTCACATTAATGTAATTTGCTAATCTACCATTGGAGACAGACATTTTAGGCCCACATTGAGTCTAATATATGTCGATGATTCATTTCTTTTCCACAGAGATACTTCTGCAGATCAGCAGGGCATTTGCTCCTATTTCAGTTTTAAGGACTTATCCTGAGGCTGTCACTTACAGTAAACAATGGCCACCCTAAAGCCGCCTCTAAGCTGGGGGTGGGGTGGGGGGTGGGATCTGACAGAAGCTGTACTGAACCCTTCACCCTACTGTAGTGACTGCAGGCTCCACGTCTTGGAAATGGCAAAAAAAAAAAACTGAGCTGAAAGTTTCTGTGAACTAACTAGAGTGGGCACTAGGTGTTTCACAAAAGGTGCAGCACAAAACAGACCAGCACAAATGGAACATAGGACACTGCTTTGTTAGCAGTTAAAAAGTATGACTGTCAGTGCAAGGCTATGGGAACTAAATGATCCTGCAGCTAGAACAGAAAGTAGCAAAAGGCTATTGTAGATTCACCCAAAAAATAGTTTCTAGCGTTTTCCCGGTGAAAGATTGAACCGTAGAAGACAAATAAATGAATAAACTATAATGTTTTTTTTTCTAAAAGGATAATTCAGGATTTAGATTTCACCGCAGGGCTTGACACCCACAAGATGCTGCAAATATATTATTTACCAAACATACACTTGAAAAAGAAAAACTTCATTATTGCAAATATATTATTTACCAAACATACAAAAAGAAAAACTTCATTACTGTCAGGATTCCTGTCAAGCAGCAACAGCACTGCACAAACGTATATATCGCATCATCCTCAGGCAGCAGACTTATGTTTACCAAAGTAAACATTATAGCCTGGTAAAACCTGATATAAGACACCTCCGGGACAAGACTGTGTGTAAAAAATGCATGAGTAGATGACGACATCAAATGAAAAAGTAACAGCACCCCAGTCTGAAGTCAGATCACGCACAACAACTAAATGCCAGTGCTCTGACAAATGTGGAACGTAGCAGCTACAGTTCTGCACTGACACATTGAGCTACAGGCTACAGGTGTGTGTTTGGTACTGAGGGTTATATGAAAATCCATAGAAATGCCGAGAGTCAGATAGCAAATATTAAAAAAAAAACAAAAAAACGGAAAAGCAGAACAACCTCACAGCTTCAGCTGACAGTGTCTGACAGCGATACTGGGATAAAGAGTCTGATTTGTATGGAGAGAAGGCGACGGCATCGCAGTCAGATTGCTGAATGCGAAGAGCGGAGACAGCTTTCTGCAGTGTGTGTTATAACACAAAAGGGATTATCAGTGATCCACTCAATCACACTTCCACTGAGCAACGCCATATCTGATCACGGCTTAAACATCAGCTTTACATTGGTTCAGTCAGCCTATTAGCATGCAAATGTGCAGCTGTAACAGATAAAGTTAATGAATCATCAAAGGGTGTATCGGAGGTGTCAGATCCTCAGGTTAAACGCGGGGCTGGAGCTGGGTTAGTGGTTCACATCCTTAAAATATCTGGAGGATAACTGAAATTCAAACACTGGCCACTTTTTACAACCTGAAAACACGAGTGTGAGTTTGTGTTTTTGCATGAATGTAAACAGCGCCGGTGAAGTCGTGCTTGCATATTCATGAAAGTTGCACTGCATAAATAAACATCATCATCATTCTCAGACAGAGACTTTACTATTTGTGCTATAAGAGAGTTCAGCCTCAACACGATGATTCATTTAGGGACAAAACATTTATTTACACTAAGGAGGAACGGGGGAAAAAGGTGTTGATGATGTACTGCATTAAAGACTCTGTGAAATAGAGTCATCTTTCACAGCT